TTTTTAACATCTCCAATAAAAAAATAGCGATGAAGTAGAAGCCTAATTGAACCTAGAAAGAAAGTGATAATCACACACTAAATTTGAAAGTCCTCGAACCCATCATTAGTCTCATGAAATTCGTTGAACCTAGAAAGTAGTAAAGTAGAAATGAAACCCAATGCTTATTAATTTTATAATTAACTTTAAACTCCCACTCTTTGGGATACTAAAACGTGCTTTGTTTCATGGCACAAAACTATTTGCAAATGTTTAACATGAACTTCTGTTCTTCCAGCAAGGTGGCTGCACTCTGCAGAGTAAAAATTTTGTTTAACTTTTTCTTTTGTCAAATACGCGTAATCATGGAGGACACTAGCTAGTAGTTAGTTCAATTAATCATGAAACTTAGCGCTTTTAAAGACGAGTTTCTTCCATAATTATTTTTAATGGAATTAGTGAATCCTAATGTCATTTTTTTTATCATTTTTTTTTTTTTTTTTTTTATCATGGAGGCACTAATTTCATGATCAATACCTAGTGCAAATACATTAGGATTTTCATATTACATAGATATAAATTACATACCCGGTTTAAAAAATGATTCAATAAATATAACATCAAATTGTCCTTTAAAGACAATTTATAGGAGAAAATATCATTTTTTGTATTAACAATCTTGAGTTATTATAAAAGACGAGTTTTATTACCCATTGCATGCTAATGAAAAAAAAAAAGTTACACATAAAGGCTAAATGATTTTTAAAAATTATGAACTTTCATTAATCAGATTGAAACTGGCTTTTAATTTAGTTTTTTTTAATGTTATTATTATTATTATCTATTTTTTGGTAAATAATAGGTCTTTCCAAGCAGTTTTTCAACATTGAATGGAAGTAGAAATCATATGATTGTTTCAAAAAGTGATGCATATTCGTATAATCTAAATTTAAAACGTGACATGTGCATAAGAATCTCGATTAGTGAGATATGTGTTGATTTTTTAAAATATTACACATCAAGACTAAATGATTTTAAAACATTATGAACTTTGAATCAAATTGAGATGGATTCTTAATTTTAAAATTTTTTAATTTTATTACTATATACTATTTTTTGATAAATAATAGGTCATTTCAACTTGTTTTTTCGAAATTAACTACACATATATATCAAATGATTGTTTCAAAAAACGACACATATTTAACTAATTTAAATTTTAAATGTGAGGATATAATTAGTGAGACATATCTCAGTTTTTAAGAATATTGCGTGACTTTCATATGTAGTTAATATTAAAAAAATTATCGAAAATCTTCATGTTCACCAAAAAAAAATCATAATAATCATATAAAAATTTTAAAAATATAAGGATCTATCTCAAGTTGACCAAAAATTTAGAATGTTTTTGAATCATTTAGCATATCGATGCATGTAAAACAATGTTACCATATGGGATGGCCCTTAATTTTAATAATTAATGTTAGTTGTGCTTTGTTGAATCTATCATGCACCTAATGTGTTGAAGATCGTTGCTTAGTAGGGACAAACTCGATCTTTTCAAATTATTTTAGGGGGCAGTTAGGGTGCCAAACAACTCAGCTTGTTGCTTTATAAAAGAACACAGCAAATATTAATAAGAATGACCTACTATAAAATATTACAAAAAAATTACATAAATATTTTACTCTTCCTAGTACGTATTCCCACTACTTAGCAGTTTCCTTCGTCTTTATACATTTTTGGTTGTACGTGGAAAATCATCAATATTAATATCTTAATAAAAAGAAAGTTTATTTAATAAGGAAAAGATTGAGATCAAGAGAAAAATTATTCATTAATAATGATTGCATAATCCTAAAGAAATAAAAAATTATTCATTAACAATGTACACATATCTCTCAAATTATGAAGGGATGCCTAACTTTTACTTTTCCATAACATTTTTTTGATTAAATTATTATCATGAAAAGACTGCGATTAGCATCTGAAAAGAAAATTAAATAACTTGTCAATGGGCAAAGGAACCCACAGAAATGACACTTTCGAGTAGCACTTAGTTGACCGAAGAAAAATCTTGAGCCAAAAAAAATAAAATAAAATACTTTTGGTGGGAGCATTTTTTAATTTGACCTTTCCAAAAAGTTTATCCAAACCAACCCATTAATCTTTGTTATATATATATATATATATATATATATATATATATATATATATATATCAATTTTTTTATTAATTGAAGCTATATCTATCATTTTTTGAACTAAGTTCAGAACGCAGTTAATCTTTGATTAATCATTAAATTTTTTAAAATCAAATAAGTTAAAATTAGATATCATTAAAAAATAATTATGACTAATTATATGTGAATAATGTGAATTGAATCTTAGTTTTGTTTAAACCAATTGCTTGACAATATTTCTTTATGGTACCATTAATCTTTGTTTGATGAAATATTTGTTAAAAAGCTTGACATGAAATAATTGCGTATAATTTTTTTTCTAGAATAACTCTTCATATGCTTGATTTAAGTAACAAGTTTTTCTATGAAAGTTAATATTTTCTAGATAATTTTCGAGTAAATTATGTGGCTAAAGAAATATATTTTTTGGTTAATACTTTCACTGTTTTTACATAATAGACTAGTTTTTTAAATAAGTTTTTTAAAAAACTCCTTTGATATGTTTTTATATTTTGAGCTGATTTTTAATATATCATTCTATTCAAAATTTCTGACCAATTTTTTAAAATTAATATTTATATTAGTAGATATAAATCACTTATATTAAATAATAAAGATAATTTTGTCAAATCACATACTTAACTTCTGATGAATTAATCAAAAATTTTAAGTAAAAAGATTGAATAGAAATATGCTCAAAACATAAGAATAAATTAGATGCTTTTTTTTTTCTAAAAACAAATTGATAATTGATTTATTATATAAGGAAAGGTTAAGATATTAGTTTTTTTGTTGTTGATTTTTTGAATTTAAATTTAGATAACATCACAAAAAATAATTTTTTTTACCATATCAATGTAAAGATAGATAATAAAAATTATCTTAAAAAATTATTCTTTATTAATATATAAGCTGGTTTAAAGATATTTTGAGCTTGTTAAATCTTGGGGAAAAAAAGAAATTAAGACGTAGATGATTATTCTAAAACTTGTATTTATGAGACACGTGCGATAGGTTTGTTTATCTGACACGTGGCTTTCATGCAGCTGCTTGAGCTTTTGACTGTCTTTATTCTTTTAACTGTTTGACCGGACCCACCCAGAGAAACCATTGTTGAACGGTAGATATTTGATCGGACGGATCAAAATCGATGATGTGTACTGGCTAAGCTTTGCCGCACGTGTGGTCTGTAATAGAGAAATATATTATTACAGCTGTAAGGCTGTAATGATGACCCTTGTCCTAAAGCGTAAAGTGTTTCCTAAATCTAGTGGTCTCAACTGTCACTGTTAAAAGACGAAGAGTAACTGTAAAAATGGGACCCACCTGTCAAAGGGTGGTATTTACTATTCTTTTAACAGCTATACAACCTGAATCATGATGATGAAAGAGTAAATAAATTATGAATTAATCCCTCTAGTTTTGAAAAAGGATCAATTAGTCCCTTTATTTTAAAACCTAACTATTTTAGTCCTTTATGTCCATTTTATGTTCTTTTATAATTTTTGTTTTAAAAATAAGAACAAATAAATATATATTATAAGTATATTAAATAAAAAACTATTTTTTAAATAAAAAATATTAAATTAAGTATGGTTTTTGTTATAAAAAGACTAAATAATTATTTTTTGAAAAAAAGTTCAACAAAAAAAACTAAGTAATTTATTTTTCAAAACCATAAAAACTAATTTATAAGTATTTTTTTAAAAAATAAATAATCTGTAAATAAAATAAATATGCAATTTTTTTTTAAAGAAGATTCACATTAAATAGAGCACCATTCTTGCCTTTACTTTTGTTGGAAAATTTATTGCATAGCACAAGTTTTTTTATTCTCATTTTTTTCCCTATCATAACTATAAATTGGCTCGATGATTTAGTATACTCTATCTTAAAATACCAAAATTCAAAATTTTTGAAAAATTGTGTTAGTTGTATAAATTTTTAATAAAATATAAATAGCTTATGTTATTTTTAATTTTTTTAATGTACAAGATTGAAGTAGAAGATAAGTCGTTAAGATTATGTATAAAAAAATTTAATCTTGATTGACATATAAACTGATTTAAAAAATTTTAAAAAATTAATTATTTTTTCCAAAAACACTATTTCTGGAGAATAATTAAATATTGGGTTTATTATGCAAGTTATGAATATTTTTCAATTAATAAGTGGATTTTTTTGGCAAAAAAATATTTAAGTAAATTATAAATTAGACCCTTTAATTTTGAGAAATAAATTAATTATTTTTTAAAAATAATTATTTAGTCCATTCCTTATTTTAATATTAATTTATTTCAAAAAATATTATCTTTCTCATCAATTTTTTTATATTTTTACTTATTTTTTATTTTAAATTTATTAAAAAATAAAATAATGAAAGAGATTAACTTACAAATAGATTTAAAAATATAGGCTTTATTAATTAGTTATTAAAACTAAAGGGATTATTGATTTTTTCTCAAAACCAGAGGGACTAATTTATAATCTACGCATATTTTCAAGCAAAGTTGGATCAGCGTTCAAATCGCGTCCACCTGGACAGTATCGGCCGTGAACTTATCTTACAAAACTCACAATGTAACTTTATAATCCCCTAGATACCAAAGCCACTACACAGAGCAAAAGCCAGCCTTGCTTAAATTCTCTCATCTACCTTTTCTTCTGTCTCCTTCCCTCCCTCCCTCTCTCTCTCTCTCTCTCTCTCTCTCTCTATCATGAAGCTTTCTTGAAACACCAAGAATCCAATTCCCTAGTAATTAAATCACACTCTTAAAACCCATTTAATTCAAAGGAATTGAATTGAACTACCTCAGAGAAATTCAATTCTTTCCCAAAAATGGTTTCCCTTGAAGATTCCCACTCTCAATACCCCACTTCAAATCGCTTCCCTTTAACGGCCTCTCCTTCCTCTTCCAAAATCCACCGACACGTCGGCCGTTCCATGCGCACTATCCGTTCCACCATCTTTCAGCCCAGCTCCAACTCCACGTCCTTCGCTTCGCTTCCGAACTGCTCAGCTGGTTCAACTCCGTTCGCGTCTGAAAACTTAACTGACTCTGTCATCGACATGCGACTCGGGGAACTCGCGACAGCCGTAAACAATAATAGCAATAGCAATTATTTTAAGAATAAGCTGTCATCCTCACCGGCTAAATCGGCTGAGGAGGAGTTTCTTGATATTTCAGAAGCTTTTTCTGATTTTTCGGGTTGTAGTTCTGATATTTCTGGAGAACTACAACGTCTTGCATGCTTGCCTGCGTCTCCAATGCATGACGGTGAGGTGGAAGGATACGGGAAGAAGAACCCATCAGCGGAAATTGTAGCTGAGCCTTGTCATGGGTTTTTACAGAGAGAATCTTTTTCTACGGAAATCATTGAGAGTATTTCTCCGGAAGATCTTCAGCCAACGGTGAAGATCTGTGTTGACGGTTTGCAGTCCCCGTCGATTGCTGTGAAAAGATCTGCTGCCGAGAAGTTGAGGTTTTTGGCGAAGAATAGGGCGGATAATCGGGCCTTGATAGGTGAATCAGGGGCAATTTCTGCTTTGATTCCGCTACTTAAACAAAGTGATCCGTGGGCGCAAGAACATGCGGTGACAGCCTTGTTGAATTTGTCTCTTTATGAGGACAATAAGAAGAAGATTACGAATTCTGGTGCGATTAAGTCGTTTGTTTATGTGCTTAAAACTGGGACTGAAAATGCTAAGCAAAACGCGGCGTGTGCTCTGCTTAGTCTGGCTTTGCTTGAAGAGAACAAGAGCTCGATTGGAGCTTGTGGATCGATACCACCATTGGTTTCGCTGTTAATCAATGGTTCTAATAGAGGGAAGAAAGATGCATTGACTACATTGTATAAGATTTGTTCAATAAAGCAGAATAAAGAGAGGGCTGTGGTTGCTGGGGCAGTTAAGCCATTGGTGGGCATGGTGGTGGAGGCAGGGGCAGGGATGATGGCGGAGAAGGCAATGGTGGTGTTGAGTAGTTTGGCAGCGATTGAAGAAGGGAGAGAAGCTATTGTCGAAGAAGGCGGTATTGCTGCACTTGTTGAGGCTATTGAAGATGGTTCTGTTAAAGGGAAAGAATTTGCTGTTGTCACTTTGTTGCAGTTGTGCAGTGATAGTGTTAGAAATCGTGGGTTGCTTGTTAGAGAAGGTGCGATTCCTCCTCTCGTTGCGCTTTCGCAAAATGGGAGCATTCGATCCAAGCATAAGGTAATTTTTAATTTTTAATTTTTGTTAATTCTGATGGATTTAGAACTAATTTGCCAGCTTTTCAAGTTAATTCTAACTCCAATAGTCCCATATTTGAGTTATTAATGCTGTGATTGGAGTGGTGTTGATGGTGGTGGTGGTGTTGGTGCAGGCTGAGAGGCTACTTGGGTACTTGAGAGAACCAAGGCAAGAGGCTGCTGCTTCATCTTCAAGTCCTTAAACAAGTGGTGGATTTAGAAATTTTTTACCATCTTTTAGAGAGGTAATTACTAGTACTGATTAGAATGAGTGGCTGGTTGTTCTTGGTGTGTAAATAGGTAGTGTTTTTTCTGATGATTTGTACAGTGTGGTTGATAAATTTGAGGGAATGATTAGTAAATGGGAAATTAGGGGAAGCTAGGGAGCAATCACTATAGACTGACTTGTTTTAGATGTATGAGTTTGACTTTTAAACTAGGGTTTGGAAGTTGGGGGTTTTCTTCTGCAGATGGATTTTCCAGATGAGGAATACTTGTTTGCTTTGTGGGTTTTGGTTGGTTGATGATGAAATTTGGGTCTTGTTCCTTGTGTTTTGTTTGGATGACCCAAATTATCTGTTTACTGATTGTCCTGTTTAAACTTAGCGAAGATAAAAGAGTATATGCTACTACCTGCAGCATGTTTTTTGTCTATGTATCTTGATCATTTCTGTCTTGCTAATGGGCAATCTAGATTGGCTAGATCTTATGATCTTTTGGGATTTTTCACTGAGCATGGTGAATTCTCCTTTAGAGATGCCTGGAAAAGGTATGAAAATGAAAGATTGATAAAATCTGATACCTGAAAAATGCAATCTTTTGCAATCTTGTAACTTATATGGTCATGTCGATTTCTGTCTAATAAAGAACAGGCAAAAGATCTTTGTTAAGTCTTGTAATGTTTTGATAAAGCCTCTAGTGTGCTCACTCAGCAAGAATTACCGTAAGTTGCTGGGATTCTTGCCTTGGCAACCTGTTTTTGCTTGCTCCAATTTTCTGCTACCAATGGCGGGTTTGAATCTAAGGTTGAGAGAGAGAGTTTTATTTATTTGATGGAAGCACATGAGCATGTCTTGTATGGTAGGTCCCTTTGATTTGCTTATCTTTGGTGTAAAGCCGTTTTTTCTGCTGTTTGCTTGCCATCACCGCCTGTCTGTCTCTTCTTCTTGCTGTGATCTTTACTGGGAGAAAATCCACCAACCACTGAAACCCCACCATGGATTTCCTGACAGCATATAGGATATGATGTCTTTATTATCTTTCTTTGTCATCGTTCGTTGTGTATTAGCTGGCAGAGCAGGTATATATGTTTTGTCCTGCTACTTGAATAGGGCTGCAAGGGTTTTTTTATATTTTCTGGAAAATGGACTAAAAGACCTAATTCAGGTGGTTCACTGACATGATTTATGTTTTTTATCTTTCAAACTGAACTACTTGCCTATTATGGAAAGGTTAAGCCCATAGTTTTAAATTGTCGGCTGATGTAGTTGTTTTATCATATATTGCGAAGTTTATCGCCATGGTAAATAGTTTTAAATTGCCAGCTGATGCAGTTGTCAAAACTATTGATATCATATATAGGGAAGTTTATCGTAACAGTAAAGCAGTAAAATAACGGTTATAGCGATCGATGGTAATTGCCTTGGCTGATGGTAATGATTTTAGCCGATTTCATCGGAGTAGTAAAATAACGGTTATGGCGATAGCTGGTAATGACTTTGGTCGATTTTATCGTAGTAGTAAAATAACAATTATAGTGATGGATGGCATTAAGATGGTCATTGCTTTGCCTTGGCTGATGGTAATGACTTTGGCCGATTTTATCGTAATGGTAAAATAACGGTTATGATGATAACTGATGGTAGTAGTAAGGTAATGATTATAGCGATGGATGGCATCAAGATGGTCATTGCCTTGCCTTGGCTGATGGTAATGACTTCGGCCGACTTCGTTAAATAATGAATATGTAACAGCAGGCATTAAACCAAATAACCATACTCTCACCAGCAAAGATCCCTTGCCGTAGAAGCATGTTTACCCTGATGCAAATGCTTGTATTGTTGGATTTGGACCAACCTGCCATTGATGGGAATTATTCTGATGTTCTAGGCAATTTCATGAGAATAGTTAAACATTTTTCCTGTGTATGGTTGAACTGATGAACGTGGTGGATGATCTTTGAAGCAAGGGATGCTCTTATCCAATCAGCTTCTGCCGCCATAGCAAACTTCCAAGTCAAAGCAAACCAAAATCAAGACTCTTTTTAAGACCTGAGTACCCTTTTTGGGCTTGAAGAGTTTCACCGTCAAGGTTGGCCCCTATTGTCAAGATGGTCTGAAAAGTGGCAGTTTTTGAAATTGAAAAGGATGTTATAGACCTGGAATTATTGCTGGATAAAGCTTTGAGAAATCTGATTCGTGGGTAGTCATCTTTTTTATGGAGCCTGTAGTTTCATTGACATACATTTTCTCTTATTTTTTTAAGAAGTTTAAATCAATCTTTCTTTCTTGCAAGTAATATTCTGGAGGTGAAAATCATAGTTTGTCCTTCTATGATTGATTTTTTATCATTCGAATCCTTCTATTCAATTTTGATACAAATCAAACCCCACAATGAGCTGATCAAGAAATACTTACTGTTTTAGTTACATTGTTCATGCACATAGCTTACAAATGAAATGAAGCTAGTAATTATCAGTTGGCAGAAAGAGGATGCTAGCTTTTTATTAACCATAATTACACCAGAACTTGTTACCAATTCTCAATCTGCAACCTAAGGTGATAAAACAAGTCCTTTATGCAGATTCAACTTGGTCCTTAGATTTTTCTTTCTTTCCTCGGAATAAGCTTGGTCTGTAACCATCCTCTAGCAGCTTCTCAACCTCCTCGAATTGCAGCCCTTTAGTTTCAGGTACTAAGAAGTAGATGAATATGAGGCCAATGGTAGAAATTCCAGCGAATAAGAAGAATGTGCCTCCAGCACCGAGAGCTTCGGTGAGAGATAAGTATGATTCGCTAACGATGAGATTTGAACACCAGTTGGACACAGCAGCAATGCCTCCACCAACACCTCTGTATCTCAATGGATAGATTTCTGAGTTTACAATCCAGGGTACGGTTCCCATTCCTGGTGAATAGGAAATGATGTATAATCCGAGAAGTATAACGGCAAGAAATCCGAATCTGCTCGGGCAGCCCTTCTCAAAAAACACACGTTTTTCGGCATGGCAATCACCCTTTATAGCCTTGGTTGCATCCAGGCATGCCCCAGGATGGAACTGATCATGTATAAAATCAATATCAGTATCAGGTTGATAAACTGGAAAACATCTACCTGTTATTGAAGGCTATAATGTAATCAAATTAACAGCAAGTATTCACTGAATGCGGCAAGGGTTCATGTAGAAAAATTAAATCATTCAGCATGCACAATGTATAGCCGAAAACGACTGAAAACGACCGAAAGAGTGAATGAACTTACTTCGCTGGCTGCATTAGCACAGAAACCACAATCTGCTTTCAAGCAAGACATACAGCTCCACCTTGGTGCATCTGAGGCTGTCAAGAAAGCTGGACAAGTAGAGTTTTTTCCAAAGTGGGCTGTCTCAATTCCACCAACTTTAGGGGCATGGAGAGAAGCTTCGATAAACACAACAGATAAGGTCACGAGGAAGAAAATGATCCCAATCATTGAAATAATCATCAACCTTCTCCTTCCATATCTGTCGACGAAACACATGCTGACAATGGAACCAATAGCATTTAGGCCAGAAGTAATGAGAGAGAGAGCCAAGGCAACCGAGTTTGAAGCAAATCCAGCAAACTGAACTATGGTGGGGGCATAGTACATGACTGTATTTATACCCACAAATTGCTGAGCGACTTGAACGGTGATACCAGCATAAAGTCCCCTGCGTACTACCTTGTTTTTAAATGCACCCTTCAGTTTAGTTACCATACCCTCTCCAATTGCAGCTTCGTCGGCCTTCTCAGCTTCAACGGATAATTTCAAGGCATTCAACTCGTTTTCAACTTCATGTGCAGGATAGATTTTCTCCAAGATTTCCTTTGCCTCATCTACCCTATCCTGAATAACAAAAAACAAAATGTAAACAAATAGAAATAAGGTCACTAGTGCAAGTTGCTCGCAATCTTGAGGAAGACTAAATATTGCAGCAGCAACAATGTGTCTTTGAATAGAGAAAATCCATAGGAGAAAAAGCATTTTTATATTTAGGATCAAAACATCATGTATCTACTGATATTGATACATTAACTATATTTCTCAAAGACATGACTAATCGAGATAGCGAATCATTGTATGTTATCGTTTTAGAATAGATATTATCATGTGGGAAGTTTCTTTAAGGAGGAAGATCCTAACCCTTCTGTAGAGCCATCGGGGAGACTCGGGAAGCGATAGCATCAACACAAATTGAATCAGAGCCGGGAGTCCGGCAACTCCAAGCATCCATCTCCAGGTTCCAGGAGCCTGAAACATGATTTTTCGACGTTAACGTTTTGTGGACTTTGAGAGGTTAAGGAATAGGTAGTGATTGTCTGAACACATACCTTGGTGAAAGCAAGATTGATAAGATAAGACAGAAATTGTCCTCCAGTAATTAACAATCCATTCGTGCTAACAAGAGCGCCTCGAATTCTTGCAGGTGAAGCTTCTGAAATGTACAGAGGAGCAGTCATGGATGCCATTCCCACTCCCAAACCAACAAGAATTCTTCCGATAACAATAATCCAGGGATTTGGAGCTACAGCCATGACAATCGCACCGAAAAAGAACACAACATCAGCAGCTAAAATTGCCACTCTCCTGCCCCACTTATCATTCATATATCCACCAAAAGCAGCACCGAAAATAGCTCCTGCGACAGCCATACTCACTATGGTTTCCTGCACATTTCGACAAAACAAACTTATCAAACCATGAACATAGGGAACAAACAAATATCTTCTCTCTCTTTCTCTCAAGAATCAATACAGTAAAACATGTCCTAACTCACCTGCAACCATGTTTTCTGGTCAACTTGTTCGAAATCGTCACGAATGTAAAGCAATGCGCCAGAAATAACTCCTAAAATTGCCACGACAAAAGATTCATTACTATGAATTTCCCCAAATTAGTAACACATATCTTTGTTTTGATAAATCACAACAGAAGACAGAAAACCTTGAAAACCTATCGAAGATGTAACATCCTCAAAACATGATTTCAATTTCTTACCTGTGTCATAACCAAACAGGAGCCCTCCAATGCCGGCTGAAAGTGCCAGCCTCATGATATAAGGAGTCTTCCACACAGTCCTCCAGCATTCTGTAAACTCTGTCTTGTCAGCAGTGGCAACTCCTCCTTCCACCATTTTTGCAGATGGTAATAAATTTCAGCAAAAGGGTGTTACTGATAAATTGAGATACAATCTGCAAACACGTAACCATGAAAATAATCAGAACCTTAAAGGGAAAAAAAACCTCTTTTAAGGTAAAACTAATCTACATTGACAACTATTGACACAAAAGCATCAAATTCCTATGAAAAATAAGATAAAAAAAACTTTGAACTGATCAAATTAAGAATCTTCACTATCTATAATACCAAAAAAAAAAAAAAAAAAAAAAAACAAACTGACTATTAATCTTACATCAAACAACAGACTAAATCAATCTAATAAACAAATGTAAATCACGAAACCTTTCAGATATTTTCACTCACTCTTTATCTAAATAACCACGCAAAGTACATTAAAGGAACACAGAAGATGGGAAAAGAAGATGAAACCTGTTACTATCTTCACTAGAAACTGTTTATTTTCTTCTTCTAGGACCCTTTTTTGCATGCAAAAGATACTTTCTGTTTTCTCAGATGAAAATGTTCAAAGCACAAATGAAATATGGCTAGCAAGACTCTTTTTATGAGACGGAGGAAGTAATATTTTTTTTTTCGTGACACAGAACAAGATAAAATTTGTTTATTCTGCTTTATCCAAAAAAAAAGAAAAAAGAAAATGGTGATATTGACTTGGATTTCTTGAATTCTGGATGCACAGTAATTAAGGATTCTTAGTACAAGTCTGACATAAATTAAAATTTTGACAGGTTGATGTTATCTAGGAAAACAAATTCTCTCTTTTAAATGGATAATTTAAAAAAATATTAATTATATACATTTTTTTTCGAAATTATCTTTAAACAAATGTCAAAAATAACATTTTTAGCACACTTAATAAAAATCGTCATCTCTACTATGTATGTATTGATATGATCATAATCTTTCTTTAAAAAGAAAAAATCATTCTGCAAAAACATATACTCTTGGGAAAATAACTTTTAAGAAGAATTTTTTTTTTAATAAAATTAGCAATTTTTTCAGAGTTAAAGAGAGACAAAATATACCCCATGAGAGTTGACTTTAGCCAAATAGGCTTTATTTTTAAATAAATGGTCTCAAATTCGAATTTTTGTGAATGCAAAAAACTTTTTCCTATGAGTATGACGCAATAAGAAGAGATTAGTCTAAAACCTTATTATATTTGGCCAAAAGGAATGTTTTTTTTTCCTTTTTTTTTTTGGAAAGTTAAAGCTAAAGAAATATGTAGCAGATGATCAAATTGAAAAATATTACAAAAAAAAAAAGAGATGTTCATAGTAACTCGAGTGAATTGATCTTTATGTTCACATTATTTTTCTCGGATTAAAAATAAAATAAAATAAAATAAAAGGGAAAGGATTAAAAACAACAATGGACATTACTTGAGAATAAACATTCCTGGATTGGATAAAGCAAAAAAAAAAAAAAAAAATGAAACATATCATTGCCATAGAGGATAATAGAAATGGAAACAGCATTGAATTTTAGGGTTTGGCTAGAAGATGGAATATTTCAATGAAGAAATGATGATCTTACCTAAAGAGACTTCTTCTTCTTATTTTTCTTCAATCTAGCTCCTATATTTTTAAGGCAATGATCTGCATCAAGAACTTTCTGTTCTTTAACAGATCATTGAATCTGCCTTTTATTTCTTTCTTTGATCAATTTTAATGACAAAAGTTGAAATTAAAGTCTCTTTCTTTTTTCCATCTTTAGGGTTTTACTAATTTTGTGGCCATACTTATCTCTTATCCTTAAATTTTACAAATTGAAATTTAATAGCCTTTAAATTCGGAAAAGGATTAGCTGTGCCATTTTTTTTATCCATTAATTTATTGTTATTATGGTTTTGATACTCCGAATCCTCGTTGGATAAGATAAAATTGACTCGAAAATACTAACAACCATAAAATCATGAGTTTTATTTATTTATTTTTATTTTGAGATATGATATTTTTAAATATTTATTCTCGTGATAGGATTGTTTTAATTTTATTTAATATAATAGAATAGTTTATGCCACCTAAACTCTACGAGGTATTCATGTCATTACTATTTTTATAATTATTATCCTAAGTAAAAGAAATAATGAAGAAAATAGTAAACAAGGAAAAAAATACGACATGCTTGGTAGTTGTGTTCTTCCTTGTTTTCCATTTGCTTTCCTAACTCCAAAGGTATCTTCCTATCCAAATAGCCTTTAAATTCGGATAGGATTAGCTGTGCCATTTTTTTTTATCCATTTATTGTTAGTATGGTTTTGATAATCCAAATCCATAAAATCATGAGATTTATTTTTATTTTTATTTTTAGTTTGAGGTATGATATTTTTAAATCTTTATTCTCGTGATAGGATTGTTTTAATTTTATTTACTATAATAGAATAGTTTATGCTACATAATCTCTACAAGGTATTCATGTCATTACTATTTTTATAATTATTATCCTAAGTAAAAGAAATAATGAAGAAAATATTAAACAAGGAAAAAATACGGCATGCTTGTTAGTTGTATTCTTCCTTTTTTTCATTTGTTTTCCTAAGTCCAAAGGTATATTTCTATCCAAATATATTTTTTTCCAAAATAGAAAGGAAAAAGAAAAGCCATAATCATAAGACATGATGAATTTCTTTTCTATTAAATTCAAATTTTTTTTATTCAATGTTCATTTTTAAAAAAAATTATAGACATCTAGTATGAGAAAACTGAAATACATTTCTTAAGAAAACTGCATTTTGGATACCCAACCATTGATTTTTTTTTCTATTTAGGTGCTTAATTTTTTTTTTTTATTTGAGTATCCACAATCATCAAGAGTATGAATTGCCGACGTGTTCAAAGTTGATTGCCATGTTGTTGTTTTTTACTGTCATGTGCTAAGTCTCATTGGACACATTAGTAAAATTAGACCTCATGTGACTTTAAGTGCCAAAACAAATAAAAATTAAAGTTTTGATATTAAAAATCAACAATCGAACACCAAAATGGAAAAATAATTAAAGGTTGGGCATCAAAAATACCTTTTTTTTCAATAAAACATTTGAAAATCTAGTTAGAACATGTGTGCTTACAAAAGTTCTAACAAAAACAGTTATTGCAGGTTGAAGATATAAACTATAATGAAAATCACATGATTTGTCATGTCTGCAACCATTGAAAATTTACCATGATTAAGCAAGCCACTGATAGAGAACCTGTTAAAGAGAAAAAGGAAAATATTGAATTTGCTACTAAGTTCATCGATTACACCTGCAATCTGCTCGTATTTTAATTTTTTTACTGAGAAATTTTGAAAATCAATTGACATGTTTGATATTAAAAAAATTTTAAAAATAATTTAGAAACTCTTCTTCGCAATTGTACAAAGATTATAATGTGGTTATCCACACTAAATTGGAGTAGTATTTCTAAAGATGTAAATTTTTTTTTTTTTTTTTTTTTTGACAGAACGAGGAAAAAAATAATTTGGAGAAGAAGATACGAATATAGAAAGAGTAAATAATATGAAAGAAAAATCATAAAAATCCTGTCTTCAATCTCTATCCCTTTTCATCGTTTTGTTTTTTAAGCTAAAGATTTTATATATCAATGACATGTATAAATGATTAAGTTCATGTCTATTATAAGAAATAAAATAAGATTAAAACTATCATATTTTGACAATAAAAATTTTAAATTACCATATTTTGGGGTATAATTAACATTATATATATATATATATATATATATAGGATTTTTAAGATATTTAAGGTTTAACATTTTAGACTAATATCTTGTTATTCTGTCGAGCGTGCAATGCAGATATTGTTACCTAAAAAATTTTCTACACATAGAATGATTGGAACACAAAACTATTTGTTTAAACACTAAAACCCATGATCGGCTCAAGCCAACCCTCGCTAACATTAACTTACATTTAAAAATAACATAGAAATTAAAATTATCACAATCCAGGAGGACAATGTAATGCACCAGCTATATATATATATGCTGATGACAGAATGGAGTCTGGCTATACAATGCTAGAAAATTATAATTTTATCCATTTTCGAGCTTTCAAACAGAACCGGCACCTTTTGTGTTTTTACTGAAGAGTTTTGGCCTAAACCCAGTCTTTAGCATCTTCTCCACCTCCTCGAATTGCAGGCCTTTGGTTTCGGGCACGAAGAAGAAAATGGCTACAAGTGCAAGGAATGAAATTCCAGCAAATAGCAGGAACGCTCCTGCGACGGTGAGGACTTCAGTGAGTGTTAAGAATGTCAGACTCACAATCAGATTCGAAGTCCAGTTTGCCACCGCTGCTATGCCTCCACCTACACCCCTATATCTCAGTGGATAAATCTCCGAGTTCACAATCCATGGCGCAGTTCCCATTCCAGGTGAGTAGGAAATAATGTACAAGCCGAGAAGTATAACTGCGAAGAAACCGATTTTGCTCGGGCAACCTTCCTCGTACCACACACGTTTTTGCTCAAGACATGAACCTTTCAAGTCCTTGTTCGAAACCAAGCAGGCTCCAGGATGGTACTGATCACAGAAGAACACACAGTAAGGAGTTTGTACCGATTTCTCGAATTCATCAGAATTGGCTGGAAACGGGGAACGAGATGAGTGGACTTACTTTGTTTGCAGGATAAGAACAGAAGGAACATTTTGCTTGCAGACAACTCATACAGTCCCATTTATGCAGATTTACGTTAGACAGATAGCTCGGACAAGTAGAGTTGGCACCGAAATGTGCAGATTCGGCTTGACTAATCGCCGGAGCGTGGACGGAAGCTTGTTGAAACACAACCGCTAGCACCACAAGGCAAGTAATGATTCCGAGCATTGAGATAATCATCAACCTTTTCCTCCCATATCTATCGACGAAAAGCATGCTTATTATGGAGCCAAGAGCATTGAGGCCAGAAGTAACCAGGGAAAGGGCTAAGGCCACTGAATTTGAAGCAAATCCAGCAAACTGAACTATAGTTGGGGAGTAATACATGACAGTATTGATGCCTACAAATTGCTGAGCAACTTGAACTGTAATGCCTGCGTAGAGTCCCCTGCGAATGACAGGATCGATGAAAGCACCCTTTACTTTAGAGAATGTGGTTGTTCCGATAGAATCTTCCATTTCCTTTTCGTTTTGAACAGATTCTTTCAAGGCGTTTATCTCGTTGTCAACTTCATCGGCAGGATATATTCTCGCCAGAATAGCCCTGGCCTCATCAACCTTGTTCTGCAGGGGAAAAAAATGAGGTACAAACAAAGTCATAACATGTTTATTCACTAATCGGACAAAAGAATCATTGCTGTCGAAAGATCGAAACAATGACCGGCAAATTTTCTGAAAAAGAATGAATGATTACCGCTCTGTAGAGCCATCTAGGAGATTCAGGAAGGGACAGCATCAGCACAAATTGAATCAGAGCCGGCAGTCCAGCAACTCCCAGCATCCATCGCCAGGTTGCTAGGAGCCTGAAACAAGCAAATTATAACTTGCTATCAGCTTCAAAAGGTTGAAGCATAGTTTTAAATAGCGAACGGTTGAAAAAATGATCGCAGTCATCATCGCAGCTTACTATAATACTAAAATAACGGTTATATAATGTAACTGCCGTTGTAAAACGTTCTTAGTAAACAAAAACTTGTAATGCTCTGGATTACGTTACCCTAGTAAAGGCCAGATTGATAAGGTAAGCCATAAACTGTCCTCCGGTGATTAGCAGGCCATTCGTGCTGACAAGAGCGCCTCGAATTCTTGCAGGTGAAGCTTCTGATATATAAAGAGGGGCAGTCATGGATGCCATTCCAACTCCTAAACCAACAAGAAATCTTCCAACAATGATAATCCAGGGATGTGGAGCAACGGCCATGACTATGGCACCAAGGAAGAACAAGAAATCTGCAATCAAAATGGTTTTTCTCCTCCCCAAACTGTCATTAAAAAATCCACCTGCCGCAGCCCCAAAAATCGCTCCTAAAACACAAGTACTCACAATCAATTCCTGCAGAACAAGAAAATGAGCACCAAATCAGAAAAAAAAGGAAAAGATATCATCAACTCTTAATTAACTTTCATTTAATCCCTTTCTGTGATGAAATTTTTATAGAGAAATTGACCTGATAAAAGGTACTTCTGCCAACTGCCTCAAAATCCTCTTTAATGTAAAGCAAGGCACCAGAAATAACTCCTACATATCCCATTAACAAACACATGTTCATTCTGAATTATCTATGTAACCAGAAACAAAATATGTTAATCTAGTCCAAAATCAAACAGAAAAAATTGATGTACCTGTGTCGTAGCCGAAAAGTAGACCTCCAATTCCAGCAGAGAAAGCAAGCCTCATGATGTAAGGAGTCTTCCATGTTACCCTCCAACATTCTGTAAATTCTGTCTTGTCTGCTGCTTTGACCACACCTCCTTCCACCATTTTTTTTTCTGTGTTTCACACACCTGAAAGTGATCTCTCTTATCTGAGTATAAAGTGAGCAGACTTAACCTGGATAGAAAAAAGTATTCAAAACATACAATTTTTCAAAGGGATATGGACCAAGTAAATTGCCATAGCATTATCAAGAACACTACTAAATATAGGAGATGCTGATTAAAACTTAAGGAAACTACATAATTTTTGTGCTGGTATTAATTATATATGATTAGATATCATTATCTTTATTTTTCAAATTTTCATTAAGGAAATCCACATAAATGAATCATATTATATATTTTTTATTAGTCGTTACACAATCACCTTTCCTAATCAGAATAATAATAATAATAATAATAATAATAATAAATAAGTTTTGCTGTTTCAGGGGAGTAATTCATATATTAATAAAAGTTTAAATGGGTCCAACCTTTTTTGAACTTTAACTTATTTAAAATTGAATCCTTAAACTTTAAATTCGATTTTTAGAATCTCTAAACCTTTAAATTTTTTAGATTTAGTCAATCCTTCAATTTTATGTCATTTATCATAAAAAATAACAATCACATAAATAGCTCCATGATAGAAATAATTTAGTAAAATTTATACGGGACTCCTAAAAAAATTGGAATCATTCTTGTTTATTTTTTATTTTTTTTCAAGTTTCTATATTTTTAATGTTTAAAAATAAAAAATATACTTTTTGATTTTTTAAAATTATAAAATTTTTCTATAACATAGATTGGATTTTTTCTAATGTGTGGGCAAACTTTCATTTAAAAATACCAAGAATTGATTTGTTTTTTAAGAGTGACAGATAAAAATCATTGGATTGATTATTTAAAAAAACAATAATAAAATTTAAGGATTTTCAAAACTACATTTGAATTTAAAGACATAGTTTCAAATGAGTTAAAGTTCAATAAAGGTTTGACCTGTTAGCATTTTTTATAACATTGATCATGCTTAATTTAATATTATTTTATTTTAAAAAATGTCTTCTTTTCTCATTTTTTTCCTTATTTTTCTTTTTTCTATTCATTAAAAAAAATTAATTAAACTGAAAAGAAAATTAAAAATAATTAAGTTACAAATAGATTTAAAAATATAAAGACTAATTAATCCATTATTGAAACTGAAGGGACTATTTAATTTCCTTTAAAAAATTAGAGAAATTAATTTATAATTACTCTTTTGAGAGGATATATGTATGTCCACACACTACCGATTACCAAACAGAAAAAAAAAAAAAAAAAAATCATCTGTTATATTATTTTTCTGATACAAATTTCAAAGGGTGGTGACACAATTAGCATGTATAATTTTGATTATCCATTACAGATCAGCTTTCCTAAACAAAATTTAATAAATTAAATTTTCCTTTTTTTTGGGAGGATAGGTAGGGCCCGTGGTCTGTAAATTACCGAAAAAATTAAGAAAAAAACATAATTTCTATTAAGATATAAAAACTTCTATCTTTATAATTGAATTAAAAAAAAAAAAGTATAAGATAAGTTCAGAGTACATGTTCCGGAATCATTAGTAATTCTAAATAATTTTTTTTTCTTTTGATAGTTCAATGAATTTTTTATCATGAAACAATTTGAATAATTTTAAAAAATAGATAACGGTTGTTAATTATCTATAATTAACTGCTACCGTAACAGTAATGGCCTCTTGATTTTATTACATTAACAATATTATTTAGATAGTTCAATGAAATTAGATTGAAATAACCAACAAAATCACAATTCTTACTCCCTAATACGAGGTTTTGGCTATGAAGAAGATGAACATAATATCAAATCAAATCCTTATCAGATTGCATATATTAAACTTGTCCAAATATAACTCAATTAAGGTTGTTCTAAGAAGGATTGTCCTAATAGAACCATAATCACCAATAAGATGTCTAACTTTTATTTCATGTAGTTATTTATGTATAGGGCTAATAGCTTGATTTATCTTTTTTTATTTTTTAATTTATTTTTATATTTTTAATTGAGTCATTTTTATCCTATACATTGAGTTTTCAATATATCATTTGTCAAGATTTTTAAGCCAAACGACCAAAATTATTCACGTGATTTGTATATTATCAATTTTTATTCTAAAAATATCCTTACAAGTCAATATAAGGTTTACAAATCGTATGATTAATTTTGATTGTTTGGTCTATAAATCTTGTTAAAAGGATAAATTAAACAAAAAAAAATTATGATATTCACGAGTAATTGCAAATATTTACTTCATGCATGAGACATAGACAAAACTAGAAAATATAAAATTAAATAAAAACTCTATCATCAAAGTAGGCTCATGATGTAAGTATTGATAGTTACCATATGAGTATTTTAAAATTTCCCTAAATTATATCGTTAATAAATTTAAGTCAATTAAAAATATAAAATTATCACATTATATAAAGATAAAATTAAGTATTAAACTTTATGCATTAGCCCATTAATAACTCTAAATCTAATTAAATGCTAATTTCTCTTTAAATCTTTGGTAATTTTTTTTTCATAAAATCAAGTTGTTGTGGGTCTAAAATAGGCTATGATATCCTTATTATTATTATTATTATTCAACAGTAAGGGTGTCTTTGGGTAGCTTTTGCACACCTCAAGATTATTTCCTCTATAGGCGTAGCTAAATGATACTTTCCAACTTACGACCTCAGTATTTTATAAATAAATTCTCATATATAATGATATCTTTATTTTATTTACGTGGCCAATGTTATTTTTTCTCAATCCTTATCAAGTTGACATATTTAATATTTTTATATCAAAAAGCGAAATTGAGGGGAATATTCTATATATACGTTTAAAATAACTTTTAAATAATGAGTTTTTTCCCAAACAAGTATCCTTCTAATTTTCTTTTCTAAAATAAAGTAGTTTAAAACTTATTTATTAAATTAGAACACTTTATGCCATGTAGCATCCACATCAACAACCTATGATCAACAGCAATCTCGATGTCAGCTTGCTATATATATATATATTATCAATTTTATTTTAACAAAAAAAAAAAAGAAAATTAGTTAAGTAAAAAAAATGACATGGATAAATAAGTCTTACGTGATATAAAATATTATAATTTAGAAAATAAGTTAGAACTATCTTATTTGGATAAAAATAATAATTTAAAAGTATCCTAATTTGAAAAAAAGAAACTCTTTGAATAATGCTATTTGCCCTAAAATATTTTAATTTTCCAAAAATACAAAAAAAAAAAAATCTTGGTCATTTAACAGTGGATATTTTTTAAAATCCTTTAGTGTGATGTATTTTATTAATAGCTGATATTATTGGATAAGTCAATAAACTAATTTAGGTAATTAAGACTTCCTCCACCGCATATCCACAAGGGATAAATCAATAAACAGTTGAAAATAAATCCACATTTTTCTTGATAATTAAAAGAGCTTTAAAATAGAGGTTTATCTTCGTCATTACCAAATTCATCTTGTAGTGACATTCCTTCTTGTTCTCAATGCATTTCTATAACTATGAGCAAGGACCACAATAGATTATATTCGGATCGGATCATCATAAATTTAGATTCTATTTATTTAGTGAAATAGATTTAATTGAATCTTATAAATTCGAATCGGGTTTTGAAAATGTAAAAATCGAATTCAAAGCTCTATTGAATTTGGCACTTCGTTTTTATAGAAAATTTATGCTTACTCGCATTTTATATATTGCTCAAATATAAAATGTATTTTAACTACTACATATATAATAAAATATATTAAGATGACGTTTCATTTATCGATTTTATAAAAAAATTCAAAATGCCACGCAATTCAAAAGTATAAAATAAAATAATCTTTTAAAAAAATTTGAACTAGATAGAAAATACGATAAAACTAAAAGAAATAAATAATAAATAATTTTTATTTCTTGTTCATGTGATAGCAAAAATAGAGTAATGATAAATATAATAACATTGATTCTTAAGAAAAAATATAGTCAATTTGTAATTTTTTCACGAAATTGAATTAAGAAAATGATAAAAAATTTATATATAATTTTTTTGAAAGTTTTACATTTATTGTTTTATATTTAAATTTTTAATATTTTAAAAATATTATATTCATTATAAAAATATTATTTTTAATTTCGAATCGGATTACTATCATATGAGACCAAGGTATATCTACATTTATCCATTTAATAAACAAGTTACCGTATTCGGATTATAGTCGAATTTAGATAAAAAAAACAAAAAAAAATTATTTACATGATCTATTTATTTACATCAGGTTAGAATTGAGTTTGGATAAAAATTCGATTCATTTACAGCACTAACTATGAGATTCATGGGTTTTCAAACCCATTATTTTTTGTTTAATTTCTCAAGAAAAAATGGAGACTTGGAATTCTTTCTTCTCTTCCTATGAAAGAAATCCACACAAGATTTTCTATTTATATGGGTTAAATTTTAGATTTATTATTGTACCTAAAATAAACATGAAACTTTTTTTTTCATATTTAATTATAATGGTATTTCTAATATGTTTATCTATATTTTTGGCTTTTTATAGAGGAAAACAACTTACAAAGTAATGTTGGGATTAGGTACCAAAATTTTAACCATTTGATTTCTTCTAATAACTTCCACTCTCTCTTCCACTGATTCACAGCCTCACCCTTACAGCCGCCGCCCACACCCAACACACACAACGCAGCCCCGTCGACCGTCGTCCGCCCCTTTCCGACCCCTCAACTGTCCGGACTCTTCTTCTCTCAGTCACAGCCCTCGGCGCAACCCCATTGAAAGGCGTCACACAGTCACACTCTCAGTCTTCTCGGCTTTCAATTCCATATTCCAAGGTTAGTTTTTTTTTTTTTTTTCATTTTGTTTTTTTGTAAGAGAAGAGGAGAAAGAGGAAGCAGAAGAGTGTGTTGTAGTTTGCATGTCTAAAATTCTAGAAAAGACTTTTCATTAATCTTTAAAAAATGTAGAACGAATTCATAAAATGATTATATGAATGATTAATTTGTTTGCCTTTGGGTTTTCTTTTGGTTCGGTAAAAGTGGTGATTATTTTGTCAGTTAAACTAATGGGGGTCTTGTTGGATTAGAGGTTTTTTCAGAAGGTAAAAGTGGCAAAAAAGTTGGTGAAAGTTGGGATCTTGAGCAAGAAATAGGAAACCCAAGATGGGTTAGCTTTTTGTACTTATGGGTTCTGTGGAAAGATATAATTGATGAATTTTGTAGATGGTGATTGGTAATGTTGCAGCATATATATCTGATTGTTGGAGCATCTTCACCAGGCCTCTGTTGTAACTTGGGTGTTTGTAAAAACCCAAGTTAATGCTTTTCCATATGATGACTTTGTGAATGATAATATGGTGTTGAACTTGGATTAAGGGAACTTTCAAATTGTTGAATCTAGATGTGAAGTTTTTTTAAACTCTTTATTGAAGAAAAAATTGATTTTAATAGTAGTATTTAATGAAGGAAGGATGGGTTTGGAGATGGTGACTCTACCTTTTTCTGGTTTGTAAGATTTTTGTAGTATGTGATGATTCTCTTTCTTTTTTTAATTGAAATTTATGAATAAGTATGTTTCCTCTACTGGGGGTGTTTTATGGTTCCTTTTTATAAAAAGATATGTATCGAAGATTCTTTTTTGTATCAAAGGGGTTTTTGTATTGACGAATCTGGTTAATTTGCTCATGGTTTTGGCAGTTTTAAGGGCAGGTGCAACATCTTGAAAAGTTTAGTAGTTAATGTATCACATGTATCACTTGGATAAAATACCTTCACGATTACTAGCTGTAGTAAAATTGATTTTTTTTTTTGTCTGTTTACAGAGGCAACGAAAAGTTTGTGAATATGACAAATCTTGCAGTATATTTTGGACATTTTTTATACTTTTTGGTTCATGACAGGTGAAAAAAGTGGAAGAAGAAAAAGATGTTTCTCAAAGTGCAGTTGCCCTGGAATGTCATAATACCTGCTGAGAACCTGGATGCCAAAGGACTAATGCTCCAAAGGTCAATTGTTGTGCGCCTCCTAGATGAATTTGCAAAGAAAAGGGCCACCAAAGATCTTGGATACTTTCTTGCTGTCTCGACTTTGGAGAACATAGGGGAGGGAAAAGTCAGGCAGCAGACAGGAGATGTGCTATTTCCTGTTGTTTTCAGCGGCATCACCTTCAAGATTTTCAGGGGGAGATCTTAGAGGGGGTTGTTCACAAGGTCCTTAAGCATGGGGTTCTCTTGAAAAGTGGGCCAATGGAGAACATCTATCTCTCTTGTATGAAAATGACCGGGTACCGCTATGTGCCTGGAGAGAATCCAGTTTTCTTAAATGACAAGACGTCTAAGATTGAAAAGGATGTGGTGGTTCGTTTTGTTGTGCTTGGAACGAAGTGGCTAGAGGCAGAAAGGGAATTCCAGGCTTTGGTCAGTTTAGAGGGCGATTATCTTGGACCCGTCTCTTAAAGATCTACTCGTACTCGGTTGGAGATCCCATGTCTTCCTAACTTGTACATTCTTGTGCCTCTCTACTCCTTATTGTGACTTGGTCTTTGAGTTCTTGCAACTTAAGTGATTGCTAGACTATCACTTTAGTAACTTCATGTTTCCTTCTGTCTGTAGATGTTGACAAATATCATTACATGATTTTAGAAGCACTTCTCATTTTTAGTTAGTGTGCATGTGTATCAGTTCTTTAGCCATTAATATTGTTTTGAACTCATGGTTTGCTATGGGAAGTTGAGAACCAAAACTCAGTTGTTACCGGTGCACGGGCGGTACGGTGTTCTATCCTTCTGTGAAGTTTAAAATCTTGCCTGAACTGTATTTTTGCATAGTTGCCCTTCAGTCTTTGAATCTTTTGAATGTGGTTTAGCTGCAAAGCCGCAGGCAGCCTGAACTACTCTTTGCTATGGTAGTTTCGATTTCCTTCTCAGGCTACAAAGTAACGTTGGCAAAGAATAAATTGATATTGTTTTGCTAGGTTGAAAATTGAAGTTGTAGAATTTGAAATTGTTTTTAGAAGTTTTATCATATTTATTTTATTTTATTAAAGAAATGTCTTTTTTATTAATTTTTAGTTTCTATTTGTGTTAAATTCAATTCGTTTATTTTTTATTTTTATTAATTTTGAGTGATATTGAGATATTCATAAAGTATGGGGATAAAATTGACATTTTATAGAAATTTCTAGAAATGAATGGAGGGTGGGAATTGAAACTATGATGAAAGTTGATGGGGCTAATTAGAAAAATAAAACAAGAAGAAGGCAAATTAGGGGTAAAATTGAGACACGTCATAAACCCAGATGGGCAAATTAAAATTTATTCATTATTATTGTATTTGATGGCTATGTTGTTTTTTCGATTAACGCAAGCTCAAACCACGTGAAATTAAGTTCTCTTCCTGAAAAACATTTCTTTCGTACGTTTCGCTGCATTTTGAAAAATTGATCGACACTGTCAATTTATTGGTTTCGTATTAAGCCTAATGATTTTCAAATAATTTTTTTTTATCAATATATAGAATTTGAAATCTGAAATTATATTTATTAAAAATAGTTAAATCTTGTGATTTATGTTTTCAATAAAATTAATTATATTTTCAATATAAGATGAGAATATTTGAGGGAAAAAAAATCAATGAAATTCGCTTTTATAGTCGGAGGAAAGATTAAGGGAAGAGTGTTTTTAAGAGTGATTCCTACATGGAATTCAAAAACTAAAATGATACACATTTTTCTAAAGTTAATTATATTTTTTTAAAAACAAATTTGTTGGTTTTTTCGATTTGAATATATCAATTTTAATTTTTATTATATGAATATATCAAATTATAATTTTTTTTCTATTTGAGTGATTTTGTTAAATTTACACTAATGTGACACTTAATTCGTACATAATGAATAGAAATAAAGTATTTATTAGAAATAAAGTATTTATTATATATTCAGTGCAAAAACTTTTAATGCTCAATCACCTAGAGACAGTATAGATAATTAGTAAATATTTTTGTTTTTTTATTTTTTTTAAGTATTTTCATCATACATTAGAAATATGACTAATCATGTTGGGAATGTAAGCGACAATTTAACTCCTTTTAACAAATGTGATTTTAGAATTTAAATCTTTTATATTGATAAAAAATTTGTTTGAAGACAAACTCACTTATCACTAATTCAATAATTTGTTAGTAGTAAATATCTTTACTTTGTGAAAATTGAATCGTCACTTTTCAGTTTTTTTTTTTTTTTTTTTTTGAAAAAAGCTAGAATGGACAGTTTAATAAGCCGAAAAAAATAGAGTGTCGCCGTTTGTTAATTATTATTGCAGAATAATTATAAGTGAAAAAAAATTAAAATCAAATGTCAAGAATGGGATTCGAACCCATGCCCTTTCGGACCAGTACCTGAAACTGGCGCCTTAGACCAACTCGGCCATCTTGACTTTTGCTATTTAGCAACCCACTAATTAATTATAATTAAACATAACATGGATTACTGTAAGAAGTTGACAATTGCTGCTCTGAGCAGTTTCAAGCCCAAGCAAACCTCTTGCTTGCTTGCTATGAGTTATCGTAACCCATATGTCAAAAAACTTTTTTTTTTTTTTTTTTGTATAAAAAAGATAATAAATAAATTCACAGATGACAAGAAGAAAGAGCAAGCCCACAAGTTGATGAAAATCTCTCCTCGCTCACAAAAAAAAAAAAAAAACATGAATAGTCAAATCAAAAACACTAGAAAAAATGTAGCATTCACCTTCAAAAACATGACCTATCCTACACTAGACAAGTTTTTGTGTGCAGTCAGTCAGTGATTCATGCAGTAGAATAGGAAAAAAGAGTATATGGAAGGTGGGGTCCTTCTTCTGTATCTCAGCAATACCTAACTGCATCATCTTCTAACCTTTCTGGCTTTCTGCCATGCCTTAAATGCCAGAGAATTGACAATGCAGCATCAATGCCATTAATTGGGTATAGTATCTCTGCCACTCTCCATCTTTATTGCTTCGTTCTCACCCTTACCTTAGCTATCTATAGCTGGTTGGATAAGGCAGCCCTGCAGATGATAAATGCAAATCAACACGAAAACGAATGTTTTTTTATTTGATTTTAGGTGAAAATATTCTTCGATTCGATTAATTTTTCGATATAGTTAAAAAAACAAATCAACAGACCAGATGGAAGGAAGTAAACAGCAACAGAAAATATTGGATGATTGAACCATAGACAGCAAGCAAAGAGGTTGTACAGTTCACAGTGAGTTTGGGTGTTGCTCTACAGTAAATGAGTAATAAGAATGTTGACAATAATGGTTCACAATAAAAGTCTAAAAATAATACAAAACATTTATGACTCGATTGTGGGTGATCTATTAGACGATGAGCATGGCCTGCTTTTAAGTATGGCAAGAATTCTTCGTTTGTTTGTTCTATGGTGATGGTAACATGGATGATGATATGTTGATAGCAAAGGCTTACCGAGTAAAATTAATGTCTTTACAAAGAACAATTTATAGAGTTTTCTTGCAAATTGATTCAAATTAGGTTAATTGGTTATAAAATATCTTGAATCATTAACCAACAAGAGAGAAGTTTTTAACTTTTTTTTCTCCTAATTTGGCAATTTTTTTTTTTTTGGGTCTACTATTAAGGTTTTTTTTTTCGTTTAAAGCTTTGAGAACATATATCGTTATTTTAGTAACTTAAAGCTGTCTCTTATGTCCGTCTTAAATTAGTTGACAAGATAAAAGAACTTGATTGAGGACTAAGAAAACATTGAGGATCTAAATAAATAAAAAAAAGTTAATTTTTTTTTAATAATTTAAAGTGTTTTATAACCAATTAATGTTCAAATTAATATTATCAATTTTCAACCTTTTATTTTTTTGAACAATTCGATTCATTTTTTATGTATAAAGAATAATTTATAGAGTTTTCTTGCAACAAGACTCAAATTAGGTTAATTAGTTATAAAGTACTTTGATTATTAGTGAAGAAGAAGAGTTTTTGATCATTTTTTTTTTTCTGATTTGGGTTTTTAATTTTTTTTATCTATAATTAATTTTTTTTTGTTTGGTTGACAAATTTCAAACTATATTAAAAACAGTAAAGACACATAGAGTTATAAAATAATGATATGTGTTTAGAATATATATTGTTTTAATGGTTTTATGTATCTCTCATGCTATTTTAAATTAATATGAAATAATTTGATTGTGGACAAAAAATATGAGTTCATTTGGAAAGTGTTTGATTTAAACACTAATACACATTTTGTATGAGTCTGATTTTATGGTTCATCAACTTTGGTTAAAATCTTATTAGGTTTTTTTGTGTTTCTTCTCGTTTGGTTAAAATCATATTAGAAAATCATTCTTTTTTATCCACTAATGACGAGATCCCTCAAAATTAAAGAAAGTCAAAATTGATAAAATAAAAAATGATTTCGTATAATTATATGCTCTAATCAAAACGGTATTTAGTAAAGAAATTTTTATAAATTTATGAGCTCAGTACAAAACCAAAAATAAATAAATAAAAATTAATGTTCAATTTGTAAATTCTTAAATAATACAATATCAAATCATTAAAAAAATATATTTTTTTTTGGCGTTAAAATCAAGAATTATTCCAAAGTTAGCTTGTACATGTCAAAATCAAATTCATCTTTTCAGTATTATCACATACATCATAAGAAAACAAAACTAGAAAATTCCAAAAAAGAAATCATAATTACAAAACAATATTGCTGTGTTGACATATGATACAATCATCCCTATTTCCCTTTTCTTTAGAGAATAACATTTTTGTTTTCAATTTTACTGTAAAATTGTATTCTTTTATGGTAAAAAAATATAAATATATAAATAAACTAATTATGTATTCAATAAAAAAATATTATATGTCTAGCAGTAAGAGAATTATCTTAATTTAATCAAGATTAAAATTCAATTTTTACTATCTACAAATAATTAGCTATAATTATTCTTTGGCGATATCATACTTGAGCTTATTTGGTTTAAAAAGAAGATTAGTGTCCGACTAAAAGCTGAACTTATTTTAGCGTTGGTTTAGCTTAGAAAATGATGAACTTAGTTTCAATTGATGCAAAAATTAATCTAATTGTTCTAGCGCTGGCTCGGTTGATGAAAAACTAACCTAAAAACACTCAATAACTTGTAAATATATATTTAAAAACTATTTGAGTGATAAAATTAATCAAACGTAAACATTTCTATAAAAAAAAATTGAAGTAAAAATCAAATTTGTTTATTTTTATTAAATTAATATTTTTAAATGAAAATTTACACTTCGAGATTAAATTTGTGTAATCGATTGCATAAAAATACAAACCATCCGATATAAAATTAAAAATTATTTGTTGAGATAGATCTGGCAAAAGCCCAAAAAAAAAAAAATGAAAAATGAAAATTAATCCATGGCCCAATTGAAAGAAGAAGAAGAACCTCTTTTTATTACATTATTATTATTAGTTCATTAATTGCAAAGCCTAAACGGCTAAAACCAGACATAGACAGACGCCCTGAGGGGAAAAAAAAAGGAAAAAACTCTCTCTCTCTCTCTCTCCTGCTGTGACTCGCTGTCTTTTGCTTCTCTCTCTAAAATCGTTTCATTTTTCAAGTAAACAAACGCCATTGTTAAATCATTTTTTTTTCCTGAATACCCCACCAGATCCATTTCGCTATTCGATTTCGTGATTTGATTTTCGGAGCCCATCAAAAAAAGGTACTTTTTTCTTATTCTTTTTGCTGGCTTTTTTTTAAAATGTTAAAAAAATTTTGTGCTTTATTAATTCGTAGTTGCATAAAGAAATAAGGGTTCTTCATTTTTTGTTAAATTTCCATCTGGGGTCTCAATAAAATTAAAAAATGGGGCGAAAGATTGAATTTTTTTTGTTATTACATGATCTGTTCTTTGTTATAATGTTGTATTTTGGGTTCAAAATGGTCTAATCCTTTATGGGGTTTTGTTTAAATATAAGGAGATCATGTTTACAGCTTAGTTTTGCATGGTTTTTGTTGTTGTAATGACTTCTTTTGTTGACTATGAACGTCACTGTGCATAAAATATGTTGACTTTTTGTGCAGCTTGTTGTGCTTATTGTTTACAATTTGACAGGATTGGGAAAAATTACGGCGCTTGTCTGTGTAGTGTTTCACATTGAAATGCCTAATATGTACTATGGATTAAGACAATGATTGAAGTTTTCTTTAAAAGTTGATTGAGTCGAGTTTTTGTTGGATTTCATATGTTGTTTGAGTTTTAAGGCTGTTAGGTTGTGTGTTTCTTGTTTGATATGTAGATATCAGTTGCTGTAGCCTAGAGGTTTACTTTCTTTCTTGCTCCATTTTATGGATCTTAGGCTTGTCTAGTTTACATAATTGTCTGGTTAATGCTATCATCAAGCTTCAGATTGTATGTTATGACAATAGGTTCATTCGTGCTAGGTTGCTAGCTTTATATTTATGGTTCGAGAGGAATGGAAGCAGTTAGTTTTTACAGAGCAATAATCCAAATAATTCTATGGCTATTTGGAAAACATAATTGAGAAGAGAAGTAGGTATCAGGAAAGTAACCTTTTGAGTGATGAGTAACAAGAGTATTCTGAGATTTCTTCAGGGAACAATATTAATGTTTGTGCAACTTGTTCAAAAAGGAGACATTAATTTTGTCATTTGATTTGAATTGTTTTTTACTCATTCTCTTCTGATCTCCAATTGTCATATTTTTTTGGCTAGTATGGTGTTTGGAGATCATAATGTGTCTACTTGTTGAAAATTTTATTGGGTAGATCGCAAGAAGGATCTGGCCACAACTGTGTGGTCCTGTGGTGAGCTTAGAAGTACAAAACAGGAGGTGAGCTGAAGTTAGATCAATATAGGGGGAGAAAGGCTGTTAGTTAAGTCAAACAAGGGATAGAAGAGAAGGGCAAAAAAATTGAGGCCAATAGAGTTAGCTTAATGTTGGAGGAGTTGCTTTAAATTTTCAAGCTTTTGGTTCCATTACTCCTGATCTTCTTGTCTTTAGTTTGTGTTTATAGTGGTTACATTCTCTTAAACTATGGTAAATTAGATGCTGATGCTTTCTTGATATTGCAGGGACCTTAAGTCTCATTTGAAGAGCAATACTGGATTCTACAAAGAAAAAGCACCTGGTTGAATTAGGCAAGTGGCAGGAAGCAGAGGATGGATTAGAAGTTACTACTTTCTACACTTTAATGAGGCCCGCCAACTTTAGCTTCAAAAGATAGATATTTCCTTGGGTTTCAACATGTTCTAATTAATTTCTTACTGCATCCCTTGTCCCTTTATATACCTTCCCTGCCTTTCAAGTTTCCTTTGTATTCTGCCCTCACTCTTGGATATTCTAATTCCGTTTACTTATCTTGTATAGGGGAGCTTTTGATCCTTCTTAGGAAAATATTTAAGCTCCCCTGAAAATATCTGCAATTCAGAAGTTTGGTCATTATTGATATGCTTCTATAGATAGGCAATTCTGTGAAAGTTGAAAAATGGCGTTTTACTCTGAGGACGACAAAGCAGATGATTACCTTTTTAAGATTGTCTTAATTGGTGACTCAGCTGTTGGGAAGTCGAATTTGCTTGCAAGATTTGCTAGAGATGAATTCTACCCCAATTCAAAGTCAACAATAGGGGTAGAGTTCCAAACCCAAAAGCTAGATATTAACGGAAAGGAAATTAAAGCACAGATCTGGGACACAGCCGGTCAGGAGCGATTTCGGGCTGTAACGTCCGCATACTACAGAGGTGCAGTTGGAGCTCTTCTGGTTTATGACATCAGTCGGCGCCAAACATTTGATAGCATTGGCAAATGGCTTAATGAACTTCACAGTAAGTTGCATAACAACTTTGCCTGGATTTTTGCATCCCTTTTTTTTTCTCTTTTCTGTACGGTTGATGTTTGGTTTTACCACTATTTGGTGATAATCCTTGCAGTAAAATTATTATTATGACACTTTGCAGACCAATTTGTTGTTTCAACCTCTATGCCTACAGCATTATTTTGGTACTTTTCCTTTTAAATGGAAGATTGATTTTTGATTGGTTTTCTGTTCCACAGCTCACTCTGACATGAATGTAGTAACAATACTTGTCGGAAATAAGTCCGATCTCAAGGATGCCAGAGAAGTACCAACAGCAGAAGGCAAGTCCTTGGCTGAGGCACAGGGTTTGTTCTTCATGGAAACTTCAGCACTCGATTCCTCCAACGTTGCTGCTGCCTTTCAGACAGTTGTCAAAGAGATCTACAGTATATTAAGCCGGAAAGTTATGATATCACAAGAACTCAATAAACCGGTTGCTCCCGAGCTGGGAAATAGAAAGACTGTGGTTTTAAAAGGAGATGGGAATCAAGAAGGCAGTGCAGGGACTAGAAAAGGATGTTGTTCATCTTAGAATTAAACAGCAGCTTAATTACTTCTTTTTGCCAATTTCTTTCTTGGTATCCTGAGTTTGCCACTCATGTTTTTTTTTTAACTCACACATCCAAGGTTCCTATTAGCTAGGATTTAACAGATTTGAATCCATGATCTCTTGTTGCATTGCAAGAGACAACTATCATTAGATTACAAGCTCGTTGGTTTGCCACTCATGTTCCATCCTCCATTTGTTCAATTTCTTAGATTGTCTTATGTAGTAGAATGTTTCTTTACTTTTTCCTAAGTTAATGATGGTTGAAAAAGATAAATTGGAGCAGAAAATGTAAAAAATAAGTAAAATATGAAATGATTAATGAAAAAAATGATATTTTTAAAATAAAAATAATTAAATTAAGTTTGGTCAATATTGATTAAAACCTAAAGATTTAATGTTTCAGAAAATCATGGGCTATATATATTTTTAATGATTATAGTTTGTTTTTAAAATTTTGCATAGAAAATTATCAGTTAAGCATTCGATATTAATATTAATACATATCTGATTTTTTGATCAAAATTTCGAGTAATGTTGACATAATAATTCATGTAAATATAATAGTTGGAGTTTAGCAAGTCATGTAGGATCTACGTAGGTAAGGATGTAGAAAAGAATTCACATAGATAATGACATGGAAAATCAATTATTGGATCCTATATGGTTTGCTAGAGTCCAATTGTCATGCTTAAGTGTATCTTATATAACTTGCTAAAGTTCAACTGTCATACTTCGTCATTTATTATGTCAGCATTGTCTAAAATTTTAATCGAAAAATCATATATGTACTAGTATTGTTATTCGATGCTTAATTTATGATCTTTCTATATAACATTTAAAGAACGAGATAATTTTTAATGTATAGTTCGTGATTTTCTGAAACATTAAGGAAGAACTAAATAATAAGTTCTGAAACAAAAGGGACTAAATTCGTTTCTTAAAAAACGAGGGACTTATTTATAATTTACTCATGATTACGTGGCACTAATATATACATATTTATGTACCACGTCCAATCCGAAAAAAATAAAGACGCGCACGCGTTCCCCCGAGGACGTTTTGTCTTCTCACGCTCCCGATGCCACGGCTACAAACTTATGGTACAAGTCAGAAACAATAATAACAAAACGACGGCGTTTCTAATGCAGATCAGGGACCACTCATATAGCGACACGTTGCTTCGTCCCTAAAGTAATTTCTCAAGCCACTCCTATGCCTGCCTGGATCATTTTAACTTCCCCCAATTCACGCTGTTTTTAACACCGAATCACAGAAACCAAACGCATTTCTTGCTGAATTGGATTCCAGATTCCGTAGAATTGAATTCGATTAAAGAAAATGGGGAGATTATACATAGAGACAGTGAAGAATAGCGAAGGAGAAGAAGGTGAAGAAGGAGAAGGAATAAGGAAGATCTTCAAGTGCAAGTGCTGTAAAGTTGAATTCGCTTCTCATCGTGATATCCTTTCCAAAAATTTCCAAGGCCGATTCGGCCGTGCTTATCTCTTCAAAAATGTGTAAGTCTTCTCTTCTCTTCTCCATAAATATCAGTTTTCTTTTTATTTTCTCTTTTTTACCCACTTGATCATAAACTGTTAATCATGAAATTATTGTTTTTTTTTTTGAAGAATTTTTTTTGCAACTATTTAGACGAAAATTAGCATAATTTTGATTGAGATTAAGCTTATCTGCTTGTTGACCATAGATGCCACGTTTCATGTGAGTTTTTTTTTTTTTTTTTAATAAATTGTATATTTATCATAGATTTTTAATTTTTGAGAAATTGCTGATGGATGGAAGGATGAATGGTGAATGCAGGGTGAATATTTCGTTAGGACCGAACGAAGAGCGATTGCTAATAAGTGGATTGCATACTGTTTGCGATATTTATTGTACTTCTTGCCAGCAAATGTTGGGTTGGAAATATGTGAGTAATCTAATCTATATGCCATTTTCTTTCTTTCGTTTATTCGTAGTTGAATGTGTTCTGTACTCTGTAGTGTACAATCGCCGCGTCTCGGTATATAGATGCATTGAAACACTAGCTGAACTTATCAGGAGGGCCGTAATTGAAGTGTTGTTGTTCTGGATTATTAGCAGAGAGAACTAGGAATTAGTGGGTTGTTAGGAAACAAATCAAGCAAGATAAATAGAGTATAAAAACCAGAACCATCACACAACAAAAAGATTTACATGGTTCGGCAATTGTGCCTACTCCACGGCAACACCAAGAGTTCTTATTTGGTTTGATCAAATGACGGCTTCAAATACAAGAGATGTTGTCCCTATTTATAGAATGGACAACTGGTGTTATAATAAAAAAGGCCTTACCAAGCTATACAACTGGCTATGCTGGCTTTGTGTAGGGCACTAAAGTGCAAACCACATTCACATCAGTCTCCACAACTTAATAGTTATTAGTTAATGAATTTTGTGACATTAAGAGATACTAGCAGCATTTGATCGTGTGCATTGTGTTGCTGATAAATGAGAGAAGTAATGGCCTGCTTTTGTTCGAATTATATGGTCAAGTTTGTAGATAAATCTTCTCTGATGAGAACTATGGTAGTGTTGGCAATAGCAATCCCCATCTCCATCCTTCATGGATAGGTGGCAATATATGATAAATGTGGGTTGATAGAGAAGTGGTGGTTCTGAATTTAGTGTTTTTATATCTTTGTAAGACAATTTTTCGGTTTATCGATCATTTTAGAGCTTAGGGAATGCACCTCAGAATTCAGATTCTGCGAGCTCTGTTTCAGTAACCACCCTGTTTTTCTTACTTTGATCCTCATTGATGGTAATGATTGTAGGAGAAAGCTTATGAAGAGAGCCAGAAGTACAAAGAAGGAATGTACATTTTGGAAAAGGAACGGATGTTGAAGGAGGGCTGGTGATGTTTTGACAAAAGAAGCATAGAATTATCGCTAAGCAGTAGTTAGAAATAGAATTTGTAAGAGGACATTGAAGACCGTTTGCATCTTTGAGTAAGTTCTTGGATTCTTGAACAACACATTAAAAAAACATGTAATTTGAACACTGAATTATCAATGGACCCTCTTATTATGTTCTTGATTGCGTCATTTTCTTGCTTTGCTTTTAGTAGTTGTGCATTAAACATGGTTTTCAATCCACCAAAATCCAACCAAGCAAAGCAAGCCATATGGAATGGAATGCAGGTTGGGTTCCTATCTTGAAAAATCCCCTTCAACCTATTGCGGTCCTATAGTTTTTATATTATCAAAGCTATGATAGGAGTCTTAATTTTTTTTGGAGTAAATTATAAATTAGTCCTTTTAGTTTTGAAAAATGAATTAAATAGTCCATCTTGTTTCAAAAACTAATTATTTAGTTTCTTGATCAGTATTGATCATCCTTAATTTAACATTATTCTATTTCAAAAATGTCTTCTTTCTTCATCAATCTTTCCATAATATCTATTTTTTTTATTTTTTAAAACAAGAGAAATTGGAAAAGAACATTAAATTAGTAATTTCTTTTTCTAAATTGTTTTTTCTTTGAGGTCTTATTTTTCTACTTCATCCACTCTCTTTTTTCTTCTCAATAAAAAATTAAAAAAAGGAGAATTTGAAAATAAAAATTACTAATTTGATAGAAAATTGATGTAATGATTAAATTATTGAAATAATTAAATTGTGAATAATTAAATAATTAGTTTTTGAAAGAAAAAAGACTAATTAATTTATTTTTTCTAAACGAGAAGGACTAATTTATAATTTACTCCATTCGCAAGGTCATCATTGAAGTTATTGTAAAGTGGAAAAGCCATAATGAGATAAAAAAAAATTAGTTAAAATAATTATCAAACCAACAATTTATTATATATATATATATATATATAAAACTTCTATTTTACCTATGAAAATTATACCGTTTATAATGAAGAGCAAAAGATGAGTTTTTCCATGAAAATTATAGAACCGGCATGCCAAAACTAGAAATTGGAGGGGAACAGTACCATGGGAGGATTTCAATTGGCTTGAGAATTGGTGCAGGCCACAATGGGAGCTCAATACAGAAGGCATTTCCTTCACTAAAACAACTTTGAACTTCAAGAATCATAGTTTTAAATCATGAATAATAAAAAAATGATCATGATTATCATCGTAGATCATAATTTATTTTAATAGTAAAATAACAATAATAAGATATTTTAAAATCTTGTCATAAAAAATCATTATATAAAGTGACGGCCGTAATTTAAAATTATGTTAGGAAACATTTTCAACTCGCTTGTTGGCATGTTGCATGAGATGACAAAAGGATCAGATTCCAAGTACACAATTTCCTGGACCAAGGAACTTTCAGGTATCATTGCATCAACATAAAACAAGAAAGAAACAAACAAACAGGAAGATGATGTATTTTGGAGCAGCATGAAACAAGAAGAGATTGGTCTGGTCCCTGCTTATGCTTGGCTTCTCGTCTTCACCAGCCAAAGTTTTCCTCCCTCAGTCTCTTATATCATGTCTTTAAACTTTACCTTTCTGGTGCAAGCGACAAACGAAAATTGCAGCTAATCTGTTTGTGATAATTTCGCAAAGAAACAAACAGGAAAAGAAGGAAAGAAAGGAAAGTAAAACTCTTGATATTCTTACAGACAAGACAGACAACTAATCCTAAGAAAAATAAAAGTAAATGGTAAATAAGTTAGGCCTTCACTTGAAATCCATTATAATGGGCCTCAACCAAGCCCCCTTTTTTGGGCCTAAATTAATCCACTTTCTTTGTAGAAAATAGAAAATAAAAATGGAGGGCTAAAATGGCTCTAATTTTACATGTAATAACAATGACTTCGAACATGATTTTCAAGGGTTTATATATATATATATATATATATATATATATATATTTCTAATGATATGGAATTATTGACATGCAGTATTAATGATTATTACCTATTTATTTATTCAAGTTTTGTTTTCCAAAATCCACACCAAAATATATTATATGATAGGATTAAGAGTTCTAAAATATAGTTATGTCTGTGTTATAAAAAAAAAATTAGAATATTGGAGGAAACTATAATTTTCTATGAAAAAGAGAAAAAAAGATCAAAAGAATGCTAAAGCTATAAGAAAAAAAAGGTAAATTTGTTCAATAAAAATAAGAAAAAAATTAAGAGTTCCAAAATATAGTTATGTTTGTCTTATAAAAAAAATTAGAATATTTGAGGAAACTACAATTTTCTATGAAAAAGAGAAAAAGAAGATCAAAAGAATGCTAAAGCTAAAAGAAAAAAAGGTAATGTTGTTGAATTAAAAATAAGAAAAATCTCAAGTGGCATAAATTTTAAATTTTTCGTATTCTGATTCTATTTATGCCCTTATTTTAATTTACAAAAACTATGACTTAATTTATATTTTATTCTAATGGACAAAAATTACTATATACTTCATTTTAATTTACAAAAAATATTATAAACATATTTTCTAATTAATGGTGATGAAATATTAGGATTTATGTAGGATTATTGGATCATTTTATTGGAATTCGAAAACCATCTTCTTATATGAAAAATCATTAATAATAATACAAGTGATAAGTTAATTTTTTTTCTATAAGAATCTTTTGAAACTTTCGTATTTAATAAGTGCTGTAATTTATCATAGAAATCACAGAATTGTAATCAAGCCAATAATTTTCACTCAAGTTCTGTTATATAATCTGTTGAGTGCAAAACCCTAAAAGAAAAAATAAAAAAAATGAAGAGTTGACCCAAAAAACAATACAAACAAGAAGAAAACCCAAATAAATAATGCTAAAAAATTTTATTTATTTATTTTTAATGTAGATGCCACCAAAAGATGCACCATACAATCATTTTGAGCGTACCCCAAAATGTGATTTTACATCTTAATCAAATTTCAAGAAAGAAAACCTATATTAGAAAAAATCTCAACAGCTCAAACCCTACACAGATTTCCTTGTGATTGCTTTCTACGGTAAAAACGTCGAAACAGGCAAGCCAATTAGCTCTAATCATTTTTTCTTTATACAATCGAACATCTGGACAAGAAACATATATGAAATTCACTTCACCATCCTATGCGGCAATTCCTGAAACAGACGAAAATCAAGAACACCATTGCAGTCTCATTGAGAACAGTAACGCTGGGGTAAAAATTTGCAAGAATTAGAATTTAATCGGCATCGGTTACATGTATCAAGATGAAAGCAACAACTAAGAAATGATAAAGAAATAAGGGTTCAGACATGATCTCCATCCAATCATTTGCACATGATAATGCAGATAAAATGAATATATCAAGTAGGCAGAGATGTCTCATTCACAGTACAAAATAAGTTTCAAAAGAAAGAAAGTACCTCCTCCTCTACAGCATTCGAGTCAGAAATCTAGGTGCCATAATCTAGGCGAAGCCAATCAATTTTGTTTTGTTTCCTCCTGTCAATGGTTGTGGCATGGAAGAAACGAGTACACCTATCTCCATATTGAGCCCATTCGACTCTAGATTTTTGGAACCTGAACAGCTCTTCTTGGTGGAGAATTAATAGAAAAGGGGGTAGGTTAGGGAGCTTAGATTGAGTTGAAATTCGGTATTCCCATTCTCCTTTGTAGTTTCTAGGTTGTGTTAAAATTTCGTGCTACCTTGAATTTGTTTGGGTAGAGAACGCATATAGCCCTTTTGAGGATAAGTTGTGCGCGTGATTGGTTTTGTGGGATCCAATTGGGTTGGTTGTATAAGGGTTGATTTGATTGTGGTTGATTTATGTTTGTGTGATTATTCGAGGTGTGTTCGAGGGATATTTGAGATCTGATTGGTGTCGATTTGAGACTGGTTTTTGCCTTGATTATTTCAGCCTAGAGTTGTTCGTGTGTTGCTTGTTGTTTGAGCATTCGGCAAGACTTAACATCTCTAAATCCGACATCATATCTCCTGAGAAGCCGGCAGCTTCCACCCTTACAACAATGTCAAACCCTAAGGCAGTAGATACCTTCGAAGCTCTAGCATGCGAAATTTGAGATTCAACAATAACAACAGCATAAATTTTTTTTTTTTTTTAATGAGTTCTTTCAGGTAAGATCGAAACTCCAATTTGCCAGATCCTCAGCAGTTCCAATCTACAATATTCAGCTTATTAAAGATAAATATAATAAACAACATAGGAGGGGAAATACTAAGCTAGACAACTCAAATTCCACTTCAGGGATCATCTCAACTTCCATTCTCTACTCTTTGGCTTCATGGCTGGACTCACTGTCCATGAACTCGATTTCTGGAGAAACCCCATCAATGGCGGAGGGGTGACGAGCCAGATGCTTGGTAGGGCCTGGATTGGGTGGAAACAAATGCCTAGAGTGGAAAGAAGCCTCAGTCATGCCTTGGGGTTGGGAGGAATTGGACTAGGCAACATTTCTTTTGGCTGTGAAAGCTAATCGAAATTGGTCAGCCATGGCTAGCACAGTAGGGTCTGACACTGGATTTTCAATTTGAACTGCAACATTAGGGGACTGATTCTCTCTAATCTGATGACGCAAAATTTTGATCTTTCAGATTGGAGCTGTTGTAGAGCAGATTGGGTGGGCATGGCCTGAGCATTGAGGCCAAGAATTTATTGACAGAATCTTGTTTGAGCTAATTTCCCTCTCTCATGTAGATTCCTAGACCTTGAATTTCTCGTCAATTTCTTCTCCATAATCATCCATTGACTAAATCCCCGATTTTCTCCCAAATTGCCATTACTTTCCTTAGTCAGCATGGTTTCCTTAACTGTGTAATCTTCATTGCTTTCATGGCTGCCATGTTCATGGTGAGCCGAACTGTAGAGATGGTTGGAGTGATGGGTATTCAGAGTCTCTACGGCCATATCTGCCACATTGGAAATAGATAATGTGGAGACCTTCATTCACCACATTATAATTTTTTCCATCCAACTCCATCTGACCTACTAAGAGGCATCCCTATTCAATTTCAACACAAATCCTGGCAAGCTTACCCCAGTTGGCAAGAGTAGTATTCTTGTCAATCTTGATAGGTTTTCCAATTCTCGAGGTTAATGCTATCAGAAGATCTTCATCGCAGTATTGGATTGAATTATCGGGAATTCTAACCCAAACTAGAGTCGAATCAATAGTTCCTTCAGAGGCAATGAAGCCTAGGTTCATAGTTTCACTGAAAGGTAGTGATCAAGAATCATCATTAGTTCTCTTCTATAGTCGCCTAGGTTCATAGTTTCACTGAAAGGTAGTGATCAAGAATCATCATTAGTTCTCTTCTATAGTCATTTCAAAGTCATCTTTGTCGTCAGATTTAACTAGAAAAAAATCATATCCTAAATCCAAGACATAGAATCCATCCTTTCCATAGCAATTCAATTTTGGAGTATAGCAACCAAAAAAAAAAGTTGCCCAATAATTTGATAATAACCGATTGATGCCATAGTGATTCTAGAGCAGAAAGGAAGTATGGGTCAACATTGAAACTGAAGAGTATTGGATTATGATCTCCGAAAGATTTATGTACAATACCTGAAACAATTAGATCAATTGGTTATCAAATTTTGGTTGCATAAACTTTTTCTTTTTATTTTTCACGAGCCATAAGTTTTTAGCCATGAATGGATTATTCAATCTAGGAGGTTGCCAGAATTCCTGATCTCCATTAGGAGGACAATGGTCCGAAGGCGATCCGAAGGTCGAAGGCGATCCAAAGGTCGAGTCTTCTTGATGAATCGAGAGTCATTGGTGGAGGCACGTTCTCTTGATTGAGAGGAGCTCATAGTTTTTTTTTCCAAGTCGATCAATTAGCCTAGGATAAGATACAATTTGCAGAACTTCATTGGAATAGGAATAAGCTGCAAAACCATATTCTTATATGGAATTCAACTCTTATATCGAATTCAACCTAGAGTTTCTAGAATAGATTGGATTGATGAGTAATCCATATACTTCAAAAATCACTACTAATAATACAAGCGATAGGTGACGTATGATTTTTTTTTTTTCTATTAGAATCTTCTGAAACTTTCGCATTCAATAAGTCACGTAATTTATCATAGAAATCACAGAATTGTAAACAACCATCAAGCCGATAATTTTCACACAAGTTATGTTATATAATCTGAGTGCAAAACCGTTGAAAAAATGAACACTTGACCCAAAAACAATACAAACAAGAAGAAAACCCAAATAAATAATGCTGAAAAAAAAATTGTTTTTTTTTTCCTTTAATATTGCTGTCACCAAAAGATGCATCATAAAATCATTTTGAGCATACCCCATAATGTGATTTTACATCTTAATCAAATTTCAAGAAAGAAAACCTATATTAGAAAAATCTCAAAAGCTCAAACCATACACAGATTTCCTTGTGACTGCTTTCTACGGTAAAAACGTCGAAACAGGCAAACCAATTAGCTCTACTCATGTTTTCTTTATGCAATCGAACATTTGGACAAGAAACATATATGAAATTCACTTCACCATCACCTATTCATAATCATCCTATGCGGCAATTCCTGAAACAGACGAAAATCAAGAACATCATGTCAATCCCATTGAGAACAGTAACACTGGCGTAAAAATTTTGCAAGAATAATAATTTAATCAGCATTGGTTACATGTACCAAGATGAAAGCAACAAGAAAGAAGTGATAAAGATATAAGGGTTCAGATAATCTCCATCCAATAATTTGCACATGATAATCAGGATAAAATGAATGTATCAAGTAGCATCCACTTTGAAAGGTTTGGCAAATAGCCAGGATATTCATCTCATAGGTAAGTGTACTTTTATTCCTGCATTTTTCCAAGAAAAGATTAAATGCAATTTTCAAGACTATGCAGGTTGTGAGCGAGTACATGCCTGAGTATTTAGGTCAGCTTCACTATCCTATTTCACGATCTAGCAACTAATTACACAGTGAAGAAACAATTGGAACATTTGGAACACAATTACTTTTTGTACATGGCAATTAAGAAACATGTACGCCAACTGAAATGACCTCATTCCTAGTGATCGATATGCATATCAATGATTGTGAATAGTTGTTGAATCAATTAATCAGAATATTTGGCCATAACGTTTGAGGTTGGAGTAATACTAAATAGTTGCAATGGGTAAATCCACTGCAAGAGACTACCGTCATTAAATTCTGCAATTTTGCCTACGTCAATTATATTCTCCTGAGTTATGAAAGCTTGATATGAATATAAAATGTAATGTTAGGCTGCATTGGTTATCAGAGAAGAAATCAACATAAAGAGGGGGGAAGAGGAGAGAAGGAATACTTGCCTCTATTTGATTGTCTATTAGCAACACTATAACCCCCAACATAACCACCAGAATTTTTAGTCATCACATCAGAAGCTGCATTTCCAAGCCCAAAACCAAATGAGCCAGACACATCCAGCTCCGAAGGTGAAGATTGCCATGTGGAATCCCCATATAATGAACCCTTCTCATAAAAGTCTGCATAAGCCTCTTCATATCCGCCAATAGATGCAGCATGAGATGATGTCGGTGCAACGCCTGTCCTACTGTTTCTTCCATACCCTAACCCTCCTAGACCAATATCGAAATCTCCACCGCCAAAGCTAAGATTGCCACTGCTGTTGACAGAGCCAACTCCTCCACCTTGGCCAGAGTTAACGGAGGAACCCCAAAGTGCTCCAATACTGCCAAAAGAACCCATTCCTGAGTTCCCAGTTCCAGAGCCCATAAAAGCACTGGAGTTTGTGGTGTTCGGAGCAAGATTAATACTTCCATTTCCCCATAAAGAGTGAGCAGTTGAATTTAAGACAGAACTACTTCCACCATTGCCTCCACTAAATCCAATGGGGTTGCTGTACCTGCTCGCATTTCCACTATATGAAGGACTTACTCGTCCATAGCCAGCATTAGAACTGAGGTTTGAATTTCCCCCATAACTTGGGTTCAACACCTGCTCAAAATTCAATCCCATCCCATATCCAGTACCAAATGGAGAAAAGTTATTCCGTCCAACAGTAACAGGACTAAACCTACCATCCATTCTAACTCCATAGCCTCCAACAGAACTTGGATTGTATCCCTGAGTGTAACCATTGAGGAAGCTACTGACTCTACTTGGACTATAATTAAATCCTCCTAACTGGTTCCTAGTTGGCCCTGGAGATAACTCTTTGGGGACAGCCCGCTTGACCTCAACCATTTTACCGTTGAGTTCGTGAAAGGTTTTGTGTAATACTCTATCCACTGCTTCCTCTGAATCATAGGTGATGAATCCAAAACCTCTTGGCCTCTGAGTGTTGTGATCATACATAACCACTACATCTGTAATCACTCCAAACTGATCAAAGTACTTCTTAAAGTCACTCTCTGTAACTGTAGATGCTAAACCTCCTACAAATATCTTCTTTGTTCGGGCAGGACCAGGTGAACCAATAATGCTGCCACTGTTTTTGTTCAGAGTGTTTTGATCCTCCCTAGGAACTGCCTTCTTTGCCTCAACCTGCAATGGAAAGATTGATTAGGACTATATCTTTCCATGTTTAAGTAATTCTAAAGTTTCATAACTCCTTAAACGGTAAAGAAAACATTGTATGTTTGTCACATATAAGCAATGTGCACTTGGAATTGAGAAACTGATTGAATTTTTTGTCTTCAACTCTTTTCCTAATGATGTTGTAAGATTTTGCATTACTCAGAATGCTGTGTGTATAAACGCACGGGCGTGCATGAGAACTGGGACAGTAGATCAACACATTTCATCTCTTTGCATTGTGAAGTTTTTCATTCATATGGCATATTATTTACAACAGTCACATAACTTTTTGGCGGCACAGCAAATTATCAAAATAAGTATCTAGCAGAGATTCAAATTTATTGCAGGTAAGCTTCTCCTCCTTCAATTTTCTATCAGCTCCAATTTTTTCACAAATATTTTTTCCATTAGCATCAACCCTTAATGAGGCATCAATTACAGTTTGTCTTTGTTTATAGAAGCCTGATAGTATCCTCCAACCAGCTTGACTCTCATGGAAGCCATTTCTCATTTCCCTAAGCACGTGTGCTTTTATTCTAAAATAATGTTTCCAGAAACATCTAGGAATGATAATAATAGAATGTTCATATTATGTTGTTAAATTCTAATCTCTGATTTCTGTTTAACTCTTCCAAAACCGAAATGAACTATAACGTCAGCAATGCTCTCTTTACATCCTGTATCTCGGGGAGTAATGCCAGCTAGCTTTCTAAATATTTAAGCTCTGAGTCTTGAATTGTTCTACATTGACATACAGCATCTATTTCCCAAGAAAAAGAACACGTTGAGATCATTTGTTTAGACAATACAGAACAATCAATAATTCATTGTTGTCATCTACTATATATGGCCACAAAATCAAGAACAACAGATTTATTTTTCTGATAGGATCGAAATTTATGATGATCAAATTAAACCGGTAGTAAATCAGTATGGACCAAAATCCAAATTATTGAGAATTAAAACGTAGCAACTTACATTTCTACCATCTATAAGGTGCTTTTCCATCACAACTCTCTCAGCAACAGCAGGGTCAGCAAAAACAACAAAACCAAAGCCACGAGCACGACCCGTGGCCCGATCCTTCATTATGACAGCTTCTAAAACTTCCCCAAAATTCCGGAAATACTCCTTAAGACGGTCTTCATTTGTGTCCCATGAAATCCCACCAATGAACAACTTTCCAAGCTCCATTTCCATTCTATACACAAATTCCAACAACAAAGTCACCAACAAACATAAAACAAAAACAATCAATACATAAAACTAATAATCTCATCAAAAAATAAATCATTTCTAATTCTATACCAACAAAACACCAGATCTTAATTCTAACACAGAATTAGACACCACTGAAACCAAAAAAAATCCAATATTCACAGCCACAACACATCTAACTCAGCATAGAACACAATACTATATTAACAAAAAAAATCAAACGCGTGATATCATAATGCAGATTAAACAAAGAGAAACGACACCTTGTCAAAGATAAAAAGCAAAGCTTGGATATTTACAACAAAAGCTCACTCTTGGATTCAATCCAAAAGTTGAAATAACCTTCGAGCAATCAAATATCGATCAAAAGCAATCCAGGAATCCTGAGAAACAAACAGAAAGGTACCAACTTTGATAAGAAAATGAGTACAAGATCCAAAACCCAGAATTCATTATCGAAAAAATTGCTTTTTTGATTGAAAATTTACCAGAAAAAAAGAACCCAGGTAGGAAGCTGAAAGAATCTAAGATCTGAGGGGAGACATGACAATAAGAGAGGGTGAGAGAGACCCTTTCTTTTTTGCTCTCTCTTCCTCTCTTTGTAAGTTACTGTTGTTGTTGATGATGATGAAAATTTATCAAAGAAAGAGAGAAAGACGGAGAGAGAAAATGGGTTCGTTTTCAACAACACAAAAATTGGTTCTTATGCATATGTCTTAATATATATATATATATATATATATAGTGAGAGACAGAGAGAGTTAGTGAGAGAGAGAGAGAGAGAGAGATGGAGAGGTTTGGCTATCCTCTCGTGTAAGAAAGTTACAAAGGAGACGATGAAGGATGGTGGCTTTCCAAGTTTGATTTAAAAACTAAAGAATTAAATTTTGCCACCTTTTACTTATTATTTTACTTATTACTTGTTTTTTCCTGGTCTATAATACTTTTCTGTTTTAAAAGTTTTCACCACTATACTTTTAATCCTTTTTCAAATAAGACCCTCTTGTTTTTTGCTAAATTTGTTTGAGTTTAGTCATTTTAGTAAGTTTTTCTAAGAACGTTGGTGAACATTAATGGAGTTGGCAAATTGCTTGAGGTGTTGATTTGTGATTTATTTTTTAAAACATCATATCGGATCTCAATTCAATTGAAGGTGACATAAATTTTTTTTTCCCCAAATACAATCTTTTGAATGTTAATAATTTGTTTAAAACTCATATTGAAAACGTATGTGGATTTGGTGTAAAAAAAAAAAAAATTCATGATAGTTTTAGTATTAAATCAAAATAAACTTGAGGTTGCTCTAGATTAATGAGAATTTTAAGGGGGAAAAAAATACAATTTTGCTATCAAATGTAATTAAAATTGATTCCTTTGTTATTTTCTTTTAAATGAGTTGTATTGGAAATTGTCAAAAATACTTTATATGTCTCAAGGCATCTAAGATCTTTATAAAGATGAGATTTTAGCTCCTTTACTTTTGGAGAAAGAAATGGTATTTTGTTGTGTTTTTTTTTTGTCCATCACAAGCATACATGACCAAACCCAACTCCAATTTTTATTAGGGTTAATGAGTAGGTGTTGTAAATTTAGCCCCTTTAAAAAGCTCCTCAATTTATGCTACCAAACAAACCTTAAATGTGGTTGTGTTGTGGTTGTTTTTTTCTAAGAGGATTGCTTGATGTAGAGGCAAGGCATGAACTATCCATCCTAGCCCATTACATGAACTTGACAAAAGTTAGCAGAAAAAGAGGTGACTTTGAAAACGTCCATAAATTGATAGGTGAAACTTAGAAATCATATACAAACGAGTGGATAGCCAATAAATATTTCAATAGAGATAAGATGGTTATGTCTTTCTTATTTTATGGAAAACAACTTTGGACACAACTTTTTATTACAAAAATAAATAAAAAAAAGAAAAGAAAAGGTTGGAAATGTGTGAAAGACAGAAGGGATGCCTTGTCTTCCCACTCATCCAAAGAACACCAAAAACAGATAGATTCATCAACAAATACGCATTTGTTGCATATATATATATAAGATTAGTGCACATGCATGACGTTATTGGATGACAATTCCATGACCTTACCCCACTTGCTTTTTTTCGTTAATTAAATATTGGATAGGAATATCGCAATAAAAAATCACCTCCCAAGCCATTAATTATGCTTAACATCTCCAGCACCATAACTCATTGTTTTTCTTTTATTATTTTATAGGTAGAAGACTGTGCATCTAATGATCTAAACGCTGCAATTTCCTAGAACTTGGTTCTAATTCCTTTACTGTTTTACCTAATGTGTATATATATATATATATATATATATAAAGGAGGACATGGGGTTGAAAATCTTAATCAAAATCTATTTAATTTGGTGCTAAAGATCCATCCATTGGGAGGCAATGGATGAGAAAGAAACTCTTGGGCAAATATGAGATACATGAAACTCTAAGTTGTGCATGACATGAAAATGACTAAGATAGGATAAGTTTTCAGGACCATGAATTTAGCTAAAATCCATGCATGGTCCCTCTACTTTTCTTGTTTGATCAAACCGTAACCGTTACTTTGAATTTGATCAATTCAATCTCTAACATTGGTGATTTGAGCCTTGTTCTCGACTACCTTAATGGCCTAACAACCACATTAATGCCACTTATTTCATGACAGGTATAGATGGAGGACTCAAATCACCCTTTATCTATCGTCGAGGGGTTGATTCGGTGGAATTTAAAGCCGAGGATTTGATTTGAATAGATGAAAAAAGTAAAGGAACCATGTATGATTTACCCTTTTTATTCTAAATTTTGTGCTTGTGGTGTTAGATCTTTTAGATTTCTACTGGATCTATCAGAAAACAAAAACAAATCAAAATCCTTGCACCTCAGGGTTTGCAAAATAGAGCAATCACAAATAGGATTGGTTTGAACTATTTTTACAATGAAAATCATGGCTAAAAAAAATACAAGTTTGCATTACTATCATCAACTTAACAAATCCCTATCTTTCAAATTTGGTTTGTTACCATCATGGTGGACCAAATGATATCATGAAAGAGCTATAACATCTCATTGAAAGGCCTCCACAAAGGGAAAAGTGACACCAAAAGTTGATCTAATTATTCTAAAATAAACAACAATAGAAAAAATTAATGCTTTATGTAATTTTCTGTTCATTTTTTTTCAAAAAAAAAAAAAAAGATCACATTAATACACAAAGGTCTTGTTTCTAAATTTAACAATATTTACTCCGCAACATTAATTACTCATTTCAAAATTTGTCTATTAAAAAAAAAAAAACTAAACAGGAAACTTTGTCTATTATTTGAATTTGGAGTAAAAGATGATAGGCAAAAATAGGATGGGTTCCACATGTTCATCATGAACTCTTTCCATATTTGTAATTCTGGACAAGAAAATTAAAGAAGAGATGATGGTATACAAAGAGAAGAATATGTTAGCATTGCACATGTATTAGAAATAGGTTTAAAGATAAAAATTCCCTCTGTTTTATTACAATTTAATAATTTTAAATTTTTATTACAATTTACGTAATTTGAATTTCGAAATATTAGTTTTTGAATAAATCTTATTTAAATCGTATTTTTTTCATTACTTGTAACGATCAACCTAATTGATAGTTTTTTTTTTCTATTGTTAATTTTTTCTTCTGCTCTTAATTTTTTTAAAAAAAAACATTAACAATATTTTTTTCTTTATTTTTCAAGAGAGATTCTTTCTATTTAAAATTTTCACATATCAATCTCTTTAATTTTTCATAGTTGATCAAATTGTTATTTGTATATAATTTTTTTAAGAAAACTTCTATTTAGTATCATCATCCATTAAAATAATCAACTTTTATAATTAATAAAATACAAATATCTATTGATTGAAGTTGATCAATTGAAATTATCAAATAATTAATTTTAACTAAAACTTTTGTTTTGTCATGTCAATAAATCTATTCCTGTGATTGTCAATTATTAAATTTTAAATATAGTTATGTTTATTTAATATTTTTTTCATCTTTACGTGTTTATAGGATTTTGTGTTCTTACAAATGATTCAAATATATAATATGCATTTAAAATTTGTTAGAATTAGAAAACCATTTTTTAAAACTCTACTAATTTTATTTTATTTTTAGTTTTTTTAAAAATAGGTTCAAAAAGTGAAATTTCTTGTTTAGGAGGAACAAAAAAAAGGTTTAGTGATAAATTTAATGAAAATTTTTATTTATTCATAGGTAAACATGTGAAAAAAAAATCTCTATTGAAAAATACAAGAAACGCATTTTTTACTTTTTTTTAAAAAAAAATAACAACGAGAAAAAATTAGCTCTCAACTAGGTTGATCTGTTACAAATAAGGAAGAAAATCTGATTTGAATAAGATTTGTCTAAAAATCGATATTTTAAGATTTAAATTACACAAATTAGTAATAAAGACTTGAAATTACCAAATTGCAATAGAACAAGGGCAATTTTTGCCATAAAACCATTAGAAATATGAAATCTAGTGCCAATGGAGTAAATTATAAATTGATCCCTTTAGTTGTACAAAACAAATTAAATGATCTATTTTGTTTCAAAAACTAATTATTAGTCTCTTGTTCAATGTTGATCATGGTTAATTAATTTAATAGTACTTTGTTTCAAAATATGTCTTTTTCTTTCAACAATCTTTCCATGTTTTCTACTCTCTTTTTTTCTATTTCTTAAAATAAAAGATCAAAATAAATTGAAAAGGAATGAAAATATCAAGTTACAAATAGATGTAAAAGCACAAGGACTAATTAATTAGCTTCCAAAACTAAAGGGACTATCTTATTTATTTTGAAAAAAAACTAAAAGACTAATTTAAATTTTATTCATTACCAATGTAGTGGATTCATAGTCAAGGTGTATCACTGATTTATGAGTGGGGATATATGATTTACTCATTGCCAATTTTGGAAAATTAATACTTGGAATTTTTGCTGAGATATTGATAAAAAAAATTAAAAATAAAACTCTTAAAGACAAGGATTGCCACCCAAATTTCATATAGACTTTCCTTTGGATAAAAGAAAACTAATAAACTTGCAAATTTTGCAAATAAAAGCTAGTGGTTAGGGTTTGGAAGTTGTATTTTAATGGTGCTTTTAGTAAGAAATATAAGAATTTGGACTAATTTCGTTTAGAAACGAAACAATAAAGTTTAACTCTTTTTAATAAATACGACTCTAAGATGCAAATTCTACACATGCACAAAAATTTCGTTTTAGGATTATTTCGTTTATCATTTGATCAACATTGATAAATAATACATAATTAATTAAAAATAAAACTAACTATAAAAACACAAACATGTAATGTTGAGCATGTTAAATGATGGATTGCCAAAGACTATGTCTACTTTAGAGGAATGCAAAGAAAACCTTTTGCAATTTTTTTAAAAATCGACTCCATGATAGGTGAATTTATCATTTATACCATAGTTTTTTATTATTATCTTTTTCATTGGATTTGAATTCGAAGAGATTCAGAAAAAAGAATATAAAAACAAGTGTTCAAATTTAGATGATCCATTCAGAATTTAACATGCAAAGAAGTTAGCCTTGGTATATGCGAAAAAAAGTTGATTTAAAAAGGTTGGTTTGGTGGTAAATGATTTATTAAATCGGAATATCAAAGTCAATATTTTTTCAAAAAAATTATTTCTCTAGATGTACTAAAATCAATGTAAGAATAATACCTTACTACTACTTTAGCTTGAAGCAGCAAGGATGAACAATATTCAATTAAAACTAATTAACGCAACCAATCGAGTCAAAACACCAATTCGATTATAAAAAAATGAAATCGAATTAATTTTGATTATTCAATTAATTCGGTTTGTTTGGTTTAATTCAGTTTTCATCAAAAACCTTTTTTTTTTTTTTAAGTTTATGTTTGAATTTTGATAGTTTGATTCATAACATATTTGGACAATCAATTATTTTTTAGTACTATAAATTTTAGATGTAAATTAATAAATTTGTATTTAAATTTTAATATATTATTATGTAGTATGGTTTTGTGGTTTAATTTTATTTAAATAAATAATTATTATCTTTTATATATGTTAATTTATATCATTTGGGTTAGAGGAAGGATTTCATAGTCCATAACATTATTTTTTTGACCTATTTATATTATTTTAAAAAATTTAAACAAATTCAAGAAAAAATAAAAAAAAATCAATTTTTAACAAAAAAAAATAGAAATTCGGTTTAAGTTCAGTTTTTCTTTCAATAAATTCGATTAACTAAAAATCAAATTGATATATTAAAAATCAAAACTTAAAAGTCAAATGCTACATATAAGAGTGACTTGGACACGCAAGTAGTGGTGCACTACAAGGATATTTTAACCATTCAATAATAATTATATTATCTTCGTCCTTCTTAAGAGATTGTCTATTTTTTTATTTATATTTATTTCAAAATATTTATCTAGTTAAAAATTTAAATGCTATATTTACCTAAAATATCTTTAATTAAAATTTATTTTGTAAGAAAATATAAATTTAAAAAATTGGTATAACATAATAATTTATAACTTTCTTAATTTATATGAAAAATCAAATAAAATAATCTTTTGATGCATGGAGGGAGTAATAAAAAAAGGCATAGGAATTAACTGTTCCGAGACATTTGACCGTTGGGTTAAAGAAAAAGCATGACACCACAGCACTCGAGACCTCGAACTCTACAAAACTAAGCAAAACATGACGATGTTGACACAATCCCTCTCTTACAGCAAAACCCTTAAAACCTGCGTCTTTGAAACACTAAAACCCTAAATTTAGCAAAACCATGAAGACCCAATCTCTTTTTCTCAAATTAGCAGAACCCAAAATCACAAATCGTCTCTCCCTCTCTTTCTAAATGCTAACGATTGCTATTTCAAGAATGAAGTCACTAATTACCCCAACATTCTCATTCTCACCAATGTCAATAAATCCGACACCTTTATCTTCCAATTTCTTCTCTTTAGCTTCAAAGTCCAATCTTTTCTCTAATCTTCAAAACACCATTTCTTCTTTTCCTCTAAAACCAACTGTGATTTCACTTAAGCCCTCAAATTTTCCAATCCAGACTCGGTGTGTTCATTCAAATTCCTCTCGTTCTTCTTCTTCTGGTGAAATTCATGTGATCGTTGGCCCTATGTTTGCTGGCAAAACTACCACTCTTCTTCACCGTGTTCAAGCTGAAATCAGTGATGGGAGGTTTGAATTTCTGCTATTTGGCTTATCTTTGTGTTTTTATGATCTGGGTTTTTGTTAGAATTTGATTTTGCTGTTTGCGTAATGTTGGTTTTGGGGTTTCTTTATTGTTTTGTTGGGTTTGGCTTTATATTTAGTTTCATTGTTGATACAGTGGTTGCCTTGAGGCACACATTGGACTTAAGTGAAACACACGTGTTGTTGTAAATTATGGAGTTGATTTTAGTATGATACGTTACAGAGGGATTAATGGTTTAGTTTAAACTTTAAAAGGTGGGATTTTGGCAGTGTTTTTTGTTGGATTGATGGAGTATGATTATCACTGGTAGACATTGCCAGCTTTCAGGTTAGGAATTTGCGTGAATTGGAGAAAACATTAAAGGGTCTTTGTATAACGGGGAGAATGAATGAAGCCTTGGGACTATTATGGCGATCGGGGTTGGAAGTGGATCATGGTATCTATGCTCTTCTGTTGCAAGAATGCATTTTCAGGAAAATGTATAAGAAAGGGAGAAGAATCCACGCGCAAATGGTTGTTGTAGGGTTTGTTCCAAATGAGTATCTGAAGACCAAATTGATGATATTGTATGCCAAATCTGGAGATTTGAATACTATGCATGTATTTTTCGATGCATTGATGGATAAAAGCTTGATTCCATGGAACACAGTGATTGCTGGATATGTGCAAAAGGGGCTTGAAGAAATGGGACTTAGTTATTATTACAAAATGAGACAAAATGGTCTGCTACCAGACCAGTATACCTTTGCGTCTGTTTTTAAAGCTTGTGCCACTTTAGCAACACTGGAGCATGGGAGGCGAGCCCATTGTGTCATGATAAAGTGTTTTCTTAAAGAAAATGTTGTAGTCAGTAGTGCTCTCATGGATATGTACTTCAAATGCAGCAGTCTATCTGATGGACATTTGGCCTTTGATAAATCATCAAATAGGAATGTTGTCACCTGGACTTCTTTGATATCTGGGTATGGCCAACATGGAAGAGTTGCAGAGGTGTTAGAATCATTTCATAGGATGAAAAGTGAAGGTTTCAGACCAAATCATGTAACTTTTCTTGCAGTCCTTTCTGCTTGTAGTCATGGAGGTTTGGTTGATGAAGGCTGGGGCTATTTCTCATCAATGAAGAGAGATTATGGAATCCAGCCTAGATGTAAACATTATGCAGCCATGGTCGATCTTCTAGGCCGTGCTGGGAGGTTAAAGGATGCCTTTGAGTTTGTTCTTAATGCACCCTCCAAGGAACACTCGGCTATATGGGGTGCTTTGCTTGGTGCTTGTAGGATTCATGGTAACATGGACCTGATAGAGCTTGCAGCTAGGAAATACTTTGAATTGAATCCAGAAAATGCTGGAAAGTATGTAGTCTTATCTAATGCCTATGCTGCTTTTGGACTTTGGGACAGTGTTGCAGAGGTTAGGGGTATGATGAGAGATACGGGAATCAATAAAGAGCCTGCTTATAGCAGCATTGAGGTTCAAGGGAAGGTCCGCTTTTTCCTAAAGGGCGATAAATCTCATGGGGAATCTGAGGAGATAAATAAGATGATTATGGAAATGATGTGCATTTTAAATGATGCTGGCAATGTTCTAGATTTGAGCGATTGTTAATTATTGACAAAGAGCACATTTTCTTTGCATTTCTCCTTTCCCCTATCTTGTCAAGAATGAAGGCTCAACTTACTGGAACTCAACTTGCTACAGAAATATATGATAACTGGAGGATCCACTATAGATAAGGAACATTAATTATCACAAATGTATTCTCTATCAGACAGCTCTTTCCCCATTTTAAGTTTTAAATACACCTTGTCGAAGAAAGGACAAGCAGAATGGCTTTGGGTGATGAACTTGGATAGACTCTGTGAAACGGGTACTTTGAGCGTCAAGGGAATGTTAACACTGCAAGTTCTTGTACTATCCATGACATGAGCATGAAGATGACCAGCCTTCTTGTTGACTCAGTATAAGTTGGCAGTGAGAGGGAGTACAAGCATTTGCAACATGGTGTACAATCTGTTCTTTTTATCCAAAATCTCAGTATCACCCTAGGCTGAGCTTCCAGTGGGTTATGAGAGTTTTCTGGGGCTTATCTGGTTAGGTTGATCATCTGAGGTAGAGCTGTTTGTGCACCCTGTGTACTTGAGCTTTGCTTCTTTTGACTTATTCTACCTAATAGTCATATACTCTCCTCATATATGATATGCCTAATTTGTTTCCTAATCAAGGTCTAACATTCTCTAGTTTTTGTAGAATAGTTTGCTCAGAATTCAGGTTCCATATAAACATGTAGCTATTTCAATTTAACTCCATATAACACATGTAGCTATTTCAATTTAATTTGCTTGCCCCTGAGGTTTATTCTTTTTACCTTGGTATTTCTTACTCACTTAAGAATTAAGATTCTGTCCCGATGTATTGGAAAAAATAAAACAAAATGATTCTGTTATGTACTAAATGAGTAAAAATTGAAATTTTTGGTAAGGAGGAGATTACATATATATCCAACTTGCCAATTAGCAGTTTTGGCGAGATGGTTTAAAGTGGTATCCTATGGGGAATTAAACAATGCCATATTATCAGCAGAATTGTTGTTTTGTTATTCATTCTTCTTTTCTAACTTTCATGCAGAAGCATAGCAATTATAAAATCAAACAAGGATAATAGATATGGATTGGATTCGGTAGTGACACATGATGGGGTCAAATTGCCATGTTGTGCGCTGTCCAATCTGTCGTCATTCAGACAGAAATTTGGTCACGATGCTTATGATAAGGTATCTCAATGCCTAAATGTGGTGATTTGTATTGTATGGAAGTAGCTTGTCTGAACTCTCACGTATAAATGATGAGTAGTTACAGTTTCCTATCCATCCTCATCAAGTTTATTTATTGTCTTTGAAATGAAAGGTAATTTGCATTTGGAACTGGAAATTATTGGAACACGGGATGTTGGGCATATACATTTTGCAAGCTTTTTATGCATAGATTTGTTAATAAAGACTCATGACAACTGCTTAATGACAGCTAGATGTGATTGGTATTGATGAAGCTCAGTTCTTTGAAGACTTGTATGATTTCTGCCGTGAAGTTGCTGATCGTGATGGAAAAACTGTAATAGTTGCTGGCCTGGATGGGGACTATCTGAGGTATATTTCAAGCTTACCGCTGCTTTGTTTCAATGATTTTGTGCTCACCTTATGCTCTTCTCCAGAGTTCTTGCTCTTCTTTTTACCTTGTGCTTCATGACTTCATATGTTATAACCTTCTTCTCAAATGCAATGAAATCCCTTTTGACAGTGGAATAAAATATTAACAGGAGGAGTTTTGGTTCTGTTCTCGATATAATTCCTCTTGCTGATTCTGTAACTAAGTTGAGCGCCCGATGTGAAATTTGTGGAAAACGTGCTTTCTTTACCTTAAGAAAGACAGAGGAGACACAGACGGAACTGATTGGTGGGGCTGATGTTTATATGCCTGTATGTCGTCAGCACTATGTCAGTGGACAAGTTGCTGTCGAAGCTGCAAAAATGGTTCTTGAATCTCAGAAGGTTCAGTGTGGCTCTTTTGTGTAGCTCAGCTATTCTCATTATCACAATACGCCAATTTCGCTATTGTGCTGCTGGTCGCCGCAATATATTCAAACTGAATTGTTAAGATGTTTATCCTTTTCCCCTCGTAAGATTGTACATACAAGCTTAGATCTTTTGAAAGGGGAAAAATTTGTACTGTGATGAATGTGGGATTTTAAACAATTGCAATCAAGGAAAAAATATATATATAAAATTGGGTTCAATTGTTTTTCTTACTACTTGTTTGTGTGGACGGTGGAAATATGTATGGAATGGCCAAGTGCAGTATTTTGGATGGCATTTTGCCTTTCTGAAGCTTGAACAAGGTCCAAACTAAGTGGCCATCGCAGTTACTAATATCTTTAACAGAAGTCTTGCTCTTTCCTTTACTCGAATCTGCCATGCAAGTCATGCCCACTTGCCCTCTTGAATCTTCCTTGTAACCATTGTCCCTTGGCTCCATCCATAAGAAATCAAGTAAATTGTTCTGCCTTGGTATCTTGATGCCATGGTAAGGACAATATATAAAAACGAGTACCGCTAAAAATAACAAGAAAAACTTCAGAATAATATACGAGAGTGAGTGGAATCCACCATTAGGGCTCCCTTTAAAATCATGATTCAGTGGCTCGTAAATTTTTTCTTTATTTTTGGCATTTTTGCACAAAAACAGTTTATAAGTTTAGCAAATCCGTAATTTTTTTTTTTTTAAGTATAGAACAATATATTTAAAAACAAAGCAAAAACTTAGAGAACAAAAATATCCAAAAGTTGACTCATAATTTCATATTGCGAAATTTAAAGGAAGGCCCAAAATGTTGTGAAGTTTAGGCCCGGAAGAATGCTTAGCCGAAGGCTAAAAAACCCACCCACCTCAGTGCTTACAGTCACCGATAGCTCAGGTGAAAATTTTGCTCTATCTACGTCTCCTTGTTCAAAACAGTACACTTTAGCTTCTGTCTCCGAAACAAAACAGAACATCTTTGATCTTCAATTCTGTCTATTCTTTTCTTTCTATCAAGGTACGTGATGCTCAGTTGCTTATTCTCAAAGGGCTACCTTTTTTAGTTATCGTTAAAAGCTCATGCTAGTTTTCTTGTTCACTAATGTTGAAGGGACCAAAGCTCGCATACCCTGTGAGCAAAACCCTTCAATCTTTGATCAAAATCCAATCTTTATCACCTTTTTCATCTGGGTTTGTTAGAAACTTTAGTCGTATTAACTCAAAAGATAATGAGTCAGTACATGAGACTGAATGGGAAAGATTACTCAAGCCGTTTGACCTTAAAGAGCTCAGAAGATCTTTCAATAAGATTACACCATTTCAACTTTGTAAACTTCTTGAATTGCCACTTGATGTGGAAACTTCAATGGAGATATTCAAATTGGCTGGTGCCCAAAAGGGCTATTGTCACTCATTTAATGTGTACTATTTGTTGATTGATAAGCTTGGGGCGGCCGCAGAGTTTAAGGTTATAGATAGGTTGTTATTGCAAATGAAAGAGGAAGGGATTGTTTTTAGAGAGTCCCTTTTTATTTTGATTATGAAATATTATGGGAGAGCTGGTTTGCCTGGACAAGCTACTAGGTTGTTGTTGGATATGAAGGGTGTTTATTGTTGTGAACCAAGTTTTAGGTCGTATAATGTTGTATTGGATATTTTAGTGGTTGGTAATTGTCCTAGTGTTGCATCCAATGTTTTCTACGACATGTTGAGTAAGGGTGTTTCCCCTAATGATTTTACATTTGGGTTGGTGATGAAAGCTTTTTGTATGGTTAATGAGGTGGATAACGCCTGCTCGCTGCTTAGGGACATGACAAAACATGGTTGTGTGCCGAATTCGGTGATTTACCAGACTTTGATACATGCACTTTCCAAGGGAGATAGAGTCGACGAGGCATTGAAACTTTTGGAGGAACTGTTTCTGATGGGTTGCATGCCTGATGTTGATACCTTCAATACTGTTATATATGGTTTCTGCAGGCTCAACCGAGTTCTCGAGGGAGCAAAATTGGTTGACCGGATGATTCTCAAGGGTTTTACCCCTAATGACATGACTTATGGATCCCTAATGCAGGGATTGTGTAAAACAGGGCGAGTTGACGAAGCGCATGCATTGTTGAAAAAAGTCCCTTGTCCAAATGTGGTGCATTTCAATACTTTGGTTAATGGATTTGTGAGGAATGGAAGATTGAACGAAGCCAAGGCTTTTGTGTATGATAAGATGATAAACAATGGCTGTGTTCCTGATGTTTTCACGTTTAGTACACTTATTAATGGCCTTTGCAAGAAGGGGTTTTTAGGTTCTGCTCTCGAATTGGTTAATGAGATGGATGCTAAGGGCTGCAAGCCCAACTTAAATACATATACAATTTTGATTGATGGGTTCTGCAAGAAAAGCCAACTAGAGGAAGCTGGTCTTATCTTACGTGAGATGTCAGCTAAGGGACTTAGTCTGAACACAGTGGGATACAATGCCCTAATATCTGCCTTATGCAAGCATGGAAAGGTTCGTGAAGCTCTGGACATGTTTGATGAAATGTCAAGCAAAGGATGCAAACCTGACATATTTACTTTTAATTCCCTAATTTTTGGTCTGTGCAAGGTTGAAGAGATGGAGGATGCTTTGGCTCTTTACCATGATATGGTTGTAGAGGGTGTTATTGCCAACAGTGTAACTTTCAACACATTGATTCATGCTTTTTTAAGGAGAGGTGAAATCCAAGAAGCCCTTAAGCTTGTGAATGATATGTTATTTAGAGGATGCCCTCTTGATGAAATCACTTACAATGGTCTAATAAAGGCACTGTGCAAAACTGGGGCTGTTGAGAAGGGATTGGGTTTGTTTGAAGAAATGATCAGGAAGGGGCTAACCCCCAGCATTATCACCTGTAATATATTGATCAATGGCTTCTGTACAGCTGGCAAAGTACATAATGCGCTAGAGTTTATCAGGGACATGATTCATCGAGGTTTTTCGCCAGACATAGTCACTTACAATAGCCTAATTAATGGTTTATGCAAGAGGGGACGCATTCAGGAGGCTCTGAATCTATTTGAGAAATTGGAGGTTGAAGGTATACAACCTGATTCTATTACTTATAACACTCTGATTTGTTGGCTCTGCAGAGAGGGAGCATTTGATGATGCATGCTTACTTCTTTATAGAGGTGTTGAGAATGGCTTTGTACCAAATGATGTGACATGGAATATCTTGGTTTACGGTTTCAGTAAACAATTAACAATGAGCGTCAGACCATCTCCTATGGTCAGTTTTAGTGACTGAAAGGTGGCCTTCGGAACTTTTCTTGATAAAAGCTGCCATGGCAGTAAGTTTTAGCTCAGAGTAATACCTATTTTCTATTCTAAAAAGAAACATGTCCTTGGGTGGTTGCACCTCTGAAAATTCTAGAGTGCCTGCTAGTTGAGACATCAGGATTTCTGCGTGGATTGGCCATTGGTTGCTAAGAATCGCTGGGATGGGAATGTGTGGGCTCTGGAAATAATCTCTTTGGTGATAGAAATGAGGGTTTGCATTTTCATTTGGTAGTGATCATATTGTGTTGTGGTCACATTTGGATTTTTTAAACGTCAAAGGGTTCATGCTTTGCCTGCCGGTGGGACTTTTGGGCTGGATAATAATAAAGGAGATAGGTGCTAGTTTGAGCCAGTAATTATTGGCGTGGAAGACTTCACCTTAATAATGTCTGTGAACAGAAATTGTTCACAGATCAAACTCAAGGTGAAGATGCCATATTCATATCTTAATTTTCATTTACCGCCAAACAATTTGCTTATCAGTTTTGTCTTTGGTACCATGTACTCCCTGATTCATAATCCTTTAAAGCTGTGTTTTAAGTCTTAGTTGTGCTGTTCCATACACAGGAAGGAGATAATTGAAATTTGAAATATTAGAATAACTTGGATGGATATATTTCTATAGTCAATCTGTTCTGACAGCTGATAAATTTCTTTTGTGCTAGATAATTGTTGTATTTTTCATAAGTTTTATGAGCACTGCACATTTGGGATAGTGCTGAAAGTTTACATGCTTTGAACTTTTTTACCTTGATTATTGGAAATCTTTTTACCTTGATTATTGGAAATCGGTTTAATAACAGCCTCAGCTTGCTGCTCTTCTGGAAATTTCTCAACTTTTCTACTGTACATGGCCTTAGTTACTCCTTGAGTATTATAAAATTTCTCGCTCTTATGAAAAAACAAGAAGTTATACTCCTTTCGTTTATACTAGATAATTTTTGTATTTGTATTTTTCTTCTTTCTTTTTTCCTTAAAATCTTTTCTTTTCCTTTTCTATTTTAATTATTCGTTTGTTTTTTTGCAGTGTGTACTGAGTATCAAAGGCTACTGGCTAGGCTGTTTCAGCAGGACCTCCTCTCCTTTCGGTGTTTTAGTTAGAGGTAAGTGACTAAGTCTCATGACTTCTTGCTCTATTCGCCTTCTTTAGGCAGAATGCAATACCTCAATTACTGTCCTGTTTTCCCTCGACCTAACTACTCCTTTTGATTTGGCTAATGTTCATAGCTACTTTTGTTTTTTTTTTTTTTCCCTCTTTTAGTAGTTTACTAAGTTTTCCTGTCTTCACTTGTCTTGTAATAGGAGACACCGGATGAATTCTAGGCACTAAAGGGGCAGACCAACCATCATCTCCTAATTTGAACACTCATTGCTCTAAAGCTGTGGACGATCTCAATCCCAAAGTTTACTGCAAAGATTTTTATTTTTTTATTTTTTTTCTTTTTGAATTTCTTGTGAACTTTAGATTCTTACTTGTTGTTGAGTTGCGATTTCACTTTCTTATCCCTTCTACATAACAATTTTGAATAAATACACAATTGAATTATCATTTTCTGGAACATTTTTGGATCACTACAAGTTCTGTAGTTGCGTGTTTTAGAGGAACTGTTCTTTACTGTTTGATGTATATGGTTTATTGAATTGCTAGACAAGGCACTTCTCCATAAACTCTCTTCCAGCTGGGATGGCAATGGGCGGGGCGGGGACTGGGACTGGGATCGCCATCCCCATCCCTGCCTCACCCCTGAAAAATTCTCCTTCCCTACCCCATGTTTCGAACGAGTTAAAATTTCTCATATCATCTCCATTCCAAACGAGGACGAGATCCCCATAAGGCAAACGAAGCGTAAACAAAGTAAAACATGTGTCGATGACACTTCACATTCAGATTTTATTTAGATTATTTATTACTACGTCTTTAAACCTTTATATAAACAAAATGTTTTCGTGACCTATGATTCCAAAAATCTAACTACGTAATCACCGAATCACCTTCCTCTTCACTAATCTTTTCAATGATCATATTCCTCTGTCTTAACTTGCGACTTAATTTCGTCTTCCACTAATTTTTTCAAAAATCATATCCCTTTATTATTAATTTGCATCATCTTAATTTTATTTTTCCAGTCAAATTTTCTGATAATTTGAAAAACATTTCCCAAATACCTCACCGATTTTTATGTATAGAAATAATCAATTAATTTCATCTCTCAAATTTTTAGGACAGAACGAAAGCAAAAATTTTTATAAAATGATTTCATAACATAAGAAAGAGAAGATAAAAAAAAGAAGGCGTTTTCAGATTTTTTTTTTCAGAATTTAAGGAGAAAAAAAAACAGCATTGACGGATGAAATTAATTATTTATTTGTAAAGGAGAGCCATTTTGGAATTATTTTACAGATATTTTAGAATTTTTTTATTTATTCTCAGAATTTTTTTTGGAAGAAAAGCCAGTCGTCAGAAATTGATATTTTTGGCCGGAAAAGCGAAATTAAAACGTAAATTAAAAAAAGGATGAGCATAATTATTGAAAAAATTAGTAAAAAGATATGATTAATAACTTTTATCCCAAAGACAAATTAAGAAATGATACCCCACTTCAATTTTTTTAAAAAAATCAATAATTCTAAAAAGAAACTAAAAAAACAAAAAAGTTCAGAATAAAAAATATGAATGATTGAAAAAAATGCAAAGAAAATTAAGAAATATCGATGCCTCAGAATTGCAGAATGACAGCAAGGCTTAAAAAGCCATTCAGTCCCGAAAGATGGTTACTTGGTGATAAATCTCATCATAGGCAACAAAGACTAATTACTATTAAAAGATTTTTTTAAAAAAAGAAAGAACTAAAAATATAAATGTATGTCTCATGGCAAGTCCCAAATTGTAATGGCAGCGACGCTGCTACACAAGGCAATGGAATATGAGACCACCCCATTACACGGAGGAGCTCACGGTGGAGGACCTCAACATGTCTGGGATTTTATTTGTGACGTTTTACTTTGGAATATACAAACATTGATTTTAATCGTCTGCTCCAATTATACAGTAAGGATTTGAAGTAAAAATCCCCGTCACGATTTAAAAAAAATCAAAATTCAGAAAACTAAATCGAAGAAAAAATACAAATCAACTTTAAAGAAAAAAACTGAGATTTAAAGATAAAAGAAAAAAAAAGATCGAAACTTTAAGAATCTGAAGAATAAAGATCAAATGGGGTTTCAAAATCGGGAAAAAAGAAAAAATCTTTAAAGAGGTGAGAGACCACTTTGCTGGAGAAGAATTAAGTTGAGACAGCTGCAGGAAGGCGGGCGTTGAAGCTATAACTAAGATGACTATAACCCTAGTGGCTGAGTTTATTTATAGGGTTTTGTGGATTAATGTCCACCGTTGGATGACAATCTTGTGGCTGATGGTGATGCGAGGGTAAGAGGAGAGCCGAAATAGCGTCCTTAGGGTTTACTAATTTGTAATAGCCAACGATGGGCCTAGTTATTACTAGCTGGTTCGATTTTTAGCCCATACTTCTAGGGCCCAACCTATTTTGTATAAGCAGGATCTTGAACCAGGAAAAAAAAAAAAGGCTCAATGATTCGAAAATATTCTGAATTTTTATCAAATTAAAATAGGTTTTTAATTTTAAAGTTTTTTATTCGATTATTATAAACTATTTTTGGTAAATAATAGGTCTTCTAGCTATTTTTTTTATTTTTTTATTATATCTGAAAATGTCGAGACAATTTTAAAAATTGATATGTTTTTATTAATAGACATCTTTATGCATGTATTATATTTTAAATTTAGACTATAATTTGATCTCCACATGTGGTCAACGTAGTAAAACTAGCCAAAATGACCTATTATTTACTAAAAATTTTTTGCTTAAATTTAAATTGTTGCTAGACATTGGACCAAATCGGAAAAAGAAAAAAAAATTATTTAAAAATTTTAATTGGAATATTATAAACTATTTTTGGTAAATAATTGGTCTTCTAGTTAGTATTTTTTTTTATTTTGATTATATCTGAAGATGACGTAAAAATTTTAAAAACTGACACGTTCCCTTAATAAATATTTTTACACATATATCACGTTTTATGGGGTATTTAATTTTTTTAAGACTATAATATGATCTCCACGTGGTCAACGTCGAAAACTAGCCAAAATGACCTATTATTTACTAAAAAAGTTTTGTTTAAATTTAAATGGTTGCCAGACATTGGACCAAAATTGGGAAAAAAAAATAGAAAAAAGAATTATATGAGATAAAAATCAAATGATAGATGCTTTCATTGAGAGTTGAACTCAAGACCTCCCGCTTACTAAACGGGTGCTCTAACCAACTGAGCTATGAAAGCAGCTGTTAGTTTTCTCGCAGGGTAGTAAATTAATAGCAAACTATATTCTGAAACTTCCGACCGCTAAACTTCAGTGATGTTTTGTGACGGGGAACAATTTCAAGGGGAGAGATATTGTTTAAGGGTTTAGGAACAATTGAAGGGACAAAAGGAGAACGGGTTGTTGCAGACGAAACGAACCTTTATAAAAAAAATCACCTGTAGTAAATTTTTTTAGTAATTCTCCATTTTATTTTTATGTTCATAATTTAACTAATTTTATCTTTGAATATACATTTAGATTTTAATTTATCTTTTTTACAAGATTTTTAAACTAAGCTATCAGAATTAATCTCTTGATCATCACATGATTATCTTCTATTTGTCTGATTTGCATGTATTATGAAAATAAAATATTCATATATAAATAAATGACATTCTTGCAAAAAAATAAAAAAATTTAACATATATTTAAGGATAAAATTGATTCAATTAAAATTATAAAAATAGATTGAGGTTTTAACCCAAAAATTTGAAAGAAAATAACCATAGATTGAAAGATGTCTAGACCTTATAGAAGTTTAAACACACAAATACAAACAAAGTATTAAAATTCACATCTCGAAATTTCAGAAAAACCCTAAATCTTGAGCAGTGTCAAAACCCTAGCAAAACTTATCAAAAAAATCTGAAATTTTACCACAAATTAAATGAAGTTATGGACAAAATTTCAGATTAATCCAACAATTCTAGGTCCCTCTACCAACAAGTCGAAATTTTGTTTGCAAAGACAAAACTCCGAAAAGTTTGAGCAATCCAAAACCTAACTTCCTCTTTTTAGATTTTTATGAAATTTTATATATGACCTAAATGGTATGATTGTCAAAGTTTCAAATCAATTATAGATCCCTAGCCCTTTATTGAAGTTTAAGGTTGAAAATCCCAAACGCAGAATATCCAACAATTTCAATCTTCAATAAATCCAAAATATTAAATAAATAATAAAAGTTTAAATTAATCTTCGTTAAAATAGAATCCACTGCCTTAAAAGAAATCAATAAAACTTACAGAATATGTTCGTCAAGAATCCACTTAGCACAATTATCGATCAAAAACCACTTTAATCGATCACTTCAAGAAACAACATTATGATCAATGTCATACAGAACTTAATTATCCATTCATAAAGAGCCTACAGACACAAATACTGTAAATCCAACAACAAATCAATGTCATTCAGAACTTAAAAGAAACAGCATCCTACTTCCTCATAGCCACTTACCCTACAACATGGCATTGACCTTGTAACTGGCCAGGCAGCCTGTGACCATTAGCAACAGAAAACATTCTTGTGGAAACAAAAATCTAAATACAGGATCCAAATCCTCCCCTACAGAACAGAAAGATATGATACCAAACACAAAGATGGACAGAAAAATTGAATCAAGTTCTGATAAAACTCAATTGATTATCCATTTCAAGATATGCCTCGAATATCCAGAATGAAGTTCATGGCTATGTAGTTGGAGCCTTCGCAGAAGCTGTTCATGGAATGGACTATTTGCAGACTGTAAAACAGAAAATGTAAGGCAGATCAGATCATCAGCTGCAGTATTGCGAATTCGACAAAAGATCGAATTCTTATGTTATTGATGAATCAATATTCTAAGTTCAAAAGCATTACCTTTGTGATTGTTAATGCTGTTTGAATCACATAGTTACCGAATTTATTCTTCGCAACTTCCAAAAGTTGGTTGCTGGTTATAAGATCCATAAGTGGATAACGCATTTCTGTGGATTTCAAGCATTCCTCTACTACATGGCTCCCACATTTTTGCATTGAGAGCCTAACATAATGACCTCTGAGCTTAGAGCATATCGCTTCAGTACACCAAGGGGATTGGAGATCTAAGACATTCTTCACAACATAGTTCCTGGGAAATTTTGAGAATTAAGCGATTCGACAAAACAAGAAATTATACTTGCATACAAATGTGACACACTTTGAAGTATCGGAGTTGTTCTTACCCTAGAGGGTCTTGTGAGAGGTATACCGCTTCGCTGCAGATTTCTCTCAGAAGTGTATTCTTGTAGTCACCCTTGCTGTGGAGGATGAAAGATTTCAAGGAGATACATCCTCGTTGATCTGTTGCCAGCTCCAGACAATACACTATGGCTTGTCTATATAGTAACTGTAATCAAATCATGCAAATTGTAGCATTGCAAAAGAACAGCCAAACTTTAAACTTAAAGCTCCAACATAAGACAATTCAAGGTTTATTTGAACCATAAATTTAAATAACGGCCGGCACGTGCAATGGCTGTTATATAACGGTTTTGAGACACCCCTGCGACAGTTATTTTACAATACAGTCGTAACCTGCGACCCGCGACTGTTTTTTCAATTGTATCCATGATTTAAAACTATGCTTTGAACTGTTTTACATCAAAGACACATGATTTTGTATGAACTTCAGTATGCAGATTGACAACATGTAACGAAATATGGATTGAATCTGCAAAGAAGACTAAAATAAAAGATACTGGACACTCAAATCTGTTCAGTTTTAGTTCGTATGTTATAATGTCATAAGAACAAGAATACCTCAGAAGGAGAACATCAATTTACCTCAGTTTGCTCAGGCTGAAGGACATCTAGGCACTGTAATATAATTCCTGGTTGATGAACCATTACATGAAAGAATGCAATGGACAGAATGTTAACCACTTTAGAAACTAAATGTGATTGCCGGAGCTCTTTAATTAGCGTCCTAATTGCTTCTGACCTGCCCAGATTGCCAAGCCATTAGTCGATAATAAAGATAAACATAAAAGACATCAAAGGTTGCTTGATAAAGTGTTGTGGGGATACAGGATTTACCCAAATCTACATGCTGCTACATGGAGAAACAAGTCGGAGTTTAAGCTAATCTTTTCTACAATAAGTTTGAGCTGATGAGTATTGCAAGCTTGAATCAATGTAACAAAGACACGCCATCCATATCGGTCATTCATCAGTTCAAAGATGAATGGAAAGACCTTATTGAATACCTCCCTTGTAATCTCAGGATGCTTTAGCTGCAGTATGTCTTCAAGTTTCCTCCCACCAACCTCAGTGAGGAAACCATAGTTTCTCAACAAATCAATGTGAGAACAAACATTAGAAAGGCGTAGTTGATTCGACGAACCAACAAAAGGATTTCGATTTCCAACTTCATGGAAGAAGTCTCTCCTTCTTTGCGGTGCAAAGTTTGCTTCGTTAACCATGGATAAGGTTTCCTGATTATAAGTAAGGCCAGGAGGCATAGAACCTCCCATTGTAGTTCTCAAGTTTGAAGTACCTGAAAAAATTGCAGACATTAACGCACAACTAATTAACGCAATCTAACAAACATAAAAAGATTACCTCTAGCTCTAGTGTTCGAAAGGTTTCCTCCTCTCCAGATTCCCTGAGAGTGAATTGGTTGTAGCGCAGCTCCATATCTTTGTACAACATCGTCAAGGACCTCAACTTCTCGGGTTATTGTTAAAAAACCACTCCAAGGCGATCCCATGGAATTGGGACTCGAAGAGGAACCACCATCATCGTGAATGCTAAGAGCATTAAAAAAACTGAAGAGGTTGTCAGAACCACCTGTGTTGGGTGTTTCACAAAAATCAGCAGTTGAATTCTCGTCCATGGTGCCTTGCACAACAAGGAAAAACAGACCACAGAAAAGACAAGAAGTAGCAAAGCTATGAAACGCAGTCCCTCAACCCAATATTGACAGAATCTACGCTTATATAACAGACATTGAATTTCGAAGCTTTTTATCAGAAAAAAATTGGAGATAGATCGTATTAATCAATAGCTAGACAAAGTAGTTAATTAGGACATGGGATTGATTTTTAAGTGGCTAGTAGAGTTGGAAACAGAATCAAATTCCACTAAAATCTGATTAAGTGGGACCCACATTAACTAGTTCTTTTGAACCGAATTCAAGCATGTTTTGTTTGTCTGAGGATAGTGCTCTGCTGTCACATGAAATCCTGTGTTTGGTCTATCTTCTTTCCGAGGCCGAAAGGTAGAGCATGTCAACGAAGGCTCCATCGAAAACTTTTATTCTAGTTTTACCTGGAAAAGATGTTATAGCTTTGATTCTAATGACTGTTAATAAATTTATTTTAATTTATATATTCATATATTTTAATAATTGTACTAATTAAACATAATAATAACATTTTTAGTAGTTTGATATTATAACAATAGTTGAATTTATTATTAAAAAAATTAATAACACTTCTAATAATTTAAGGCTAAATAGGTTAAACCTCAATTGATATTGGTTTTAGAAATTCCTGAATTTTTAATTTTTTTTTATTTAGTCCATTCAATGATTTTTAGCTATCATTCTCCCTTCTAAAAAATTCAATTCTTGATATTTTGAGCTGAAAATTTGCACATATGTTGAAAAAAATCCAATCTATTTTTTAAAAAATTGAAAGTTCACGGATTCTAAAAATCAAATTTATATATTTTAATTCGTATATTTTAATAATTGTACTAATTAAACATAATAATATCTCTAGTAGTTTGATATCATAATAATAGTTGAATTTATTATATATTAAAAAAATTAATAACACTTCCAATAATTTAAGGTTAAATAGATCAAACCTCTCTTGAATTTTATCTCATTTGAAATTGAGTACAAAAACTCCAAATTTGGTTTTAGAAATTCCTAAACTTTTTATTTTTATTTTTATTTTTGTGATTTAATTCATTCAATGATTTTTAGCTATCATTCTCCCCTCTAAAAAATTCAATTCTTAATATTTTGAGCTGAAATTTGCTCACACGTTGAAAAAAAAATCCGATCTATTTTTTCAAAAAATTAAAAGTTCACAGATTCTAAAATCAAATTTGAAATTTAAAAACTCAATTTCAAATATTTCAAATGAATTAAAGTTCCAACAGGTTTGAGCCATTTAGCCATAGTTTAATCAACTTTGCAGATTAGAGAAAATGTAGCTCTAAATGCTATTTCTGCCCCTAGAATGTCTCCTAATAGGACTCTTTTGACACCCTACCGGCTCCAAAATAAGGTCAAAGTTTTCAGATTTACATGAGCTGCTGCTCTCAGCCTGGTTTGCTCTCCTTGTTTATATATCAGGTCTCAAAGGAGGAAGGAAGGAGGGAAAACGATCACTGCATCTCCAAGCAACAAGACAGAGTAAAGGCAAAACTACAGAACAGCAGTATTTGTTTTAAAAGATCAATGCATCCCAAATTTAGGGTTTGCAAAGCAAATCTCGTCACATTAAATATAAATGAAGATAGTGTTTAAGGCTTCTAAAACTCTTTCTTTCTAATCATCCTCGTAAAAAATGAAAAAAAAAAAAATGCACCCCAGCAGCTAGGGCAAAATCCAGCTATGGTTTTAGGACTTTCATGCTCTATACTCTAGTCTAAAATTCACCAACTTCCTCTAATTTGACATCTACAACGTTCTTTCTGTAGCATCCTTTGCTCTTTCTGTCCTCCATCCACACGATAACTAGAAAAACAGCAGTGTGGTTAGCCAAGAATGAGAAGAATTGATGAACTAGTAAAAGTCTCTAACAAGTCGCCCAACCCAGTATCAATTTTCAATGAGATGTTGAAAATTAACCATATATGCATTTAATAATCAATAGCATGATACCAACAACGGATCTTATCAAAGATAACTTGCTTTTCTACGATTGTTCTCACTCAGTTTTGTTTTTCCTTTCATGAAACCTCAGTAATTTGGAGTACAATTTATCTGTGAACCAATTAATCTGTGTTGCAATTTAAAAACTCAAAAATTATCTCAATACAGCAACAGACATGTGACAGTATATATATATATGTATATAGAAAGGAAATCAAAACAGTGCTTTACATTGTACAAATAAGCAGTCATTTACACCTTGAATTTCTGGAATAATTATATGTAGAAAGGTGCAGTTACTCCTTAGGCCAAATGATCAATCACATGCAGAGAATGGGAAAAATAACCAGCCACCCTAACCCTTTGATATTTGAGCCTGTTAATTAATCCATCTCATCCCTCATAAAAAGCTCAACCCTTATTCTTCGTGCTGGCACAGATTAAATGACTGCGTCATTCGTTAGTTTTCGCACTCATAACACACACTTGAACCATTTGCATGAAGGGAAGTTGACTAGGGTGGGTGTGTGTGCACAATAAAACTGCAAGATCTCATTCACTGGATGAAAAGTAATACGAACTCTTCACTGTCCTGTTTACTCAATACTCTCCAGAACTTTTAAAAAGTATACAAGATAAATTACTAAACCATTTAAATTAGGAAAGACGCTGCAAGTAACTTTCCAGTAGAAATTGTAGCAATCATCCATGGAAATTTTTCTCAGGACCAAATGATTATGGATAAAAGAAACAGGTACATAATAGCAAAAGGATTGCATTATATAAAGTATTGAAAGTCACCTAAAAATGCACAATCAAAGTAAAACTATTCATTGTTCAGTTAGTTACCTCAAGAAGACAATAAGTAGATAGAAGTACTATGAAAGATTAGTAACATATTTCAAACTCACATTATATTCAATTTGAGAAACTTTAAGGTGGAGCTTGGAAAATTCCATCCCTTGTATGTGGCTGAGAAAAAGCTTCCTTTCTTCAATTCCCAGGGGAAAACTATAGCGAAATAAATAGGTCAGAACTCATTAAATCTCCAGTCATGGTTCTCTTGCCTATGAAAAAGAGTGCCACAAGCAGCAAGTACTATGTTAAATTAAAACAAATATTCATGATTACTACCTTGGAGCAGAGTCATTCATCTCCGCCGCTAGCATTGTTAGTCTGGACCGCTTTAGGCAGATTGCTATTCGTCAGATGTTCTCCATTTGGCGCATTCTGTTCCACTGGTTTAAGAATTCCTTGATTCAGACCAAGAGAAGATAGCTATGCAAACTTAAATACGTATTTCTTACCCTCAGTTTCACTATTGTGATTTTGAATTGTTGTTGTTGTTGTTATTGTTGCATCAGAGCTTAATACCCGTGCAAGATGCTTGACACGATTCAATCGTAATGCTTTTGGTGGTGTGCCTGAATCACAGTTTCAATATGTGAACTTATAAGAAGGTGGAACATACACAAATGTCTCTATAACCATGCGAATCATTTAACATGGGATACTAGATTGACAAACAATTGTTGAAGAAATATATATGATACCGATCAAATGAAAATAACAATATTTAAGCTTACAATTGGAAGTTGCGCCTCCTTTTGTGGTCAAATCTGCTGTAATTTTGTGACTATCACCAATATCCAGAGTATCAACCAGTGACCGAGCAAGGTTTTTTATATGGTTTAGGCGTGACCTTATAGGTAATTTAGCTAATTTATGTGCTGGAACTTCCAAACCTGTTACATAAACTATTAGTAAGTATCAGGCTGCCTTCATATCAAATGCATTACAAAAATGACAAAACTCACCCACAGAATTTGCATTGCCTGCATTTAAACTTCCTTGTCTTTGATCCATATCAACATGAGAAACGCCATTAGATTGGACAGGAACAGAGATTGCTGCTTGATGATTTTCATTGCTCGGGAGCATAAGCATTTCGTCACTATCCCCAAGATCGGCTTGATTGACCTGAGGGTCTCTCACATTTCGTGCTCTTTGTCTCCGTAACTGATAGTTTCTACGTCGTCTCGCAAGATGTTTTTCTCTCTCTTCAACGCTCATTGCTTGCCTTCTTTGCCTGTCTCGTAATCGCCGCCTCTCTCTTTCTTGCTCCTTTTGCAAATTCCTTAACACTGCTCTCTCCGTTAACTCCGCCATAATTCTTCAATTATTTCGTGAAAACTCAACAAACCCACAATCTAAACCAATAATTCTGCACTCAAAACACAAAATAAACAAAAAAAGATCATTTCTTTACCAACCCAAATACATAAAGCAAAAAACTTTATTAGCCCATAAACAAAACCACCACCAACCCATTAATCAAAAACTCCTTGGCATCAAAATCCAAGCATTACAAATCCAAAAACAACAACCTCAATAAGCAACACAAAACCAAAAACAAAAATGTATCAACGACTCTAGCTTTCACATATTTTCGCCCCAGATGAAAAACAGGAACAACCATATCATCTACAATTCATGAAAATAAACAGAACCCAAAAGATCACATTAATCTCATGACTAGCATGGTTAAGACAAGATAATTATAAAAGAAAACAAAAATACAATGCAAGAATTTATCAAACTGACCTCAAAATGTAATCTTTTTAATGTCGGAAATAAGATTTGCTTGTTTTCTTGATTGGTGAGACAGAGAAAGAGTGATAAATATGGTTTGAGGTTGCTCTTGTTTTGTCTCGGCCGGGTTGTATGCTGAATTGCTAATGCCAAATTTTGCATCAAATCATACAATTTTGCCAAATCAGTATGATTTGATGCAAAATTTAGGCCTAATCAATCGGTTCTTTTTGCATCTAATTAGGACGGGACAATATGGGCCCTTCCGTTTTCGGACCACAAAATATGTGAACTGAGAACTGAAAACTACACATGTAACGGGCCTGCCTATTGGACTGAGCATCTCAAAACATGGGTAAATTGCTAAATGTATTTTTAAATAATATTTAATTTTTTAATATATTTTTTTCATAAATTTTTCTGACTAATAATAAATTTTTTAACCGAAAATTCTCTTGACTGAAATATATATATAAAAAAATCTAAAGATTTCAAATTGAAATATGCAAGTTAAGTGATTTTATAAGTGATTTTTTTTTTTAGCATTTCAATAGAGGTATTTCGATAAAAAAATTTATCCATCGAAAAAAAAAATAAAAAAACAGATTGAAAAATAAAATAATATCCAAAAACATAATGCATGTAATTAAAAAAGTAAAAACAGATTAAAAACTCAAGTTATTACATAAAAACAGATTGATATATTTATCCCTAACCTGTCTGTTCTTAACAATGTTCAGAAAGTGCATTAGATTTGAACTCAGCGACTGCAAATAATACAGACCTATTCGTGTTCCATTCCATGGTGGACATGTACAGTGATTTGAGGTTTTGAGTTTCTGTCTCGACACTAGCTATATCCCAAAAAGCTAAACTCATTTCTATGATGAGAATAATAACATCGCTACTGATCATTCTCTAAACGGTAAGATTACAATTTACAGATGTTAAGGAGCTACAGCTACGGGGTTTTCACCTCCAGGCAGAAGAAGTTGCCATGTCTCTATTTCGCCACCGAAGGTAAAGAGCCCGGTCCCTCTCCTGAACACTGTAGTTCCTGTCGTATTCGTTCAACAAATCTCTAACAGCAGCAGTCGCTGAGGAACTCAGTGGGTACTGATTAAATCCTGCCATTGTAAACCGAGACCTCCACTTTGCAAGAAGTTCATGCCGTTCAACCCTCTCAGCGTCCTCGCAAGCGATCATATTGACAATGTCTCGAGCCACACAGTGCTGCTCTGCATTAATCCTCTGTTTGGCGTCCTTAGAGCCACCAGCAGCAATAGATTCAAACATAGCTGCATAATAATCCAGTGTCTCAATGAATCTTGGAAAGAATGGCTTGGTGTTGGTGTTAGATTCTTGCTCAATGAGGGTCACAATCCTTGGTGACAAACTCTTCACCATCCTTATCAATCTATCCCTGTGATTCCAAGTGTTCACACTCTCGTCTGGCATGTGGTGCAACATGAACGGGAAATTCACCACCACAGCTTCCCCAGGTTGGACTCTGAGATGTTCCCGTTGAACCTCGCAACCATCCATGGCAACATCATGGAACTCAAACGGCACATTGTATGACTCAGCAACTTTTGACAGCCGTCGTCCCACAATATTAAGTCCTCCACCACGAGCATGAGCTGATTGAGAATCATCAACCCCAGTTATGCGAATTACCGGGGGTCCACATGGCCGAGAAGCAAGCATCTGCATTAGAAGAATCCACTGGGTTCCCTGTGCAATCTGGAAGTCGATGATATGAATTCTGGGTTCGCATTCCACAGCTTCTCGAATGACAGCATTAGCTGACATGTATGCAAACTTCCAATATGGGCAGATCTGATAGAGAATACCCATGTAAGTCATCAGATCCGAGCTAATTGGGGCATCACACTTCAAGGCTCTATAGATTTTACTTCCGGAGAGCTCCAGCCTTGCCCTAAGCCCTTCCAACATATAAGCACCCAATCGCTGGATTGGCTCTCCAGCGACTGACACCATTTGGTCCAAAACATGCATTAGACCTGCTGCTCTTTGTACATCAGCATTTTCTACTGCATCAGCGCAGGCAAGGAGCACCTGCTTAATATCTAACCTAGGGATCATTTCCATCATTTGATTCCAGTCCCAACTTGCAGATGGCTCTGCTTGGTATCCTCCACTCACAAAGCAAAAACTGCTGCTGTCGGTAATATCAGATTCAGGCCCAAGCAATGAAATTTCCAATTCCCTCAGTTTCTGCTTCAGCATATTGCCGTCATCAGCAGAGGAAGATCCACTCATTGGAGATCCATACATATTGTCAGGGGAATGATGGGGATCAGAAATGCACGAATGTGAACCCTGAGGTGAAAAGGGGCTTCTGTTGGATGAGATGCTGGCTGCGGGAGAATCACAGGCAACAAAACCAGCATTCGATGAGGATGATTCCAAGGTAAAGAATTCTCCTTGACATGTCTGAAAGGAAACACTAGTTCCTTGGCTGCCAACATCTGAATACATATTGTTGTCTAAAATTTGGATATGAGACAAACCATATTGATCAATATCTTGCACTGGCTGGTGGTAAAACCCGTGGATGCCAGCTGATCGGTGTTTCTGAGAAGTTCGCATCTAGAACTAGCTTGCTGATTGGCTTAGCCCAGTTGATTGGCTTAGCCCAGTCAAAAGAATGTATGAGTGGTAACTAGCCTTTTCTATCAGAATTGTCACCTTCACTTGGCAAAGCAATGACTTTTAGAATACTGCATGCTATAATCACTGAACACATATAAACAACGAAGCAGCTGACGAGTCTGATTCAATTCACTTGTCGCCACAAAATTTTTTGCTATCCAAAATGCCTCCGTTATCCTCAGCAATGCATTAAAAGATCACCATAATCTGTTAAAAGGAAGGAGAAACGATAAGATTATACATAATCGATGCCAATTGACATTGGAAAAGCTATTTAAAAAAGAAGCACACAAGCGAGAGCAAGCGATAATCACATTAGGTAGAAAAACCATCCATGGAAATAACGAAGGGACCAAAATAACCTGGTATTATGGTACAAATATACAGTCAGATTTAACAGTAAAATATTCCACTAGCAAAATCATAGGCTTGGCAACAAGGCAAGCTCTACAAGCAGGTGCATGAAAGAAGTGAACAAGTCCTGACTTGGATTGAGGTAGATAATACTAAGGAACAAAGCCACTTCAAGGGTCATTGTGTCTCTGGGATGTAAAGACCAAGGCCAAGAGCTTTGCTCTCATACCCTGATGGCCAGATCCATCAACTTCTAAAAAAAATAATTGAATTTGATCATCAATGACAGCCAGAAAAGAGCAAAATCAATGCTCTATAGCCCTTTTTCCTTCTTTTTGACTCCTCAAGTAGTTGGGCATACAGTAAGAAATACTAAAAGATTAAAAAACAATTGATCATAAAGCCAGTCAATCCACGAGGAGTATGGATGAGCAAGAAACAGACTTAAGAAAAAATAGATCGTTGACTGTCATTGTATTGGAGGAAACAGCTAAGAAACATGATTTCAAGAAGCATCTATGTGGAAAAGTAAACATACTACATTTTTGTTCCAAATAAACTTCAGCTTTTGGTATTACCTCCAAGAAAAACATAAGAAAAAATTGCAGGAGAGAAAATTAAGTAATGGCTCCTCTGTCGGTAGAAAGTAGGAGTGAATCAATGTTAAAAAAGCTTTTTGATGAAACTCCATGGAGAAAAAAAAAATCTGAGAACAAACACAAGATCTACCATTTAGAACTAAGACTTATGAACCCGTTCTCCCTATTCCAGTTTCTGCTACCAATCGAAATATGCAGTTCCAACCCAATATTGCAGAAAAAAATTCAAAGCAGCAACAAATAAATAGGGATATCTTGCAAGAACACAGGCATTCATTCTGGCGGCAGAAGCATAGAGCAACTTCAAGTAGATCCAAATGAAGATCCAAACTGATTTACAGACACATACTTCTCCATGTCAAAAAAATAAATAAATCAGAAAAAATATATATTCTATAATGATGATTGATCATCATCAGCCGTTAAAAGTGACCATCCTTAGAATCAGAAGCTATATCATGAACCGAAAAAACATATTCCATTATCTTACCAAGAATTTACATTCTTACTTTTAGTACCAATTCAACTCACTCAACGAAGGCAACCAGGTATAAGAGGAAGAAAAGGCCCTTTAAAAGCCAAAAAGTACTTGTAGTGGACAAACCAACACGCAAACCTTGAGAAAAAAAATATAAAAAAGAAGGAATAAAAAAAAAAATCAATTCCAGATGCCAAAGCATAAAATCAGAAAAAAAAAAAATCACAAGCCATAAAGTTTCCTGTGATAACAAACAGCCTGAATTCTATACAACAAATCTAATTAATCTTTCAACAATACTATCACTGAATTTTATACCCCCCATAAAGATGCTAACTTTCTATTCCAACAAGAAAACAAAATTCATTTATATGAATTCTAACACCAACCCAAATCCTTAAATTTATCAATTCTTGAAAATGAGTGAACTTGAACCTCAAATTCAATCCAAAACATTAGTCAGAGGAAAAAAAGAAGAAGAAGAAGAAGAAAGAAACACACACACACACATGCACAACTAACTCAATTTCAGACAAAACCCTTCTCGAATATCATATCATGCTCAACTTTGCCATTTAAGGAAGTGATGAGTTACTTCGCATACCTTAAACTCTCTAAAGCTTTCTCAGGTTTTCAGTTTGTGTAAGATTCTTTCTTGTACAGCTACCAGAGCAGCAACCGTCGTGTCAAAAATGAAGACATCCACTTGCCTTTTTATGGTCCAAAGTACATAACATATGCCCCTCAAGTTTTATTTATTTACATCGTTGCCTAGCAAGCGTGTATAGAGTGATGACTGGACTGGAAAGAAAGTCTTGAGCAAGTTCCATCATCGATAACATAACATAAGTGCGGCTTGTACGTATCAAAAATGTTTACTATTCATTTTCATTTTTATTTTCTAACTTTGAAATTCTTGAAATATTGATTTCTGCAGTCAATGGATTTGTTCTTCACATTTTTTTAGGCTTTGATGCAAAAAAAAATAAAAAATAAATCTGGATATTGATAGCATCAAAAACTCATCAACGCAAAAGATTAAGCCTTTAATGTATCATTTCGAATGAAAATTATAACTATAATCATACCAGAGTATAAAAATTATAAAATTAAATTGAAGACTGTTTGATCAATAAAACAGGTGGATATCATATCAAAAAAATTATTTAGGATAGATAAGATTTTATATATAATTTAATATTATTTCATAATAGATGGTTTCACTAAAAAGATTAATTCTGGGGTATGAAAAAAGTTATGTTTAATAGAGTTTTTTTTTTTTTTTTTTTTTTTTTTTTTTTTAAGATAGATAGTTGAAGTGGTGACAATGGTCAATAATGGTGATAAATAAGAACAACTTAGTTAGAAAAAAAGTATCGAAATAGGAATCTTCTTAGTAATTGGTAGCTTCATCGAAATAAGTGTCAACTTTTTGTAGGCAGTTTTTCCTGCATGTGAGTTAGGGAAGTTTATGGGGTTGAGTTAGCTCGTTTTGTTGGGCATGTGGACTGAAACATCCTGCCACAAATGTTCGGTTTGTTGTGCTTAAGGTTTGCTAGCACAGAGTACGACACTCTTGTCTGTAATTTGTGTTCAATTAAACTAACTAGCTATATAGTAGATTCCAGATCTTCACCTAGCTCCAGGCGGGGGAGAATAATAAGATACCATGCATTTGATCTTCTTGTCAGAAAGGTTGCATGGGCAATTGTATTTTGTGGGTTACAAAGTGAGTGAAGTTCTTCCAAAAAGGTTGACATCAGCGAAATATAAAAAATAAAAAATAAAAAACTTTAACCGTTTAAAGAAAGTAATTTTAAATTTGAGTTTTTGTATATATAAAAAACTTATTGCATAAATGTATTCGTCTCGTACATTAGATAGAATAATAAAGTATTAATTTGAGCTTTTAAGGTAGGGATACTTTAGAGATAAAAAAAAAAAAAAAAAAAGAGGCAAAGTTCTTGACATAAAACATTTCGATTATGCTTGTTAATATCATCATCTAGCATTATATATTTTGCAATCTAAATTTATCAATTTTGATATATAGTTTACAGATGTATCGTACTTATTATGTTATAGTTTTAAATCACATATGTCGTTGTAAAAATAATTACGATTGCGATCGTGGATCTAAACTTATTGTAATAATAAAATAATAATAGCAATAATTAATATCATAGACATATTAATATTTTTTAATAAATTTATTTTAAAATAAAGAATCAAGATTATATTTTTTAGATCATTAATTTAACAATCGTTATTCTATTCGGGTGAAACATTATTGAACTCTCTATAACGCTATATAATAAAAACGAATATGTTTAAATTCATTAAATAATAATCATTACATAACATAACAATTGTTATATATTTGAAATTATGTTCTATACAATATTGCTAGATGGTCTTTCAAGTTTGTAAACAAGTTTTCATCTTTATTTTTTGATAGAATTTGCTCTTGTAAGGTTTGCAATCTTAATTTAGAGTCGTATTATAGACACATTCACAAATAAATAAATAAACCAAAGAATTTGTCTTTAAGCATGTGATCACGATGCTAAATTTTTTAAATTTTAAGATATTATATTTCTTCTCCGTTTCAGTTACGATTAAATAATAAATTTGTTTCTACCTATAAAAACAAGTCTGAAAAAATAAATGTTTTTTTTTTCATGTTTTATATGTATGACAACCTAGCTATGTACGAACATAAATTCAAATCTAAAGAAAAAATTGACATGGTATTGGGTGTTGTTGACAAGTCTTGCCAACTCAAGATAAAGTAATGAAGAACATTGTTTGAATCTATGTAATAACTCATCCTACATGTTGACAAACAAGGGGGAAACTTCGATGCTAACCATTAAGGTGACATGTGAATTTTCTTGGAAGGAAAGGAAAACCCTAGAATTAAATAAACTCAATTAATCATTAATTTAACATTAACTAGTTTAGTTTCAGCTCAATCAAAACGTGGTCAAATAAATACATCCAAAGCTACGGGAGAAAGTGGTTGAATTCTTCACAGTATTACGTGTAATTTTTATGATTAATTATCTTTTTTCTCTCTCTCTTTTAGGTTTACCCACATGCTTTTATTCCTCGTTAAAAATAAGATTAATCTGGTAGGGACAAGAACCATAAGATTTACTTCTTAATAAAAAATAGATTAGAACATTTCATATGGGAACCACTTTATTTTTTGTTGGATCAATAATTTGTTAGTAATTATCTTTTTATTAATATAGGGAGATTATCTCTGTAGTCATTAGAGTCCCAAACTCGTATCAAAATTTTGAGAAGTACAATTATTATGAATTTTTTTATTTTGGTACAGATAATTTACATTTAATGAAATCTAACAATCTTTTGTGATAAAAAGAAAAAAAGCAATTGATTAATAGTAATTTTTTGGTTTTGACTATGATAAGAAAAGGAAATATGTCTAGATCAAGATAGGAACATGGCCACTTACGAGGGAAAAAAAAAGTTAAATCACTCGAGAAAAAACTTTGTCAATCAAGAAATTCTCAATAAAAAAAAATCTCATTTATTGAAATTTAGAATGTTTCAAATGGTTCAAAATAAATTTAAATTTAGTGTGTTTTATTTACATCATTCATAAAATACGTGTAACATTCGAGTTTCTCGAATTATGTAGAATTTTATTTTATATATATATATATTAGTTTTCTTCAAAATTATTGACAACGAAAACGATACGATTTAATTATTTTTAAAAAAACATGATTTTAAGCCTTACATATTATAAAAAAATTGGTATAAAAATTAACTTGTCTATCGTTAATCTAATAATTTATTGATAGTTTTTTTCTTCGTTTATTAAAATACTAAACTTTCAAAAGTGTAAAATAATTTAATTTGGAAGTCTTTTTTTAAATAGTTGATAATAAATAAGTGGACCAAGCAGCACCGTCATTTTGTAACCGTCAACATTAAAACAAAACTAGGGGCGCGTCAGGAGACACGGCTCAATGGCATTTTCAGTAATTTTGAAAGTTCCAAGGGTAATTAATTAAAGGATGCATCCACCTGGAAGGCCAACGAGGCCTCACATTCTTCGAAGCAACTTATACTTACTTTTATATATTTGTTTATTTTGCGACCTACTTTTGTTTATTTATATTTGAACCTACGTTTTGCCTTCTTTTATTTATTCCCTAATCCCCTTCGTTCATGGGTTTTTTTAATTCATACTCATCCCCCTTTATTACATTATAATAGAAGATATTTGTATCATTAAAGCTAGAATCCACATGGTTAAACGTATTAAAAAGATCCTTTAAATAAATTTATGTATTTTAAATTTAATTAATTAAATAAGTGTATTTTTAATTTCAAATATTTAAATATGATTTTATAAAAATTGATAATTTTTATACGTTAGATCCAATAAAAATATAATATACAAATGTATAAAAACTGCTTGTGGGTTTCACTTTATATGACTATGTTATTTTTTTTTATTCAAATTAACATACAAAACCCTATTCATTGAAATTGAAAATATAAATATTCAATTGATGGAATTGAAAATATAAAAACTTATTTGATTGATTTACAAAAAGCATAAGATGCAAATAATGCTTCACTCGAATAAAGGGTTATATATATATATATATATATATATATATATATGCGCTAAATTTGAGATGTTTCTTTTATAGCTTTAAATTCTCAATTTAGAAATAACGAATTTTGATATTTAACAATAGAGGATATTGAAGGTTTTTTATTAGATGGTAAAATGGATTTTCAAACTAGTTTGTGATTCAATGGAAACTAAATAGCAATCTTAACAATGCATCGTCACATCAATTTGATATGTTCGTAATAATTTAATAAAGAATAACTCTAAATTCATTAATCAAATTATTATTCTCATTATTTTTTAAAAATAATTACCAATAAATTTTTTATCAATTATCAATAACTATTATTTAATAAATATCAAGTAAATATTGTATTGGTAATTTTTTGTAAAAACTTGTTAAAATAACAATTTGATTGGTGAATTTAATTATATTTTTTAATAAATTATTCCGAATATTGATACTAAGATTCGAAATCATAAAATTAACAAATGAAGTAAATCTTTTTTATCATTAAACCAATCTCTAAAAAAAAAAACTATAATTATTAAGGTTGAACTCCACTTTGAGAACCACAATCAATACTAATAATTTATATTCTAGTGGTATTGGATAATAAAAAAAGAAAAGAAAAAGAAAAAAAAGAGTAGTAGGAGTGTTAATTATCACGTCGACGACAATTAGCATCTTTACTCCACTCCACTCTGAAAAGGATAAGGTATGACTAGGACCATGGCGTTAATGTAGATCCTCATCAATCATTTTCATCAGGCATGACATCACAATTATCACACAAAGACGAGTGACTTGATTCTAGCCTTTGATCAGTAAACCGTCCCGCGTAACGAATCAGAGAGTAACACGACTTGGTTTTAGTGGGCCCATGTCTTCCCTCCTTTGCTTTTTCAATGGAAAAATGTCCTACCTTAAAATAGTTACAATTGGGGACTTTTGTAGTATGTGTTTAATACTGTGTCGTTTTTGTGCCGATGCTTCGATACTTCCTTTTCTATTAATTGGACTTTTTTTAAGTAGAAATATTTTTAGACTCTGAGAATAATCTTCTTTCAATCATGTTTTAAATAGGTTATTAATTACTTCTTTGAATTGGTTACGTGGATTAGGTTAGTATGAATTTCAATTTCAAATCCCGTTATTAGTTTTTTAAAAAATAATAACATATATATTTGATTATTCAAGTTATAAAAAATATACAGAGAGGGTGATAATTATAATGATTAGTATCAAAATTGCTATATTTTCTGGTAAATAATCGGTTATCCTACTTGATATGTAAATATAGAGAAATATAGCTAAAAAGTGTCCATGAATAATTATATACAAAAATAAACATATATACATGTGAGGTTGACCAATAATTTTTTAATTTAGTGATAATAAACTTCTTACATTTACAAAATGTTACCAAAGAGGAGTGCTAGTGACACTCTCTTTAATACTCTCTTTTAAACGAGTTGCTTAATAAAAGCGTCTACGTTGAATAATAACAGACAACATAATCGATATCCCATATTCTAAGAACTTTTTTAAATTATAATAAATCTCATATTATCTAAAAGTCTAAAATACGCTTATTTATTTATTTAACTTTATTATTTGCTTCTAAAACAAAATAATTTGTCAAGCAATTCCGAGCTCTCTTCCAGATTCCTAATTCTCAAACAACAAAGAAAAAACTAAAAGATATCTTAATTGGTGAAAATTAATTGTTTTATAAAGAGAAGGTAATAAATAAATAAGGATATTTTAGTCTTTTAGATAATATGAAATTTATTCTAATTTAAAAACATCATAAGAATATAAGATATCGCTTATTTTTTGTCTATTATTATTATTTAACGTGGAAATTTTTATTGAGTAAGTATTTAAAAGAGAGTGTTAGACAGAGTATCGCTAGCACTCCTCTTTTTTCAAAATATTTAAATGTAAAAAAATGTCCCATTACAAAAGGAGGTTATAATATCTCCTCATATTTATAATGGTGACTTATTAATTCGTAATAGTAATACGATTTTACCCTTTTTGCCGTCTGAAAATTGCATGGACTTGATTCTATGCTTTGACCAGTAAACCATCCCGCGTAACCAATCAGAGTAACAGTACTTGGTTATGGTGGGCCCATGTCTTCCAGCCTTTGTGTTTTTATGGAAAAATGTCTTACCTTTATATAATTACAACTCGGGACTTTTGTAGTATGCGTTTAATGCTGTGTCGTCTTTTTGCCGGCGCCTGGAAGCTTCGTTTTCTATGAGTTGGACCTTTTTTTTAAGTGGAAATATTTTTATACTTTGAGAATATGAGAATAATCTTCTTCCGATTATGTTTTAGATACGTCATTAATTAAGTCGGTTATGTGGATTAAGTGGTAAAGAAAAAATATAATTAGTATGAATTTTAATTTAATTAAATGGTAAGAAAAACTATGATTAGTATGAATTTCAATTTCGAATCCCATTATTAGTTTTTTTTTTTTTTTAAATGAGATATGCATCTGATTATTTGAGTTGTCAAAAACATATACAGAGAAAGATAAATATAATAATCATATGAAAATTATAATATTTTCTATTAAATGTTAGGTTATCCAATTTAGTATGTAGATATAGAGAGATATAGTTAAGAAGTGCTCATGAATAATTATATACAAAAACGAAACATATATGGATATAAGGTGGATCAATAGGCTTTTAGTCAAGTGATAAACAGCTTCTTGCACTTACAAGATATTAAGGATTCAAATATTTTCTTTCGAGTATTTGAGCCTTTAAAAAAAATGTCATTGCAAGAAGAGGTCAAAATGGCCTCTTATATTTATAGTGATAACCAATTTAGTTTGTAATAATAATATGATTCCGTTCTTCCTTCACTAACTACTAACATCAGTTCCCAAACGCTTCACGATTAAGTGGAATGTATTTTTTCAATATATGACAAATATATATATATGTGTGTGTGTGTGTTATGTTATTATTTTTTTATCCTTTTCATTTTTTTCTTAATTTTGATAGGAATGAGTATTTTTTTATTTAAGTTGCATCAATTTAAACTAAATTTTTTCTTCATAAAATTTTTAAATGCATATTTTTTTTATTGATCCGAGGTATTTATATTGCATAAAATGGTAATGAGATTTATTTATTTATTTCGAGGATGGATTGACAAAGAGGATCGTTAAGATATCGAAATTAAATTTAATGAATTTTTTTTGTTCAAATGTAATGATTTTAATTGTTTATGGTGGGGATCAAAGCATGGCATTTTATATTTCATCAAACAATGAAAAGCTGAAAACAACAATAGAAGGGGACAATATAAAATATTTTGAAAGGACAAAAGAAGAATTAAGAAAAAAGGAGAATCTTTGGTGTTTCCCATGAAATAAAAAGGAAAATTTTTGGCCCACTTTGTTTTCATCTTTAGTATATCGTCATGGGATTAAAGTTGTTAAATTTAAGTAGCAGTAAGCCACTACTAGCCAAGTTCGTCATAATTAAAAATTAACAATAACTATTTATATTACTTTACATATTACTTCGAACATGAGTTTCAGAAAAATAGAATTATAATATGATTCTAAAGTTATTATTCAATTAATTTAAAATTAATTAAGTGCTGATATCTACATTACTCAACTAGTCAATATTGAGAGACTAATGGATGTGTAAATTGATTGGCAAATCATCCTCTTTTCTTTATTTTTGACTGTTATTTATTTTTCAAATTTTCCTTTTGATTGTTTTTTTTTCAATTATTTCAAAAAATATGTATAAGATAATTTTTTTTCTCTCGTATTTGTTCAATCTAGTGTTTTTTTAGAGTTGTTTTTTTTCTTTTTTTAAACTCTCCGTTCAATCATTAGAAAAAAAAAAAAAAGGCACTTGCTTGCATGTACACTCCATTGCCAACTCAATCATGTTTTAATAATTTCCACTAGCATTTAATGCATTTTAACACCATAACTATGAATAAAGATGCTGTCCGATACTCAACCACTTCAGTACCGAAGAAATCAATCTAATCAAATCTATACAAATCAAAGTAATTATTATTGCAATCTAAATCTACGTCAGCAACATGGGACGTGGGTGAGTCATCATCTCCTACGTCAAGTAGGGGCAGACCAAATCAAAACCTCGTGCCCTTGAATATTTGCTTGTACGACAGCGTAAGAGCCTTTACTTTAGGACAAACAGAGATTGTCTTTAATTTTCTAAGTAATTTGTCCTTATCAAACCAAGCTAATCAGACCCGCTTTCTTTGATGGGAGGAGGAGGGACCCAATTGCAAAATTTTAACACTGTCTGCAAATTAAGTGTCACTTTCATCCTCATCTTTCTTGGTCTTTTCCTTTTCATGGAGTTGTGTGGAACAAAAATCTCTCCTTTTTGGCTAGAAGAATAAAGGACTTCAAAAAAAGCTTTGAAACATTACTTGGTGGGATGAGGTCGCTTGCCTCTTTTACCACAAGACAAGAAAGAAGAGAAATCATGGTCGAGAGTTTGAACATAAACACCGAGCCAATGAGATTTGAATGAATTATTGATAAGTTCATAGCCCTTTCCTCTAGTAAATCATTAACTAGTCTCTTTATTTTCAAGAAATGATTTATTCAGTCTCTCGTCTTTTAAAATTTGATTATTTAGTCTTTAGCGTTTAATTTGATCTTACTTTTTGTTTTAGAAAACATCATATTTCGATCATTTATCTTATCATATTTTTTACTTGTTAATTTTTCTTTTTTATTTCTTAAAACGAAATGTCAAAATAAAGTGAAAAAGAGCAAAAACGATCCAATTTATAATAAATTTTAAAATATAAGGATCAAATAATTAATTTTTAAAACAAAAAACTAACTAATTCGTTTCTTGAAACTAAAGGGATTAATGTATAATTTACTCCTCTCCTAGCATGATCCATGAAATTGCACCCCCACCCTCTTTTTTGGACACACTATAAGGACTTGACTAAATAATATAATATTTTTGAAACATTAGAGTATTGCTTCATGACATATTCTACATTGATTTAGAAATAGCGAAAGATTGTAATAAATCAAGGAAAGAAAGCCATTTTTTGACTTTCTATTTTGGCGTGCTCGATGCTTCCAACCGCCACTACATTTTTTTCTCCAAAACCGACTTTTTCTGGGGTTAATTTCAGTATTAATCCAGCAACTTCAAGCCAAAGCTTCTGGTCTTGACAATGGTGTTTTTTGCCGCAGACTCACCACTTTGTCACGTTCGAACCAAGTCTCTGCAATTTCAAAATCTCTTGTTTTTGATTTGCCTTTCTGTTACTGTTTCCTTTTTCTTCGATTCATTTCCAGCCTTCTACAAAATATTTTTCGTATTTATCAACTTATTCGATTGATTATGATTAGTAGTTTCAAATTACTCCTATTTCTATTATCTTTTTGTTTTTTAAAAAAAACTGCCCGCTAAATTGCTACAAAGAGTAAATTGTAAATTAATCCCTCTCGTTTCAAGAAATAGATTAATTAGTCTTTTTTTGTTTCAAAACCCAATCATTTAATCGTTTTTGATATTTTTTTAATTTATTTTGATTTAAGAAATAGAAAAGAAAAAAAGTAAAAAATTGTGAAAAGATTAACGAGAATACATTTTATTAAATTAAAAAATATTAAACTAATCGTGATCAATACTGATTAAAAGAATTAAATAATTAGGTTTTGAAACTAGAGGGATTAATTAATTTGTTTTTCGAAAAGAGGGACTAATTTATAATTTACTCGCCTGAACAAGAGCACTTTATCTCAGTATAAAACCTTACAGCTAATTCCTCCATAAAGTGCCAAAAGAAGAGCACTTGGTTCAGGACCTATAGCTAGTGATAAAAGCAAAGCAACACAATCCACTTTTTGAGCCCATTAGCCACAAGGATACCAGCTAGCTAGATAACCAACAACAAAAACCTCTTGGACCTACCAAATCAACGCGGGGAATCCCCATGTTGACTAGGGCAAGGTGAGGCAAATTGCCATCCCTACTGGAGACTCAAGATAAAGACCGATAAGACTGACCTCTTCATAGCAGCTACTTATCAAGAAAAACACATCAAACTCATAACTAAACAGTACTCACTTGGCCGATTCCACTATCTGTCTCCTCAGTCCTTCAACTTCTTTCAATCACAAATTTACAATACCAAACACACAAAATCACTTAAAGTGCATCAAGTTTTATGTGAGACAGCAAGTTGTACCTAAGGTCGTTCTGATTTCGGATTTGTAGGCAGCACTGAGTGGCATGTGCATCAAGACAAACAACAGCTGAGGGTAAATCAAAATTAATACTGTTACTGATAGAACCAGAAAATGCAAGGAAAATCACTCACAATGTAATTGATAGAATCAAGGTTATTGATCAAACAGCATAAAGCAAACTGATCTTGCCAGCGTTGTTCGATCTCAACATCATAGCAGTTCCTTTGTGCAGCAACCAGACGGCCCCAAAAATCTAATTACTGATCAAACAGCACAAAGCAAACTGATCTTGCCAGTGTTGTGTGATCGAAACATCATAGCAGTCCCTTTATGCAGCAACCAGAAGGCCCCTGAAATTCCAAATATGGTCCTAACTATCTCTCTCTCCCTCTACCTCTCTCGAAATTTCTTTTCATTCCCTAGGACCAAAAACTAAATTGAAAGTTACATTTAGAGTTTAATGTAATTCATTTCACGGAATTAAGAAACATCAAGATTTATGCGCTGCTTTTGTGAATGCCTCACAGGAATAAGACCATTCAACACTTTAATCTGCAACACACATGACTTCCAGTTAACAAAATCAGCAAATTCCCATAGCCAACTCAAATTTAATCATAAAATTCCTATGTCTCACTAAAGCAAACAGATGATGAAAGGACTGAATCCTTAGCTGAGCTATGGGGACTCTGCCATCAGACCTGGTGTCCCAATACCACTACTCAAGGCTTCATTGACAAGTGTAGACATTGGCTTGTTACAGAGTTTCAGGGTTGGTGTTAAATTCACCCTATGTACTTACCTTTTTTTTTCCTTGGAGCAGTAAAACAAAGAGAGGGGACTAGAACCTTATAAAGGTGACTCTGCAAGCATCACCCCATGAGCAAAGTGGTCAGGAGGAGGGAAAAGCAACTCCAACCACACACTATCAGCTTGGCTGGCCAAGATTGGCTAGGAAGGCAACACATAGTTTTCTTCTTGCTGAACATGAGATGACCGAACATGCCAGTTCCTATCAAGAGTTTGCAAATGTCACAAACAAGATTCCACTTTAGGTGAAAGACAGAGCAGGCATGAGATGTAAGATTAATACCCGCTCCAGAGTCCAACTCGCCACATAACTGCCTGTAAACCCTCTACCATGCCACGGCCAATTCTAGACTCATGTTTGTTGCCCAACCAACATAACAGGAGAACCACATAACCAACCACTGAGGCTATTTCAAAAACGACCACCATAACCTTCTTGTACTCAACTATTCAATTCTCTTCCTTTGGTCCATCCACTATTTTTTGGTTAATGGAATGTCTCTACTTCTATTGTTTGACTTATCCTAACTCAGTGCTAAAGTTACTGTTAACATATGCTTAACATGAAGACAGCTTACATCTCCTGACTTGAGTTAATCTGGCATCTCCATCCACAGTTTTTTTTCTTTTCTAACTACAATCTCTCTACTACTATTCTTTGATTAATCCTACCTTGGTGTTACAGATGCCTACATGATGAAGACACCTTCAATGCCCCAACAGAGATTAACACAGCATTCGTACTTTCAAAATGAGGTTGCAACATCAGTATGCTTGTCAAGCAAAACCCTACAACATTTATACCTTTTCTGATAGGAATATACAATAGACGATAAATAGTCAGAACTTGTAAAGGGGAAAAAATATTCAATGCAGTATCTAAGAAACCTAAAAGAAACTACAAATGTTCCCAACTCTTAAATCAATTAGCCTATTAATGTCTTAAAGGGAATTCCTGAGCTGAAAGTAAACATCCAAATCACAGTACTTGAATGGAAAGACTCAAGCATTAAAGAAGCTGTGACTGGATGCTAGCACATCTTTAACAAGCACTAAATAAATCATTCTGAGAGGCAAAACCACTATGCCTACAGCAACGACCAAAGAAAAAAGTGAAAAAAATCCACCCTGAACTTTTTACATCTCATACATTCATGGCTTAATTACAAAATAAAATACGCAAATACGCTAACAAAATCAAACAGAGTGACAGACACACTAGTGAACACAGAGAGAAGCTTTTATCCAATAAATGAAGCGAAAAATCTTCTAAACTAAGATGAAACATCAATAAGCTAAATTGCAGATAGTGTCAAAACCTTTGCTTTCATTTAAAGAGAACCTAAAACCACAAGTCAGAGATACCTAATTGACATAGCAGTTCAATCCCTCTTTTTAAACCCCAAACACGTAGAAATCTCAACTCAATCAGCAAATAAAAAACATCAGGGTTCAAAAATGGCCACCAATTTTCAAAAACACACATTTGACCTCTAATCAATCAAAGCTGTCATTAAAACTTACCAAAAATAGACATACAAAATCCAACAAGTTCTCCAACAATCCAATTATTATCAATCGTCATCATTCGAAAAGATTCAAAACATAACTAAGATGCCACATTTCATTGAAGAACTTAAAAAAGCCGAATTCTTTAACTCCTAAAACCACGTTTCTGGTAATGAGCAACCTCACCCTCATTTGGGAAAAAACCCATAAGTCTCCCAGCAGAGTTCTGATAAGCATACATAAAACCCCCCATTAAACCGATCAATCCTCCTGTCACCATTGATGGTCCCCTAATCCCTGGCCTTATCCCTATTAAAAACAAACACAAAAACAAAAACCCATTTGCGTATGAGTAATTTAGACATAAATAAGTGAAAAGATGAGCTAAAGATGTGAAATTTGTACCTGAGAGATAGCCAACAGTGACTGAGACACCAGTGAGGGTAATGAAACGACAGTAATCAAGGGTGTTAAAGTTGCCAACAACCTTAGTGAATGCTGGGTTTCGATCTATTACTGGGTACTCTGGTTTTGCCGATGCTGTGATGTCTGTATTCATTTTCTGGTCTTTATTTTTTCACTTTGCCTGAGTTGTTGTTTGCTGCTCTCCAATCTCTCTCTCTCTCTCTCTCAGACTCTATTTATTTATTTATTTGTGTTTGGACAAACCAAAAAAAACCCCCCAGCTATCTAAGTAATCAATTTTACCCTTAAAATAATTTTATATCAATTTCGTCCTCCAAGTTCACATCTTGGATTTATGGATTCCATCCAAATTGTTTTTATTTTGTTAAAAAAGCTAAATTGTAAAATCCCCTCCTAAAATTGAGCAAAAATATTAATAATAAATACCCCTGTAAAAGGTAAATCTCTTACTTTCTAAGCAATATAATTTTTTCAAAGTGTTCCTTCTATTAGAGTTCAATTAAAGATCAACACAAAAATCAATAAAAACCCTCCTAATTTGTCTTATTTTCTCTATCAATTTAGGAAAAAAAATATTAATAAAGAAAAAAAGGAATCGAAGGATTCTCTTTCAATTTCTCATTGAAATCCTAATAGAATGGATAAATTTTAAAAATCATATTGTTAGGAGACAAAATTAAGAATCTTTCAGTTTAAGGGTATTTATTTATATATTTTTATTCAAGTTCACGAGATATTTTACAATTTAACCTATATATATATATAAACGACATTGTTTTGTAGAGAACTCAAAATGTTTTATTAAGGAATTCTAATTGAAAGCTTCAATTGAGAAATTGAATTGTTTGGGGGTAAAATTGATATAAAAATTCTTTTTGGGGCAAACTTGATAAGAATTTTATTGGTATCTTTTCAAGTCCTGCTAGGTGCTAGTAGTTCTAGATTTGGGCATTTGGGGTGTTTCGCAGTATGAGAATCAAAGAATGGCTTAAGAACTTAATTGGGCCATTGATGAAAAAGTAGCGTTGATGGTTTATGTTTATCTGATTGGGCCTTTCATATGTCAATGGGATATTCCTATTCCCAAGCATGGTAGAACAACCTTTCGCTAATGAGTTATAAACTATCTTGAATTTTTGTTAAAAAGAAAAAAGTTTTTAATTTTTTTTTAATCTTAATTTGACTTGCGAATTTTTTTTTTTTTTTTTTTTTTTTTTTTTTTTATCAATCTCAAATGATATTAAACACATATGAGAGAATATATGTGGTTGTTTTAAAGCTTACATGTCTATGAATGTCTATTTCAAGATATGTTTCGTTATTTTAAAAGCGTAACAAAATAAAAAAATTTAATGTATCAAAAAATAAAAAATTCAAAATCTAAATTAAAATAAAAAAGTGTTTGAAATTTTTTGGATAAATATATATATATGTTCTTATATAATATTCAAAATCTTCTATATGTTTCTAGAATTTTAATTGCATTCCATTTGTTCTTAAAAATATTTTAAATATTCAATCTGTCCTTTTGATCAAATTTTTTGACCATATATATATATATATATTATTGAAATGCTCTTTACTAAAAAAAAAAAAAACAATGAAAGTCATGACCTATATGTTTCATTTTTTAAGTCTTTAGATTTATTTATTTTTGCATTTCAATCAAGAGCATTTCGTTGAGAAAATTTTTTTTTGACTAAAAAACTTGATTAGAAGGATAGATTAAACATTTTAAACACTTTCGTAAATAAATGAGATGCAACTAAAAACCTACAAACATATGAGAGATTTTGAATATTATATAAAAAGATGTGTATATTTACCTAAACTTTTTCTCTATTGACTAAAAATTTCAAGTAACCTATAACCAATTAACCATAAAATTAAACATTTTAAACACTTTCGAAATAAATGAGATGCAACTAAAAACCTACAAACATATGAGAGATTTTGAATATTATATAAAAACGAGATGTGTATATTTATCTAAACTTTTTCTCTATTGACTAAAAATTTCAAGTAACCTATAACCAATTAACCATAAAATTTTCTAATTATCTTGATTGATAGATGATAAATAATGTTATTAATTAGAGTTTGAATACTAAGAAAGATTGAGAAAAAAATACATCAATCCCACGTATCAATCTCGGATGATATCAAACACATATGAGAGAATATGTGTCATTGTTTTAACGGCTTGCGTATCTAGGAGTGTCTCTTTCAAGATACGTGTTGTTGTATTAATAGGTTAGTTAATAGGTTAATAAAATGAAAAAAATTAATTTATGAAAAAAATAAAAAATTCAAAATCTAAATCATAATAAAAAAATATTAGAAATTTTTTGGATAAATATATCAATCGTTCTTATGTAATATTCAAAATCTTCTATATGTTCCTTGGTTTCTAATTGCATTCCATTTGTTCCTAAAAATATTTAAAATATTCAATCTGTCATTTCGATTAAATTTTCTAACTATATAATTTTTTTTACTAAAATGCCCTTTACTAAAAAAAAGCACTTAAAATCACATGAACTATATGTTCCATTTTTTAAGTCTTTAGAATTTTTATTTATTTATTTTTTGCATTTCAATCAAGAGCATTTCGGTGAAATTTTTTTTATTCGATCGAAAAAATTAATCGAATGACGTAATAAACATTTCAAACACTTAGAGAAATAAATGAGATGCAATTAAAAATTTAAAAACATATGAGAGATTTTAAATATTATATGAAAACAGATGAGTATATTTACCCAAACTTTTTCTCCATTGACTAAAAATTTCAAGTAATTTATAACCAATTAACCATAATCTATTTTAATTATCTTGATTGATAGATGATAAATAATGTTATTAACTCGGAGTTTGAATACTAAGAATGATTGAGAAAAAAATACATCAATCCTACATATCAACCTGAATGTTGTGGAAATCGAACCATAATTCTAGCAATACCATCAATCCTACGTATCAATCTCATCCCTTGGCGATAACTATTTTTTTTAGATGAAATGATGTAATTTGTATAGAATTGGCAGATTTTAATAGAGTGAGCAAGTTAGTCGGCACTCTTGTTCACTAATTTCTTTCTTTTTAGGTACGTAGTGGATACTAATTTGGCATGCATATTTCTAGACAGTACTAATGAGTATTTACAAAAATAAACAATAACCAGATCTATTTTATAGTTTTTAATAACGGATAGTTATTATTATTATTATTTTTTTTTTGAGATAGTATATAAAATAATTTTGATTCATACAAATAACAACAACAACAATAACAATGTTATATAATGATAATACTTGTTATTACCGTTATTCGGTATATTGTTGTTAAAGAAAAATACTCATAATTTTTTTATTTTAAAATAAATTTATTAATAGCTATTAATGTATTTACTATATTAATTGTAGTGACCATTATTTTACTATTATGATAAGCCGTGACTTACAACAATAATTTATAATTACATCTATGATTTAAAACTATAATTTATTTAGAAAGAATGAGGAATAATAGAAGGAATGGGACATAAAATCAATCTCCTTTTCTTCTCTTTCATTTTTTAAGCTCTATTGTTATATGTATACACACCATCATTTAGGGTACAAGGTTACTATGCTATAATGTTATGAGACATATCGTTTAGAAAGATTTTTTATTTTTTAACCATAAATTTCTCCTTTTCTTTGTTGAATTTTTCTTGCTGCTAAGTACTAAACCACCTCATGAAGAGATCGAGGATCGAGGGGCGGTCTATGGAGAATTCACGCTATTCACATCTACTGAAAGACAGGAAAAGGAAAGGTTGATATGACCAAAGATAAGGTAATCATCTTTGGACTTATTATCTGATGAGAGTTCAATGGTTAGGTCCTTCTGGTGGAATCAAGTCCAAAGCATAGTTCTCTTTCAGAAATTTGAATCCTTCTTTCCTTGATTATACTTTATTTTGTTTTTTTTTTTTTTTCAGGTATTTCCGTTTCACATTGGAAATAGGATTAATCCTATTAGAACAGAAGCGACCATGTTTAATCTTTTTCAAAATTTAAATCTTATATATTATCAGAAAATTTATTTAAAAATCAACTAACTTACTGTTGTACTAATAACTTATTGATATTACTTTTTTCTTGGAGTTGAGCTCTCTTTTGTAATAAAAATGAGGGAAAAAAAAACGTGTAGGTCCATACGTATTAGAAATTTAATGCATACATCATAGGGTCATCAAAGCACAAGTAGCAAATGTTGAGCGTAAAGTGCTGCGAACTAGTCATAGCGACCCTAAAAAGAGAGAAAATGGTGCATGGAAAAAAAGCAGAAAGGAAACCGGAAATTCATTTCACTGCAGCTTCCTCCTCCTATCCCCGCAACTTCAAGGAAATATACGAGTTACGGTGTTCTTGTTTCGAGGGGTTCACTTTACTCAATGTATACTACCATTTTCTCCATTCTGCGCATAGAAAATTCACGTTTTATCAAGCTTTGGATACTACAGTAATCTTTACTTGCCGTTTTGAATTGGGAAGAATCAAGCCGAAAAGATGACAAGCAAGGAAACAAGGAGCGAGATGGACCTTGAATCTCCAGAGAAAGGACTGCCAATTCCACCACCAAAAATCTGTTTGCGGTCTGCTATCTTGGTTATACGAGCGGGACACATTTTCTTTTCCCACGCCAACTACGACGAGAAGGAGACTCTTGTTTCTCCAGGTGTCTTGCTGTTATCTCCATCTCACAGGGTATGTGTTTTCCTAGATCATATCATCGTTCCGTCTCTATCTATAGTGTGTTTGGTGTTGCGTTTAAGTGCCTTTGAAAGTGTTTTTGGATTGAAAAAGGTTTGATATTCTTTTACGTGCTTTTGAATAGTTTTGACATCCTCATATCAAAATCACCGAGAAGCACCCAAAAAAGCATTAATTTGACGTTTTGTCAAAGGAAATGTACTTTGGAAAGCATTTTCAACCGAATTACCAAACACACAAGTAAGTTTGGAGTTGCTAGCACCTACGCTTGGGAATCGAAACCAAATATAGAACTGACCGGCGATTGCAGGAATATACCCGTAACAGCTCGTTGTTATTAGTACATAATAAATAAATAAATAAAATTTATTGTAAATTAAAATAAATAAAGAATTAAAATTTTTTACCTTGTTTTTCAAAGAATTCGAAATAGAATCACGTTACCATATTCATAGTATAAAGATGACCAAACCATCAAAATAGTTCTACTATAATTTTTAGGTGACCGGCTCGAGATACAATCGAGTTGCTTTCTTGAGACGATACCCATCATCCGTAGAATTTATCCGATGCGACGGATAAATAACATATTACAAGCCATCTCGGTGATACAACAAACTCAGTCATCTTCTCGTATCTTAATAAATTTGTACTATTTGTAAGACTTGAAACTCTAAAAATAATAACACCATTCTTACCCAAAGATAAAACAAATAAGTATTATATGGTCTTATAGTGGGAGATTAAAAAAAAAGAAAATTGAAAGAAAATTTTTCTTTATAACAAAAGGCTACTCTTTTTTCTCTAAACAAAAAGAATACTAATGTTGCTATATTTTTTTTCTTTATTCTGGTACACATTACATAAAGGAAAGATCCTATATATAGGCTATAGGAATAAAAACGTTTGGGAAGAAATAATTTCAATAATTAAGTGCATTTAATTATTCTAAAAATGGTAAAAACTTCTTTTATAAATGATGTAACCGTTTATTAATTTATTAAAATAAATATAGCTATTATAATCATAATATTTTAATATACCTCATTAACCATGCATTGAATACTTTATTATTATTGCTATTTAATAACAATAAGTATAGTATTCTATATTTTATTAAAAAATAATCCAACAATTCCCCACTTATTTTTTAATAAAATATTAGTCATATATTTTTTAAAATAAATAATACAATAAATGTAGTTTTTTATAATTTACTAAAAAATATTCCAACAATCCCGTACTTATTTTTTAATAAAATATTAGCTATATTTTTGGGTAAAGAAACGAACATAATATATAATAAGGGTGTCAATGGCTTGAACCCCTACTTAGTGTTTCAACAACATTTTTTTTGAACTAAGGCTTTTTAAATGAAACAAATATTGTATCACACATATTATATTCATGTATTTTGCGATGTGTTTCAAAGCCAGCATATTAACGATCTTGTACTTGATTTTGGCTTCTATGATTGTTTTAGAGAATTAACCCAATTCTCATAGGAAGCGGTCCCACTTGCTTACTCATATAAATGTGTCTATCAAGGATGCTCTTATAACTTTAACATCCCATTCAAAAGAACTATAGACCATATTAAAAGTTTCATCGAAAGAAACTTAACCTCTCTTTCATTATAAGATTCATGCACCACACCATAATGATAAGTATTGTAACTCAAATAAATTGTGCATGTAATCGGACCACTTTATGCTCGTTTTTCTCCTTAAATCTAGTTTTTGGGATCTCTAATCCTTAGATAGAGTATCCACAAAGGTGATTTTATTCATTTTTGGACTTAGTCTCATCTCTCCTCGATATATCATTTAATCCTTTGACTTCGGATAAAGATTTACTCTCATAGTATTCAATATACACCCAAAGGATTAGATAACTAGCTCTTAATCAATTTATTAGTGTTAAGACAAGTGGTAGAAATTTTTCATCCTTACTATTTTAGACAAAGCAAAACAACTACTTGTTTTTTTTTTTTTTTTTGGCATCCACTCATTTTTTAATTGGCTTTGACTTTTTACCTAATTTAAGTTCACCACGGATACATGAGCCAATTATAATCATATTTATTTTTCACATCCGTATCATTGTGCTAAAGCATGACGACATCATTGTTTTTTCTAATATAATAAAAAATATTTAATATAATTAGATAACTAGCTCTTAATCAATTTATTAGTGCTAAGACAAGTGGTAGAAATTTTTCATCCTTACTATTTTAGACAAAGCAAAACATCCACTTGTTTGTTTTTTTTTTTTTTTGGCATCCACTCATTTTTTAATTGGCTTTGACTTTTTACCTAATTTAAGTTCACCACAAATACATGAGCCAATTATAATCATATTTATTTTTCGCATCCGTATCATTGTGCTAAAGCATGACGACATCATTGTTTTTTCTAATATAATAAAAAATATTTAATATAATCACATTTAAGTGAATATGGATATTTTCTCGATCTCTAGTTTCTCATACAAATTTGACATCATTATATCTCATCTATACAATAGGAATGTCAATATTTAACTAGAGATTTAAATTTTCTCAAAATATCACCAATTGTCTTATTAGACAATATCATTACAATACCATTGTATCTTAATTATACAATAAGAGTGTTTGTTATTTCACTTATCGAATAATGTCGTCAAAACATCATTGTACCTTAGCTATAGAATAGGAATGTCATTAATTCCACCAATTCTCTCAATATTTTTACCAAATATTCTATAAGCATCATTATACAACTCCTTTTATATAATATGAATGCTTCTATAAATATTTCCAATAGTATCATATTAAAAATTTATTGTGGCAAATAGCTCAAACATCATGAGAAAAATTATGATAATTTATTATCATGAGAGAATTATGATAATTTATCTTGAATTACATAATAATTTTCTTAAATAAAATTTAATCCAATAGCATTTTTTTATGCCCCCACTATTCACATAATAAATAATTTTCTTCATTGTCGGTGTAGACAAAGTGATGACATAAATTATTCTATTATTTCATCATCAACATTTACAATTTATTTCTTGTGGCTCAACAATCGGTAAGATATATTTTTAAAAAATAAGATACTATATCAAATTTTTATTTTTACATAGAAAATAATATGTGAAAAAATCCTTTATTAAATCATGAATCTTTATCTTACTAATAATTTGGTAATAAGATTATTATTTTCATATTTGTTCATAATCCCACAATCGGGTAAGGTTGTCAAACAATTTCAACATGATTCATATAAAAATAATTGACATTCAAAATACAATTGATCTTAATTAAATTAATATGTGACCTTTTCAAGTCTTAATAAAATAATTAGTTCACAAACATTCAATAACAAGAATTTATATGACATTCACATTTCCCCTTTTTTTTTTTTTTTTTGAATCATAATTTATAAATTAAAAAACTCAAGTATGGGCTAATAAATATTCATACAACAATATAAAATTATTTGTAAATACAAGTATCACATACTTTCATCATCAAAAGTAAATTTCATATATATATAAGTCAAAATCAAAGAGCTTTAATAATTTGACGAGTTAAAATACTTACTTGACTTTTTATACTTATTGTATAGTAAGTATCGTTGGAGACTTGAAATACTTTTTATTGACCAAGCTTCCATTGCCTCTAATGCCACAAAAATTTGATTTCCTTGATTTTGCATCCAAGATGATTAATATATCCGTATAAAAATATTGGATATTGTTTTTTTTATGGCTTCTCATTGATCCGAGTAACATGACATCAATATAACAAATAATTTCAATGGTGATTATAATTGACCAATGTATATAAATTTATAAATCATCTCTCAAATTATTTAAATTTGTATCAATAATAAAATTCACACAAATAAATTAACAACATGGTTTATGTCACAAATATTAATTTTCAACACTATCAATATTATTGACTTTAAATAATAATATTTGATAGGTAACCGTAAGGTACAAAAAATTAACATTACAGATCAATATATTTGTCATGCAATTTATCTCATAAATATTCATATAAAATATATTAGCAAAAAATAATATTTATTTTTCATCAAACATGATCTTGCTATCTCATTAGCCATATGGTATTGATAATTTTATTATTATTATTTTTTAAGAGCAACGCAATCACACGAACATAAGACTAACATTGAAATAAGTTCATTGTCTTTAAAGCTCAATAAAAAAAAAATTAACAATATATGTATATTATCACATATAAAGAATAATCCATTCACCCATAACAATATATGGTCTCGAGGTAAGAGTAAAATAAGATAATAAATGAAATAATTTTTTTTTCACATGGCTAATTAACATCTATAAATTTATTTTTAATTAATAAAATTTGCTATATGTATACAACTAACTAAGATTTCAGCAAAATAATATATATTTTTTTCAATACTTGCTTTATTCTCAATTAAGTAGCAAGAATCATCAAACATCAATTAAAAACCACAATAGACAAGAAAGGAGATCCACATTATAAAAAACATAATACTAAAATTTCATGTCCAAAGTCATTTCACAATTTTAATCATTAAATCAAGACATCGTATCATCTCAAATTTTTATTCCTAACACACGAAGGAACATAATTAAATAATAAAAATTAACACAATAAATAAATCAATTTTTTATAAATTAAAATAAATAAAGAATTAGAATTTTTTTACCTTGATCTTCAAAGAATTCGGGATAAAAATCACGCTACTATATTTCACGGTGTAAAGATGACCAAACCATCAAAATAATTTTACTATAATTTTTAGGTGATTAGCTTGAGGCACTACCGCATTGCTTTCTTGAGACGATACGCGTCATCCGTAGAATTTATCCGATGCAATGGATAATTAAAGAGTATATTGCACACGATCATCTCGGGGATACAACAAGTTCAATCATCATGTCGTATCTTAACAAATTTGTACTATTTGTAAGATTTGAAACTTTAAAAATAATAGCACCACTCTTACCCAAAGATAAAATAAATAAGTATTATATGACTTTATAGTATGAGATTAAAAAAAATTGAAAGAAATATTTTTCTTCTAATAGAATGCTACAAAAAATACGAATGTTGCTATATGTTTTTTTTCTCTTTATTCTAGTACACATAGCATAAGAGAAATGTCCTATATATAGGCTAAACCGTTTGAGAAGAAATAATTGCAATCATTAAGTGCAATTAATTATTGTAAAAACAGTAAAAACTTTTTTATAAATGATGTAACCATTTATTAATTTATTAAAATACATATAGCTATTATAACCATAACATTTTAATGTGCCTCACTAACCATGCATTGAATACTTTATTATTATTTTCATTTAATAATAATAAGTATAATATTCTATATTTTATTAAACAATAATCCAACACAGCTAAATTGCCATATTTTTTTTCCAGAACTTGGAGGTAGCAGAAATTGAAGAAATCTCACCAAATCCTCAGGTTTCTATTGATGTCCCTCCCAATGCTGAGGTCGGCGATGCTGCTAGTGATATCAAACTACAACATGAAAACATTGCCAAGATAGTAAAGGGACGGGACCTACATTCCTTGCATGCATTTGGAGGCGTGCGAGGCATTGCAGAGGCCTTTGAGACTGATTTAGAGAAAGGAATCACTGGAGACATTGAAGATCTAAGTCGACGCAGAGCCAACGAAATCTATAAACCTCAAGCCCCTGCTGCAAGCAACTTCTTTAAGTTGCTAAAGAAATCTAGCAACAGTTACCCCATTTTCTTGCTCTCTGTATCGGCAGTGCTGTCACTTAGCTTCGGTATCAAGGAGGAGGGCCTGAGGACCGGCTGTTATGAAGGAGTTATTATAATTCTTGCAATCATCATACTTGTGGTTGTTCCACCAATATGTGATTTGTTGTATGAAAATTCTGCGAACCTGTTAGGAGAGCAGAAACCATTGAGAAAAAGAGAGATGGAAGTTGAAGTTTTAAGATCAGGAGAGTTTTTAAAAGTACCAGCTTTGGATCTTGTGATTGGAGACATAGTATCCCTGGAAAAGGGATGCCCTATTCCTGGCGATGGTTTGTTTGTATCTGGTGAATACTTAGAATTGGATCAAAGCTTTCCTTCCATTGTTGATAAACGAAATCCATTCCTCTTCTACGGTGCAAAGGTGATCAATGGGCATGGTAAAATGCTGGTGACATCCATGGGTCTAGACACAACATGGGGTGAGATGATGAGCAAGGCCAGCGAGAGACGATTGCCAGTTGAGCTCGGCAAGGTGAGCAGTCGCACACAAATAATTGGGCTCTCAACCTCTATTCTTATCATGGTAGTGTTGTTCCTGCGCTTTAAACTTGGAAAGGAAAATGATGATTCTGACATGCCAGAAATCAAGAGAGAATGGAAGACACAGAAGGTTATGGATTTTATCATGAGAATTGTCCGGAAACCAAGCGGGAAAATCAGTGCCGTAACAACTTGCCTCACTACTTTCCTTGTAGGGATGGTGGAAGGAGTGCCGTTTGTTATTAGTCTTGCCGTTTATTATTGGAATAAGAAGATCCTATCCACCAAGGTTGCCGTGCTAGAACAATTGGCTGCCGTTACCATGGGCTCAGTTACAACCATTTGCATTGACAAAACTAGTTGGCTAACAATGAACCCGCAGGAGGTTGATGAGTGTTGGATCGGTGAGAAAGTAATCAGTGAAGACTCTGTAATACCTGGACAGGTGAAAAATGCATTCTGTATTGGTATCAGAACATGCTCAAGTACTGAGGATTCATTGGTTTCGTGGGCTACACAGAATCTCAGGATGGAAATGGAGACTTTGAAGCAAAGTTACAAAGAACTGAGCTCTGGTGAGGAAGGGAGTGGAGTACTGGCGGGAGAGATTGGAGGTAATGAAACCAAGAAATGCCTGCATTGGAAAGGACTGGCAACAACAATATTGAAAATGTGTTCTCGGTACTATGACAGTGAAGGAGACATAGTGGTCATGGACGGAGAGAAAAGGCTGGCTTTCGAGAAAATTATTAAGGATATGCAGTCCAAAGATCTAAAAACCATTGCACTTGCTTACAAGACAACTGATGTTGAAACTCCTGAGAATGATGACTTAATATTGACAGGACTGGTGGGTCTGAAGGACGAATGTCGGATAAAGACTATAGAAGCGGTGAAAGATTGTATAAATGCTGGTGTCAACATCATACTTGTCTCAGAGGACAAGGGGTCAGAACTAGAAGACATAGCTCAAAAATATGGAATTCTTATTGGCACAAAGAGATTAGCACAGGAAGGTGAAACTTTCCGAAGTTTCAATGATGAAAAGAAAATGGATGTGGTCCGTAAAATCTGTCTTATGGGAAACTGCCTCCCTTCTAAGAAGCTCCACCTGGTGCGCTGTCTGAAACAAAAGGGCCACACAGTAGCATTTGTTGGAGTCAGAACAGATGATGCTCCAGCACTTAAAGAAGCAGATGTGGGAATTGCGATAAGAACTGGGAGGAGCAGCGAGTTGGTCGAAGGGAGTTCTGAGTTAATCCTCTCGGATGGAAATTTAGGCTCCTTGGTCCAGATTTTGAAGGAGGGACGAGGTCTTTATGACAACATTCAGAAGTATATCCTAGTTGAGGTCACCATAACTATTTCAGGATTACTGATAAGCACTGTCGTAACCATATTTTTCGGGTATGCGCCAATGACAGCGATTCAAATGATCTGGGTGAACTTGATTGTGGCTATCCTTGGGGGCTTCGCTTTGTTAACAGAGCCAGTACGAAATCAGAATCTGATGAAGAAGCCACCTACAAGACCAATTGATCCTTTCATCACAAAGGCCATGTGGTGGAATATAATCATACAAGCTTCCTATCAGGTTTCCATTTTGCTGGCCTTTCAGTTCAAAGGAAAAGCTGTTCTAAAGATCAACAAGAAGGTTAGCAATGCCATGATCTTCAATAGTTTTCTTCTCTGCCAACTTACCAACCAATTCAATGCCAGTGAGCAGAAACTGAAGAATGGAGTCAAGGGTGTTCAACAGAACCTATGGTTTTGGGTGGCTTCAGTTCTGGCGGTGGTGTTGCAGGTGGTGTTCGTTGAGATTGCGCACCACATCTTTGGGTTTGCCAAGTTGAATGGTGCACAGTGGGGTTTATGTTTCCTAACAGGGACACTTTCATGTGTGATGGACGGAGCTGTAAACATTACCTGGGGTGTCGTCAAGGCTAAGCTAAGTAGATCGAGCTCACATGCCGGATCCCAGCTCCCCACTCTGGAGCTTCCACTCATTAGTGAGAATTCAGCACCAGCCTCACCTTAGTTCATACTAATTTCTGTTAATTTTGAGTATGCATATCTATTTAGTGAATTGGGTCTTAATTTATTGGCTGTAAGAGCTTATGAGGTTTAGTTTTGAAGAAAAAAACACTTACTAATGTACTGGTTTAGGTTTAGGAAGTTTACTATGTTTTCCTCGATCCTACACGTTCAAGATCATGCACTAAATTTATCCATCTCTACTGCTATAAAAGCAAAACCTATCCAGTTTCGGTTCTCACATGAATCATTACCCATCTAAGAACTAGCTGGTAATGCAAGGCAACAAGATAAACCTCTTTTCTGTATGTATCATCACAACATTGAGCAATCGGACGGAGGCCGACATTCCTGCCTAGCTTCTGGGAAAAGAATTCCCTTCCCTCATCCTCGTGGGCCACCAACTAGGTCCATATCCTGTCTTAAATAATAATCTCGTCGAACTGGTTTCAGGATTTATCTAACCTAGCTCGCCAGGCAAAAAAAAGAACTACTGCAATTTTTTAAAGAACCTGAGATTGAGAATTGAAAGGCATGACATGCGAGTACATATCTGTATTCTTTAAGATAATTAATCTAACAACATTAACTGTCTGTATTGTTCATGACCATATATGATAAAGGTCGAGAGAGAATGCTGACCTTTAGATCCCATGGCCATGGATGCATGCCATAGATTCATTCCACGAACAGAGTTGGAGCAGGAGATGAGGAAGAAAGCAGATAGAGTCTGACTGACTGACTCAGGTTTTGACGTTGTGTTCCTAGTCTTCTTAGTCTTCGCTTTCAAGTTGGAAAACACGTTTAACTCGGGAGAATTATTACAGCGACTGGGCTTTGTATCCTTTTGCTGGCCGGGCCTATTCCTTACACTTGTTATGGTTTCTGATGTTTGGATCACCAATGCTGTGATCTTCTCATTTAACAATTTCTGCATGGGATAAACATTTTTTTCTGATAGAAATTTCTAAATGTGGATTGAAAAACAAATTATATGCACCCAAGACAAGAAGTACAATTATTTATGCTTTAAATGCGTGTTTGATAATATAGTTGGAAGTGCAGTTGAATTAAAAAGACATTAAATTGATGTTTTTGGTATTTTTATTACCAATTTATTTTTGTGTAAAACATTTATTTAAATGAATAATTGCTTACTATTGAATTCATAAATAATAAATCTTTTCGGATATATAAATATGGTTCCATATTTGAAACTTTTCATAATGAAGAAAAGATGAATAAATAAAATGGTTTTAAAAAATAAAATATTTTTTGTTCAAATGGTATATATAAAATAAAAAAAAATTATGACGTGTAATGAAAAAAACTAATTTTCTTTTTCAAATTTTTACATATTCTTTGAGTGATTCCATTAAAGATGTCAAAATAATTTTTTATTTATTCTAAGAGACAATTTTAAGGTCAAATCATGGTAAATTTTCTCTTTATACAAACTATATATTAAAGCAAAGGAAATTTTTCCATGATTTGACGTTAAAATTATCAGTTACAACATAATGAATCTTATTTTGGCGTTTTAAATGAAATTAAGTATTTAATGTGCATGTTCGTAACACTCAACTAAATGATCATGCCATTATTGATAATGATTTCTCCATTAATGTGCCTGATTAATGATTTAATTATATTATTAAATGCTAAAATCCATATTCTCATGATTTGAAAAAAAAAAAAACATCAACATATCATGGATGCTATGAGTAAATTATAAATTAGTTGATTAATCCATTTGGTTTCAAAAACTAAATATATATATTTGCTTTTTTTAATTTATTTTGAATTTTTATTTTAAAAAATAAAAAATATGTAAAGATTGATAAGAAAATAAGACATTTTATGAATAAAAAAATATTAAAGTAGTCGAAATCAATATTGGTTAAAAAAATAAATAATTATTTTTTGAAACCAAAAGAATTAATTAATTAATTTCTCAAAACTAGAGGAATTAATTTATAATTTACTCAGGATGCTATATACATCGATTAGCAAAAATTTTACTGAAAATTAATTTAAATAAAAAAGGTAAATTTTAATAAATCCATTTCTTTGGATATGGTGAAAATAAAAAACAACATCCAAAACTTTAGAGATTTTTCTCCAGCAGCTACGGGCTCCACCTCTCTTTGCCCACACCATTTGTTCCAGGTTCTCAGCCCACATGTGATCAGCCTATGTCCAGCCCACTTTCTCCTCCTGGCCTTGCCCACTCCTCTGCAGTGTAAAAAAGCCCAAGCCCAAACACTTTAAAGTCTTTTTAATGTCTTTCATGGCGACATCAGTCTTAAAAATTTAAGGTTGCCGACATTTGTTAAAAACTTTTACATATTCATCAAGTGATTCCATTCAAGACGTCAAAATAAGTTTTTATTTATTTTAGGATAATCAACACTTATTTATTCTTTACATAATACTCAAAATCTTATATCTATTCTTAAATTTTTAATTACATTCTTGAAAAATTTTAAAAGATTCAATTTTTGATAATAAATTTTTTTTCATCGAAATACCTTTTACTAAAATATAAAAAAAAAACTTTATCCTAAATTTACTGTAGATGTCATAAATTTATTGTCATGATGTAATTATATTATTAAATGCTGAAAGCATTATTTTTGTGATTGAAAAAAGAAAAAAAAATTTAAGCGGTAGTTTAGAGTCAAGTCCGCATTGACTAAGGGTGAGCAAACGGATCGTTTAACTAAAAATCAAATAAAATCGAATTGAATTATATAATTTGATTTGATTTTAAAATAAAATTTATAAAATTTTAAATCGAATCGAAAAATCAAAATTGTTTTGTTTCGGTTCGGTTTTTAGAAAAAAATTTTGGTTTTAACCAAAAACTGAAATAAATCATACAAAATCCTAAATCCCTAACTTCACACAAACACTATCACGCTTTCTGCCTTTCTGAACATTTCAGCCGCACTCACCCAGTTTTCTCCTTCTCATCCTGTCTTGCTTAACTGGCAATCGACCTTCATTCCCTTCTTCTTCTCTCGTTCTTTTTCTGTCCCTCATTCCCTTTGTGAGCACCATCTGGGCAGCCACTGGAGCCTCTTACTGACATGGGCCTTTCACAGCCTACCGTCCAGCCTTGCTCTTTTCTCGCTAGGCCTACACAATCTGGGCTGAAATACGTTAGCCCCTCACAGCATGCCGAAAGAGAGAGGGAAAAAAATTAAAAAAAAAATTGACATTTTGACCAAAGGAAAGGTCATCATTTTGGACTCATTTTCTTTATTTCTTTATTTTTTTTTCAAAGGAAGAAAAACAAGAGTAAAAAAAAAAATTATAAAAAACAATAAAAATCATCAAAAATTTCACTGAAGAGCAAAGCACAATAAATGAGTAAATTATAAAATGATTTAATGGTATATTTTGCTCTTATTCTATTATGATTTTATAATTTTGAATTCATAATATCGAATTTTTTAATTTGAATGACAAAGGCAAGATGTTGGGATTTGACAAATGCGATCTAAATTGTCTAATTTTCGTTATATGTAGTTGTCAATTGAATTAATCGTTACTTGGATCGTCAAAAAGATATCCTTTTGACATTTTACTATTAATTATATTTTTTAAAAAATATATTTTCACCATAATTTTTTTATTTATTACAAAACTATTTTTGTATGGAATAATGCTAAAAATATCAGCAACGCTTAACTAACTGATCATGCCATTATTGATAAAATCTTCTCCTTCCTCTCTCCGGACTCCTTGGCACGTGCCAAGACAGCATGCCGGTATTGTTACACGTGTGCCAATTCATGCCCATTGAGCACGACTTCATGAGATGGTTTGTAGCTCTGCCCACACGCAGCCTTGGGCTATGTTGTTATCTTCACAATCCGAATAACGACAAGTGGCATGTAATTTCAACCTGACCCGATCCGGCCCATTGCCTCCATGGGTAGCCTAATTCTTTCACGATCCACAAATTCCACCACCCTCCGATTAGCTATGTTCAACCCTTTCACTATGGAATTTAGATCCCTTCCAACGCTAAACATTGAAAGGACGAATCCTACTGTTGGTGTTGTGATCTTAGGCCCAACCCAACACAGTCCGTTTTGACATTTTCGAGTCTATGTAGCAGGAGGTATGTCGGAGGCTCCAAGTGGCGCTTCCACGTGCGAACCCACATTGGAAATGTACGATGAAACGTGGAAAGCTGTGGGGTCAATGCCTTAGGTCCACAAAGCAAGTAGGTTAATTGGAATTTTCGTACTTTGATTTTGAGGTAATCTAGAACCACAGAGCAAGTAGCCTTAGGTCCTTAACTCTAAGAGACATTTTACTTATTTTTTTAGAAATTAAAATTATTTTTTTGAGAAAATAATTTGATTGTTTTTATTATATGAATTCATTACGCATAATTAATTATCTAATAATAAAATTTAGATTTATAAACAACAAAACCATCTAAATTTCTTTAAAACTAATTGTTATTAAATAGTATTCTCTAAGCTAATCTTTCTTTCCTTTTAGTTGTTTGTATGTTGTTCTTTTGCAAAGTCCACGATATGTCTTTTTTTGGGTCCCCCCATTCGTACGACTATTTGACTAAGAGACAATCCAAATCTGGATGTGATGGATACGTAAATCCTTTACTTCCTGCTTTGAATATTCTCTCCATCCAGTCGAACCAAAGCTGATAGCATAATAATGGTGATAATAATTATGATAATGATGATGATTGTGATGATGGTGGTTGTAATGATTGCGATGGTTGCAGTGACAATGATGATGATTGTGATTATGATGGTGATAATTGTGATTGTGATGTGGAAATAATTTAATTGGTCAGATAAGCCTCATTCATTCTATCATTAAGATCCTGATCCTGATTAATTAATTATTGTTTAAATAGATGTGAAGTAGTTATTTTGAATAGATGAGAAGCAAAGACAGTCAAGAGAGACAAGAATGAATACACGCAATCTGAAATTATTAAAAATTAAACTTAAGCTTTTTGTTTGAATGGTTAAATTATAATTCTCATTCTCAAAATTAAACATAAATTCTTTATTTTGGAAATGAGTTTTGTCTCGAATTTTTTTTTTTTTTTTTTTTGGAAGAGTACTCAAAACCTTCCTAGAATTGTTTCTTTTTCTTCTTTTTGTGCTGTACCGTGATGTGTGATTTTTTAAGATGGTGAGACACACATGATGTAATTAGAAAAGATAAATTTTTTTATTGAGATACCTAATTTTTTGTAGAAAACATTAAAATTAGTTGCAGTTGATTATGAGAATAAAAAAGATGTTTAATATTGGAGAAAAAGACAAATTAATTGCAGTAATGTAAAAATGACGTGGATGAAAATATTTTATGTGATAAAAAAATATAGTTTAAGAATGAAGTTTAAAACTACCTTCTTTTAAGAAAAAAGATTTAAAAACATTCTAGTTCGGTAAAAAAAACTTGTAAATATGCAACTGGAAAACATAGATTTGGACCTGCAGTAACATAAACAAATGGTTTCCCATTTGATCGAAGACAAATATCAAATAGGCACATGAAAATGAAAAACAAAGAAAAAGATGAATTTGTTCCCTTCAAAGCTAGAGTGAAATGAAGAGTGTCAACTTGATTTGAAAATCAAATTCATTGCTCAATTTAGATTTGTGAAAACAGATTGATTCAATGAAGAATAATTACTATATATTCTAGAATTTAATTACTCACTTTCATTGCAGGAATCAAATTCAATTGTTGACTTTGTGATGATTTATGGAAGGTAGCTGGATGTACGCATGTGGGGGTGGAGGTCAAGTTGAAGGAGAAAGTTAACGATGATTTTTGTATTTTTGTTACCATTGTTTTTTAGAATTAACTGATTCCGTATGGATGCGATAACTACCACACAATTAAAACTGAATAAAGATTCCACAGACATATAGTCCGATCAAAATGGATCAAAGAAAATATTAGGGTTCTAAGAAAACCCTAGTAAACCAAGAGGATAGATCGAGCAGGTTGGTAACGGTCATTATTCAACGGGGTTTGGGCACACTTGTTACTGTTGTATACCGCTATAGAGATCCCAACAGTGTGTTACTCAAAATAATAAAAACAATAACGTTATATATCGATAGCGGTCATTAGTGTCATCATTTAGACAATAACAGTCATTATATTAAAATAAAAATTGAAGATAAATGTCTTATGATGTATATCTTCACGTTGTAATTTATTTTATTATTACTTATATTATATGATGTTAAATTATTAGAAATATGATTATTATTTTTTTAATAAATTCAACTATTTATGTATGATATTAAATTTTTAAAGATATTATTATGCTTAATTAATAAAATTATTAATAATTTAATTAAAATAAACTCAATTAATAAATTTATTAACACATATTAAAAAAATTATGACACGTAATGCATGGATATAGATTTACCGCAAAGTTTTTTCAACACGAACCTAGCAACTGAGTTTACTTCACCAGAAACCTCTCTTGGGCCTTGAAGCATTATCGTCCTTCCGCGCAGCTTCTTCTCATCTTTCTAGACGTTTTCATGTCATCTGATCGTGTACGTCCATTCTCTCATCTTTACGGGTTAACTCATCAAAAAAATTCCACTGAAGAGCAAAGCACAAGAAACGAGTAAATTATAAATTGGTTTAAAGGGAAAAGAAGAGAGAAAAGGTGTTCATATAAGAAATTTTTAGGGTTTGGAGATAAATTATCTTCTCATTTTTTTATTTTTTTCTTTTAATTAAAAATGGAGAATAATTAAAACTTATAAATTTATTAAAAAAATAAAAATCTAAAAATCATAAAAAAGAATAAACGATGCAACATTTTATTTTTTAAAAAATTTAATTTGTATGAAAATAAACGGGATAAAAAATGGGGTTATTAGATATTCATCAAGTGATTCCATTCAAGATCTCAAAATAAGTTTTTATGTCTTCTAAGAGGAGACAATTTTAAGATCAAATCATGGTAAATTTTCTCTTTATACAAGCTATTAAAGGAAAGGAAAGGAAAATTTTCTATGATTTAACGTTAAAAGTATCCTTTAGAAGATATGAGAGCTTATTTTGGTATTTTAGATGAAATTATTGAATGCGCATGTTGAAATTATTTTCATTACTTTAACGTGTCTGGTCCAATTTAACAAGATAGTTAGCTCTACTCATCCTCTTTCTTTAACTAGTTCAACTAGTTAATATTTTAATTAAAAAAAATTATGTTTAAAAGAGCACCTCTACGTCCAAATAAAAAGAAATCTCATTTGATCCTTTTGTTTTGTTTATAATAATGAAAAAACCATCTTTTATTATTAATTAGGTAAAAAGATCGAACGATTGTTGATCACATAGCGTGTCCTGTTTTCACCAAATGGTTGAAAACAGATGGTCTTTTAAGCATCAAATTTATGAGTGGTGTTTTTTTTTTTTCCTTCCTTCCTTAGGTTATAATTTCCTTAGGTCTTCTTCTTGCGTTTTGGTTTTTGGGTATAGATGATGGTCTGCGTGCGCATGGGCGTTGTCTGGGTCCTACTTGATTAATTTCTTCATTGTCGGCGGAGATGAAAAGCTACCTTTCAGTCATCAACAAGCTTTAGGTTTCAAAAGACCTGCCATTTATAACTTTGCATGCAATTTCTTTTTCCAACTGGTGTTTTTCGAATCCGTAGAAAAAAAGTTCTTCCGCCTAAAAAGACACGAAGGAGATCATCAGTCTAGATTCTTGTGCCATAATTTACTCTAAAATTATTATGGCTGTGGAAAAATAAGATTTATATTATTATTTTAAATTATTTAGATTTTAAATAATTAATTTTTTTTTGTTTTGTGTTATGTTTGACGATCAAAATATTGATAGTTAACTAAAATTTTTAAAATAAAATTATTTAAAGCATTTTATTTTTTTAGAATTAAAATTAATTTAATAATTCAATGTTTTTATTAGATGGATTCATGACCCATTATTAATTATCCAACAAAAAAAATTAGATTCATAAACAATAAAATTATTTAATTGTTATGTTTGATGGTTAAATTCATGACCCATTATTATTTAATTGTTCTATACCCATCAAAAGTGCTTATGAAGATTTTCACGTCTGCTTCAAATTTTTTTATTTTCTCTTTTTTGTTTCTCTCTTTCTTTTTTTATATGTCTATCTCTCTCTTTAAAATGGATTCATAAAATAATTATCGTACATGCCATTAATTACTCCCGATGTATTATAAAATTTTTCATAATTCAGTATATTAAGTTAAACATAGAAGCGTACTATTGGAAAATTTTGAACTGGATAAGCAGAAATGGATCATCGACTAATTCGTACTTGTAAGATCATCGGCTTTGGCTTTTTGGCTGCTGAGCCAGTGGAGGCCAGAGTTTATATATATATATATATAAACAAAAGAAAGGAAAGACAATGCCTTACTTTTTAGACATCCACCCCGAACAGCGCGGGGTTAATGGAGTAAGGGTTTACTTCAAATTTTATCATAATTAAGTTTTTTCACTGCTGTTTTTGTCCGAGTTTCTTTTTATCCGGTCTATAGCATCCATTGACGAACATAAAATGGAAAGCAGAATGGGAGAAAGATATATACATAATGATATTAAGATAAAAGAAAAAAAATAGGGAAAGGAACAAAATCAGATAATATAATATGTTCCTATTGTTATGTTAGATGGGTCGATTCGGTAGATTTTTAGGTGGGAATTTTTTTTTAATAATATATAAATAATAATTAATGACATATATAATAGTTATTAATAGACACATTAAATTATATTTATATTCATAAAAAATAATAAAAATATTTTTATTTTCGTTTAATATTTTTTTATTTTTTTATTTCTCTTTACTTGTTTTATTCTTTGTGTAATGTGTATTATAAAATTTACGGGAAAAATATTTGGAGCATGTCATAACTATTCACCGATCTCCCACTCGTGTAAACTCTCTCTCAAGTACAAGATCAAACATCTACAAATACGACATATATCCATAACCTACGAGGTACT